GCCTATCCGTAGCAATAGACCAGATCAGCCTGACCGAGTGTTCCCCGTCCTACCTGCCGACCGACCCCCCCTGACACAGTCCATTATTCAATACTTTCGACACTAAATAATTTATTAGAAGAGGCGAGGAAAACAATTAGGTATTGTTTAGTAGGTCTGTTCCGATATTAGGGCCAAAGAAATCTGCCCTAGATAAATCGTCGGCGAGAATAGAGATAAATAGACAACAGGTAGATAGCACAGCCAGTAGACATAGACAAATCTTCGAATTTGTTAGAAGAGGAGAGAAAAAGCTATTAAGTATTGGTCAGTAGGTCTATTCGGATATTGGGGCCGACGACATTTGCCCTGGGTGAAAAGTCGGCGAGAGTGGAGGTTGACAAACACCAAGAGAAACGGCACAGCCAAACGGACACAGACAAATTGTAGTTAAACAACAAAGGAAATCGAGGGCTTCAATTGAGTTCTGAGCTCTAATTTACAATGGTGGTACGACTGGCGATATCTCCTTGCATCACCTGTCGTTCGCTCCCTCCGCCTCTAGAGGAACTTAAACGACACAACAGTTATTGGTATAGCCACCAGCTTCCCAGCTTCTCTTTCTCAGTAGCCCCCACCACAGCATCTATTCACCTGCGTGAGCCTGTGCCCACTCGTCGTACAGTGCTTAACCGAGGAAGCTCTTGGTGAATGTAACGACGACGTCCTTGAGCTTAGCCTCGAGATCCTTGCTGAGGGCACCCTCTTTGTCGATGGTAGAGAGGAACTCAGACTCGTTCGTCTTGAGGTGGGCAATGAAATCAGACTCCCACTGGAGAATCTTGTTGACGGGAACGTTGTCAAGGTGACCGTTGACACCAGCGTAGATGAGGGGAACCATCTCGTTGACAGCCATGGGGGAGTACTGCTTCTGCTTGAGGAGCTCAGTCAGACGCTCACCACGGTTGAGAGTCTGCTTGGTCGAGGCATCCAGATCGGAACCGAACTGGGCGAAGGCAGCGACCTCACGGTACTGAGCCAAGAAGAGCTTGAGCGAACCAGCAACCTGCTTCATGGCCTTGAGCTGAGCGGCAGAGCCGACACGCGACACAGAGAGACCGACGTTGATGGCGGGGCGGATACCCTTGTAGAAGAGCTCAGCCTCCAAGAAGATCTGACCGTCGGTGATGGAGATAACGTTGGTGGGAATGTAAGCAGACACATCACCACCCTGGGTCTCAATGATGGGCAGGGCAGTCATGGAACCACCGCCGTGGGTCTTGTTCATCTTGGCAGCACGCTCCAAAAGACGAGAGTGGAGGTAGAAAACGTCTCCAGGGTAGGCCTCACGACCGGGGGGGCGGCGGAGGAGCAGCGACATTTGACGGTATGCAACCGCCTGCTTCGAGAGATCATCATAGATGACCAGGGAGTGCTTTCCATTATCACGAAACCATTCACCAATTGAAGCAAGGAGGCTGTTAGTACAATGAGTATTGAGTGCAGAGCGGTCTTGACTTACCACCGGTGAAGGGGGCGAGGTACTGGAGAGGAGCGGCCTCGGAGGCAGTAGCGGCGACGATGATGGAGTACTTCATCGCATCGTTCTCCTCAAGAGTCTTGACGAGCTGGGCAACGGTGGAACGCTTCTGGCCAACGGCAACGTAGACACAGTACAGCTTCTTGGTCTCGTCGTTGCCGTCGTTCCAACGCTTCTGGTTGAGCATGGCGTCGAGAGCGACGGCAGTCTTACCAGTCTGACGGTCACCAATGATCAGCTCACGCTGACCACGGCCAATGGGCACCATGGCGTCGACAGACTTGAGACCAGTCTGCACAGGCTGGTTGACGGACTGGCGAGGCAGGATACCGGGAGCCTTGAGCTGCGAACGGCGCTTCTCGGTGGTCTTGATGGGGCCCTTGCCGTCAATGGGGTTACCCAGAGCATCGACAACACGGCCAAGCATCTCGGGGCCGACAGGAACATCGACAATTTCACCGGTACGCTTGACGGTCTCACCCTCCCGGACGAGACGGTCAGAACCGAACAGGACGACACCGACCTGGCCGGCCTCAAGGTTCATGCACATGCCCTTGACGCCGGAGGCGAACCTAATTGATCATTAGACACGGACGCGTGAGTTGTTGTTCGAGGTTGTACTCACTCGACAAGCTCCTCGGCCTGGACGTTGGCCATACCGTGCACACGGGCGATACCATCACTGAACCTCAATTAGCCCTTCATCCTGTGACAAATAGCGGCCATGCGAAAAAGTTGCATCGCGCGTCAAGTATAAATTGTCGTTGCAGTGTCGCATTCGGAGGCCACCTTGCACAATTTCCACATACCCGACAGACAGGACACGGCCGGTCTCGGCAAGACCAGACTCCTCCTGAACACCACGGATCCTCTGCTCGAGAATGGACGAGACCTCAGTCGGCGAGGCCTTGGCGTCGGCAGCGTAGGCGCGGGTCTGCATGGCAGCGCCGTTCAGGGCGGGTGCGGCATTTCGGACCTGGGGCAAAAACGGTGTTAGCCGAAGTCCAGCCTTGCGATGGAGAGAGGCAGCGCGATTGCTCAGAGAGCTCCCAAAAAGCTCAGAATCGCCTCTTTGGAACTTAATTGAGCCGACCGAATTGATCTGAGATGGATGCACGATGATCGCAGGGTGTTGTCGATGGCGTTGGGTGCTCGTTGGTGTGTTGGGTGAGGCGTAGTGAGGAGACTTACCGCAGCGACCCTGCCAGCGGCAGAGGCAGCGCCGACAGCGCGCGAAGACTGGCGGAGGGCGTTGCGGAACATAGTAGGAGATATGTGAGGATGGAAGACGAGAGAAGAGCAATTGCAGCGGACGTGCAATTGGGGAGAGGGGAGATTGAGGCTCGTGGTGTTGCCTTTGCTGAAGAGCAAGATTCGGGGGAGTTTTTGCAGAGAAGAGCCACTGGAGACAGAGCAGAGTCTGAGGGAGAGGAAAGGCGGGGCGGAGCTCGGCTGATCCAATCGCCGCTGCGTGCGCGGTTTTGCCCTGGAAATCCCGAACCCGAATGGCTCCTCTGCCACTGCGCGGCTGGCCTTTGCATCCGCTGACCTCCACCAGACAATTTCCATCTGGGGAGCCTTAGGCATCACGGCTGCCATCATGCACACGCGTTGGCCCGGCAGGCATGGCATCGCGACGTCTCAGCACGCATTGACCAGCCGCCGTCAATGATATTAGATCTCTTCACCGCAATGAAAGCGCAACATGCCACGACAATCTTCTCAGTGTAATTGAGTACCGCTCTATGTGCTGGAGGCTCGCTGTGGTCTCAGAACCTTGATTGCGCCGGATAATACCGTGAGGCACGTAGCCTGCCACGCAGAAGATGAGGCTCCAGGTCAGCCTTTTGCAACTCAGGCTATGACCATTTGAACTACGAGCTTGCATGCGCTAACGAGTCCGCTGTTTGCCAACAAACCCGTTGTCTTGTGGTTTCATGTATCGTGCTGTCGTCGAATGTTTTGCGACGAGGGCATACGGCTGACGCTCGCAACATCTACGTTCTGGTAAATCCGTTGAGCATCGATCATGACACAACGTAAGACGTCGCGCAATCAAGCCGTCCCGTCACCACGCTACATCAATTCGCAGGGTAGGGAGAGCAACATGGAAAGGGCTGGGACGGTAGGTGACGTGCATCACATTCATGATATACGAAAGCCGGCATGACGCCGGTCGGTCTCTGAGGCCGTGCTCGACTCTATTCCAGTCGGAGCAAATGCAAAGTGCAGCGGAAATACATGTCCGTGAATTCCCTTTTGTTCCCAAGTACTCCGTTTCGTGAACCATTCCGTGAAGCTAAGACAGAAACCAGCAGAAAGACCGATTGCCCGTCTACCGGACAATGCCATCGAAGCGCTGCTTGAACCACTTGACAGTCTCGTCACGCTTGATGCGGTGGCTGGCGCCAATGGTCGACTTCATGCGGCGGCGGCGGGTGACGCGCTCACCAGGGCGGGTCATGCAGCAGTAGAAGTCCATGCCGTAGATACCGATGGAGGGGTCGTACTTGATGCCGAGATCGATGTGCTCGCTGATACCGAAGCCAAAGTTGCCCGTCTCGGAGAAGTTACGCTTGCGGAGCTCGTACTCCTTGACCTTGAGGCCACGCTCGAGAATCTCCTCGGCCTATTGGGTGTTAGATCCTGCAATGGTGTATGTATCGGACAGTCGATGCGGTTTACCTTGGGGCCTCGGACAGTGACGTGGACAGAGATCTTCTCGTTACGGCGGATACCGAAGGTACGGACAGTGTAGCGGGCCTTGCCTTGAATCGTTGTCAGAATAAAGTTTTTACCACGAGAGCAGCGAATCGTAGCACATACTGTAGACAGGAGTCTGACCAGACAGCTGCTCGAGCACCTTGGCGGCACGAGTAAGTCTGTCACCAGACTCACCAACGGAGATGTTAAGAACCAGCTTCTGGATCTTCAACTCCTTCATGGGGTTCTGCGTCTTCTCGGAGGCCATGGCTGCGGTACTGGTCGACGACGGTGATGGTTGTCGAGGTGGTTGTCGGATGGGTTGTCGCAATGGCGGAATTGGGGATGCGGAGGTTTGGTAGATTTTGTGAGGCAGGGGAAAATTCGAGGGTTTCTCTGCCCTGGCCGGTGTGCGAGACAAAAGTGGATCCGAAATCATCGGCCAAATATGGCTTAGCGGCTTCTGGAGGTACATCGCGGATGTACCTCATTTCAGCCTTTCCGGTCAGGCTCCGCAAATTCTCAGTCGGACCTCATCCTCGACCTCCCAGCACTAGGAAGGTCAACGTCGCAGTCGCGTAACAGCATCTGTGACCAAAGCTCAATTTTTTGCAATCAGGAACGTTGCGCAGGCAATTCGTTCTGCCAACTATTCACCATGTCAAACAAGCAGGGAAAGATGGTATGTTTCCTTGCAGACCGCCCTTTCTGGACTTTTGGCTGGAAGCTTTACTGACGCGATATTGATCATATAGGCTGGCTATGTACGTACTATTCCTTCAACGACCTCACCCGATCGAACGACACGCTATTTCCCCCTAATACCGAGTCGCATGCTGACGTAGAGTCCGCAGATCAACTGGCGCATGCGCGTCACGTTGAATGATGGTCGCGCCATGACCGGCCAAATGCTGGCTTTTGACAAGGTATGCGTGAATACCGTCCGATTTTCGGCGCGCGCTGACAGCAGAAAACAGCACATGAACCTTGTCTTGGCAGATACCGAGGAATTTCGCCGCACCAAACGACGACAGAACAAGCCCGCGGCTCCTGGCCAAAGCGGCACGCAAACCGTCGAATCTGAGGAGAAGAGGACCTTGGGCTTGACCATTGTCCGCGGTGCCCACATCATCTCTCTGTCTGTCGAATCGCCGCCTCCAGCAGACCCCAGTGCGAGGTTGAACAAATCCGGGCCAGCTGGCATCGGCTCTACTTTGAGTGCTGGTCCTGGAGTCGCAAAGCCTGCTGGCCGTGGAGCTGCTCCTCCTTCTCTAGCTGTATGCTTGGTCTACCGGTCTTGATGGTATATTGGCTAACTGTTCTTTAGGGCCCTGCTGCTGGCGTTGGCGCTGGTGCGCCTCCAGGCTTCCCCGGCTTTCCTGGCGCTCCCCCCGGTTTCCCCGGTGCTGGACGCGGTGGTACGACTGTTCCCTTTTGCGATAGTGAACATTTGACTAACAGGATATAGGACCGCCTCCTGGCTTCCCCGGCGCCGGTGGCTTCCCTCCTGGCGGTGGCCCTCCCGGCGGCTTCCCTGGTGGCTTCCCCGGTGCTCCCCCAGGCTTCAACACTGGCGGCGGGCCTCCCGGGTTCAACCCTCCCCCTCGACGATGATTGTTTTGTGGCGCAACTGGTGAATATTATCTCGGGTGGACAAACGGCCGGCAGCTGTTTTCGACAGGATAGCCAGGGCATCAATTTAAGGATAATCACGAGATCGACCACCATTGGTCAAGAAGAGAAATGTACGTGTCTTCCTCTGGCAACTCAATCTTCATCTAAGTGTTGACTGAATGGCAAAAGATCCGACATCAGTGGCGCTGTTGCGTTTGGATGTGAAGTCGTAAAGCTTCAATGTGACATTTATATTGTACAAGTATCGACATTATGAGATCGGCACGGCCACGATGTGGTGCACCCGGGGTTTATACATTACTGGGATATCTTATCTGACTATCTATCTACGAATTTAACGACTTGAGCGGATTGACTGCCTCTACCCACGCCTCATCGCTGCTTCGCCTACACTCCAACAGCGTGACTGAATACCCTGGCGGCCAGTTGGCTCAGCAGCCTCGCCCTGTCACCTTGCGGCAGCTCCTGTTCACCACAGCGTTAGCTAATTTCGTCACACTGCACATTGATATTTACCTGGAAAACCGAGTAGACGCTTTTGCCCTTGGCATCTCTCACAGCCCCGAGCCTGTTGCCGGCGACTGCACCCGCCACTGCGCCGGGTACGTTGGCGACGATGAAGCCCAAGGCGCCACCGCTCGCGCCGCCGATCATGCTCCAGAACCTGCTGGTCGGCCTGTTGGAGCCGTCCTCCGCCATGCCCTCATCGCGCATCATCTCCTCAAAGACATCCTCAAACTGCGCATCCTCGGTGCGCTGCCTGTCCTCGGCATTCGCTGCGCCACCGCCGCTCTGGTTCTTGAAGAAGTTCCACGCCCATGACGGGAAACTGCCACCAGCCCCTGCCGCGCCGCCAGGGAATGCGCCAGGGATCTCTTCGTCTGGGTCGCCGAACGGGTCGTCTGAGCTGCGGCCGGGTTCGGTAGATGGTGCGCCACCGAACAGCTTGCGCTGCGCGTCGTAGTCGCGTCGGCGCGTGGGGTCTGAGAGAGTGTAGTAGGCGTCGTTGACGAGCTGGAACTTGCGCGTGCGCTCTGCACGGTCTGGGGATTCTGACGCGACCCTATCGGGATGCGTCTTCAGTGCAGCTCTAGGTCCCTTGATCAGCATGTGCACACAACACTGCCAGAAGGAATGGTGTTTGCTGCGGCAAGACACACTTTTTATATGCATTGCGAATCTGCTCTGTGGTTACAGTATCCGATACTTCTAGAATTGCGTCTAGTTGTCACTGTGTAAGCGCCTCACGATCCTCGCACGGCAGTCTTGGCAACTGACAATAATTAGGGGGTGGTCCCGACATGTTCGTTCTGGCTTATGGGAAATGAGGGTGCGATGATGAGCAAGACTTGCGAGCCAAGGTGAATTATTAGATCTGCTCGAATTCCCGTTACTTGTGACAGTGAAGACTGCCATGACGTCGGTACGAGGAACGTCATGTGTGGCGGTGCGGCAGCAAGGAAATGGTGCGCCACCTGTCCTGTCCTCTTTGCGTGCACCTTCTGCACACCCTACACCCAGGATCAGGGCGACACTGAGCTGATTTGATGGCTACTACAATTGACACATACACACACACACACGCACAAAAAGGCGACATTACTCGGCGAAGCTTGGGATTATGATTAAAAATGCGTCTATGTGAGTCTTCTCTTGTTTGCCTGGGTCAAAATGCCCCTGTGATGTGTGTACATATAGGTCCGAAACGCTTCCTCCATGCATGAGTTGTGTAGATGACACCCACAATCGCTATGCTCATGTATCATGCGACCAATGATTCCAATGACCAAAGGGATATCTTGTGCGCGAACGCGAATTCCAAAGTCCAACTCCTATAATGCCCTGTCGAGGTTGCACAAGACCTTCCCATGATAAAGTTTGTTGTTCCGGGCTCTCCTCTACTCCCCAGCCAGCCCTAGAAGTTTTATCCCGGCAAATCCTCTAAATAATCCTTGGCCCTGTTAATGGCGTCCTCGGCGACGTTTCTTGCTTCCATGTTGCGCCCAGTCCGTTTGTAGTGGTCGGCCAGCACCCACATGTCCCTGACGACTCTCAAGTTGTTGCTCGCTCCGTGGGCTGTCTCGCGGCTCAAGATAGCGTGTTTTAGATTTTGTTCGGCAACGTCCCAGTCGGATCGATCCTGGTGTACGCGGGCGAGCATTTTGCGTGCATAGGCGTGGAAGCGTGCGTTGAGTCTCGGGTCGGAGCCAGCTCCTTCGGTGTGACTGAGGAGCTGGAGTGCGAGCTGCTCGGCTTGAGGCTTGTCGTCCAAATCCATCTGTGTAAACTCGAGAGTCAGTGCCTCGACACGCAGGCAGTGGGCTGTGGAAGAGTCGCCGGTTGCCTGGTATATATTGCTGAGGTTCTGAAGCGCGGCTGTCAGTAGCTCGCGCCGTTGCTTCAAGTCACTGTCCTTCCGTAGCTGCGTTCGACCGTCCCAGATCAGCTGCTCATACAGCCAGAGGTGCTGCGGCGCAAGCGATCCGACCTGCTCGCCGAGGATATGTACGTTGCGCAACCACGCCTGGTGTAAGAGATGGCGGATGTACTGTCGCCCTTCGTCAGTGGAGTACTCACACTGCCGTAGCTGTACCAGAATTTGCAGTAGGGGATGCTGCGTAGGAAGTTGCCGGTGCGCTAGCACTGTCGCGTGCTCCAAAAACATGCTTAGGAGTTGGATGTGGCCCCTGTCTACCATGTCATAGATGGTGTCGAGCATGTGCCAGACGAGGTCGGGATGGTCATCGGTCAGGACATATTCGAGGACGTAGAATCCCTTGCGCGCGGCCATGCCGGCCAGGTCACCTCGCTCATGCTTCCAAAGATCAAAGACAAGTTCAAAGGTGCGGTACATGGTCCGGCTGTCTTGTATAGGGGGCTGGTTCGGGTTGGCCAGATAATCCGACATGGGGTCCGACGAGAGTCCGTGGCTTTCCAGTTTGGCTTGGCTCCAGCTCCAGACGTTGCCCAGAACGATCTCGAGTCCCGCGTAGGGGCCTTGCCGCGAGACCTGGAGCGGGAGGGAGAGGGCGGTATTTTGCTTGGTCCGGTTAGGGATGCGAACGACTTCCTCGACACCAGCGTCATCTTGGTCGGTTGATTGCTCCGCAAACGATTCCGGAGTGGACACTGAGGTGTTCATTGAAGAATTGGTGGGCGTAGACTTTCGATATGTTCGCTTCCTAATATTCCATTTCTTGAGGCGCTTTTTGTACATTTGTTCCCTTTATGCTCCATCAGTCGACATGTCCATTGGCACAGCAATACGCACCCCTTTCTTCGAGAGGAGGGTAGACCCACGTGGCAGCAAAGCCGTGTTTGGACTCGAGAATGGCCATGGTCTCGCTCAACTTGCGATTGTCCTGGATATACAGTTTCTGAATCAGCTCCCGCTTGGCTTCCCATTCGGCCTCGGTATGTTCCTTGGAACTCGGCTTTTCGACGACCGGCGGCGTGACGCCTGCCAGGCGAGGCGCCAGAACGGGGAGAGACATGGCGGGCTGACTTGAACTTGAATCTCCCATCTCCCACGACACCTGACTCCCTCCCGCAGCAGGGTGGGACGCAAAGGCACGGGTGGCGGGGAGCTTCCTCTTGGACCTCTGGACGGTACGCCAACTCCACTAACGGTAGCCGTGTGCAGGTGTGCGGACGGGTAGGGCTACCTCGTACGGTCCGCACGAGAACCAGCTGATCATCAGAGGAATCTTCAGGTGATGTCAGTACTGCTATCATGGTCGCTTGAAGGAAATATATGTACAACAGGGACCTTGCAAAGAGGACTCTGGCGAGTGCCCAGGCATGATTGGAGGTCACGCACGACCAACCTTGGAGCCCATAGGCGGAACCAGGGTCAAAGCCCGCAGTTATACTTTCACACGGCCGCTGTGCCATTTCTGGATCTCGAGCGACCCTTCATGCGTCGGCGAAGACCGTTAGTTTGAGATTCACCGTTGAAACAGAGGCCCGGGTGATTGGATAGTCAAGTTCCTCGCGTTTTGAGGCAACAGCCCAATCAGAGGAGCGGGGAAGCCACCCGGAGCGGCAAGTGGATGGCCGTGTCGACAGTGCCATGAGGCCCGACGGGGTGGAAAGTGGAAACTCGCGCGAAGTCGCTGGGGCGGCTCCCAGAGCATCCAGGGCGGAAAAGTTGAAGGGACCTCGGGGGCTGTACGGAAAGGAGCTGCCAAGGACGTCGTTGTACGGTACGTGGTACGCGTGCTTGGTGCCGCCGACGAAGTGTACAGCACTACATACTAGCTTACTCCCCTAGCGACACAGCCACCATAGTCCCAAACCCTATTTCGTGACAATCTGGCCTAGAACGGTCGTCGTCCGGTGATAATTGGGCGCCGGTGGGGTATTATATTAGCCTTCGTTGCCTCGACGTATGGAAAACTGTACCGGGACTCCAGTCTGCCGGTACTGGACCTTGGTTGCCAGCTCTCCAGGGGAGAGTATCATCACCCGAACAAGACACCGAACATTATCGCAGCCTGATCCAGCCTTACGTATCCCCTATGCTTGTCGGACCGAACTTGTTTGATGGGCTAGCCTCGTAGTTCGTGCTAGCAGGCAGTGCAGTGGCGGCCCCGCTGGTGCAGCTCTGTACGGAGTACCCGGTACGAGTATTCAACGAACTCCATGTCCCCTGATCGGCACATTGAAGACTGAAGTTGTATCCATTGGCTCGCTAATCAGTTGGTTGTTGTCAATTGGTGCTGGCTCCTCGGATCCGCGAGTACAGTCCAGTACGTATAAGAGAATTTTTTATCGCGCATGGCTTCGCTACTTTGTCTTCGCTATTTTGCCTGTGCCCTTGTCCTTCGCCCGCTTGGCACTTGACAGTCATTGAGAGGGTTCCCCAACTTGCTCGAGTCCACGTCCTCTAATATCAGCGTTCTACGTACATACGTACCGTTGTACTGCCTGCACCGCGCTGACTCATGGCCGCTGAGCGGCCGAACGGGATCTCCTCTTGAAGGGCGGGCTCGGACACCGTTGTCTATCCGTGTCAAAAGATCCCCTGTCGTCACGGCACGTCCTCACGAGCCAGACTCCCTTTGGGTTAAAGCACTGTAGATCCGCTCGAGTTGATGCCTGATCGTCGTGTGAAGTCGAGGTGGCTTGCGAGTTGTACGTCGGACTTGCATGATGATCGAGGCGAGCCGCATTGCCGCATCGACTCCAACTTGAATGCCGACAGCGAGAGCAAGTCGGCTTTTTTCCCCAAGCTGGAAAATGCCAGGTCAATGGTACGCCATGTGGCCGAATTTTCCTGCCTACTGCGAGCCATCCGTCCACTAGTTACGCCATGCCCCTGAAATAATCGGGGTCAGATGGCCTCGCCGTCGTCATATACTTGCGTCGTCTAATAATATTATTATCGGGTGCCCACCAACTATGGTGTAATAACGGCATCTATCATGTCTAATGGCCTGCAATCTTGTATCCGCCTGTCAGTGCAATGAGGGATATAAGCACGAACACAGACAGCTGTGCCCCCTGATTACTCGCCAGGCTCGTCGCCGATTTTTTGAAGCTTGCCCATCTCGCGCTTGGCCCCAGCCTCCCCGATCAATCTGAGCCTGTCTACGCGCACAGTCTCGGCATCCCCATCGCCTCTTTGCACGTAGACGATGACTGCGTTGGTCTTTTGGAACCTGACAAACCGCAGAGGAATGTTGGCAGTGCCGTTGGCGTTCCAGTCATCCGGGCCAAGCTCGATAGCCTGTGTTGGTTCCGAGTCGTCGGCCTCGCTGAAATCCATGTTCTGCGGTCGATTGATGAACAGGCGCAAGACGCCAGGCCGGGCCGGGGCGTCGTCGCCTTCTGCAGGTAGCGACGTGATCTAAAACATATATCAGAAACGCTTGCCAAACAAACCAGTCGCGATCGACGTACTTGTAATGTGTGGAGTTTGACGGTGGACTGGAAGGGAATGTAGAGGAGAAGCTGATCATCGGCGCCGCTCTGCACATAGTCCTTCGACGTGCTCGCCTTTTCAAGGCCAGTGGGTTTCTGTGTCGCAAACAGAGTCTTCACCGTGCCAGAATCTTCATCCGCGTTGAGAATCTCGCAATTCCTGACCTCGACCTCATCAGTAATCTCCCTGTAGCCTCGAGGTACATCGGCACCAAGCCACTGGCCACCACTGCCACTGCCACTGCCACTGGCCTCCCCCATGGACTCAACTTCTGAGAGCAGCTTCTGTACAATGTTCTTGAGCTTAGTCGGGTCTGCTCCTCGGACCGTATCTTCAACCTTGCCACCCCGGAAGACGAGGAATGTTGGTAAAGCGGTCACTTGGTACTCGGCGGAGATGTCGCTGTTGTTCTCGGTATTGACCTTGACAAAGGCGAGGGCTCCAGGACGGGAGAGAGACTTGGCGAGAGATTCGTAAACGGGCGCAATCTGCTTGCATGGGCCGCACCAGTCGGCATAGACTAGATTGAGCGTCAGCCATCCATTCCAAACTAGCATTCAACAATGCTCCTCCCGGGCAAGTGGGAAGTTGAGGGGCGTCTGGTGGTTTCCTCACTCACAGTCAGCAACGACAAGCGTTGAGCTCCGGAGCAAGTCCTTGAATTGCTGCGATGAGGTGATCTCTGTTGGTCCTTGTGCCATTGTGACGGAGTGCCTTGGCTGGAGCAAATGTTCTACGGACAAAACGATCTGCCAACTGCCAAAAGATGCAGCTCGCGACTGGCGCGAGTGCGGGGCAGACGCCTCATTACTAAGGTATCCCTCATGAGTAAGCTCACGGTACCGATCGATTAACCGGGTCGTATCGCTGTAATGGGGCTGACGTCATTGCAGTCCTTCCTCTCGTGTCCGAGAATTGAGCTTGATGTATCCGCAAAACTCTGTTTTTTCAAGCAGGGCGAGATTTTAGTGTCTGCAATATTTTCGTAGCAAGACTTAAAAGTATTGGAAGCTTTAAGAATATGCATCACGGACACTTCGCATTGCACTTGATGGGTCCAACATGCAAGACCCAAAACAGTAGGCTCCGCCGCTCCGAGTCCTAGATCGTGGGCGGCGCTCCGGGGTCCGGATAATCCACTTTCAACCTCCCGGGCCCAGCCTTCAGGGCCAGTCTCCACCCGGCGCTACTATCATAATTGCATGTAACTATACGGAGTAAGCGGTGACCGTTGATGACAGCTGTAGGCGGCTGGCTGCTTGGCAACTGCAATCGATTCGCTCCAGTTGCTCAACGACTCACGGAATGGCCTACATCAGGAAGGGTCAGCCTGGCATTCTCGTTCCGCCACCGCCTCTTCTTGCAGCAAGCGCTGTGTCATTGCGACCTTTCATCTTGGGGGAAGGTGCTGCAAAGTTACGACCTGACAATCCACGCCCAAAAACTCCACGGAACCTCCAAAATTAGGGAAATGTGACTGCCTGACCACTATCGAACCGGCCGGAAAGGAGTATGGCAAGACCGGACTACCATCTCTGCCAGAATACTTACCACACCTGTCATAGAGAGACGCAGGAGGCTGAAGCAAACAGTCGGCCGAAGTTGCCGCGAGGCAAGCACGTAAGGTATCTGACCAGGCTAAGTGGCTAGCGTCGATTACCATTACAGCATTCACATGTTTGGCATGGTACTGGCAAGGTACGTAAGGTAGGCACCTTGCATGCCCTCTTTGGAACTGATAGAAGGTGACGGTTGAATAACATCTCCGTCAATGCCCCCTGCTGAGCTGCCGCATCAGCCAACTGTACGAAGTGAAGGCTTCACCTCGGAATTTCCACCATCAATCATTCCACTACCCATAATCTCATACCAAGGGAACATCACATCTGATATCCGACCTTGTCAGTTTTTATGAACAGCGTCCTATCCTGTATTATCGACTATTTTAGTTGAGTCCGTTCACGTTACACGACCCGACGGCTTCAGGTGCCAGTGCACGCCAACCTGAGGTTGTTGTGAGAGAAAGCAAACCAACATTCTGAAGGTCTCACCGGGCTCCTGATCAACACTCCATCTTTCTGGCTCATCTCTTCATTCTGTGCGTGGTGCTTGAGTGGGCCTGTAGTTCCGAGCATCGTTACTGGGTTAGTTTTCAGGCGCAACTACCACGAAAACCCGTAGCCAAAGAATGATGACTCCTGGACGGCGCGGGGCATCCAGGGCAAGCTCATCACACAATGGAGACCCCAAAGCGCCTCAGAAACGTGAGCCTTCCAGGTCACGGAACGTGGCAAGATCTGAACCATTGTCCACCTTTGAATCACCGCGGATGTCTAGACTACAGCCCGCCCCAATACCACCTATTAATCCGTGGTTGCAAGGTCTAAAGATGAGCGCGAAAGTTGAACCGTCACAGCCAATCCCAGCTCATCTGGAAGAGGGGCCACCATTGCCGTCCGCATCCCGGAAGAGAAGTCGACTGGCAACCTCCAAAAAGTCAGAGAAAGGCGGTGCTAGTGACAGTCCAGAAAGTACTATCAACGTCCCAGAGTGTCCAGACGCTCCAAGGTCCAAGTCGAAGTCTCCGACCGGCGATCTGCGACATCAATCAAGCAGTCCGACATTGTCGCAAACTACAACATCAGAGCCTGTGTCATTGGGGGGAACCAGCAAATCGACACAATCCCCGTCTACGAGCTCGGTGGTTTCGCGCTCAGCTTTGATAGCAGCAGCGTCGCGCGCCGAGTCAAAGTGAGTTTTGGCGCGTGCTTGAATTTGGCCATGGCATTGACAATAGAGAAGTCTTTTCGCGAATCCGATAGGTTCTGACGTACTCGTGTGCGCCGGCAACTGGTCCTGGAGAGTTCATCGCAACATCTTGGTCAGAGAGTCTGACTGGTTCAAAGACAACCTACCGGAACTTGAAAAGGTAGCTAGTTCAATGCAGTAAATCCAGGAACAACTGACCTGACCACTTCAGGACGAGGATCTCATCAAAATTACGTTTGACTGTGCATCGGAGACACTTGGGTACTGCATCAGATTCATGTACATGCAAAGTTAGTACTGCAAAGCTTGTGGCCTCGGAAAAGCCATGTTGACTCAACACTGCAGGAATAGAGGAGCTACTGGAAGCGAAGCCCTGCGACATGAGCCATCTGCCGCGATGTGTCTTGTGCTATTGCGCCGCCGTCTACTTTCGAACCAAGGGCATGATACCTCCAATATTGCGTATTGTGGAGCTTACTGCGAAAGACCTATGTGAAGACTTGAGCGGACTGCACCAGAGAAACAATGGAGTATCAACGAGGGCGGTAACTTTAAACGAGAATCATCTTCTCGATGCGCTTGACCTGATATACAGTCAGGAGAACCAAGCCATCATGGAACCCATGCGGATTGCCATGGTGACGGTACTGGATGCGACGCTATTCTTCCAGATTCACCGGGATTACTTCATGGAGAAGCTGAGAGCATATCCCTGGATTCCAAACATGCAAGAAGACTATGCTGAATTCCGTCGTCAGATTGGGTTCAGCCGTCAGAGCTCCATTATCCCCAGTGGCGAGGCATTGGACACGATGCTTTCTCATCTGGACCTGAAGCACACCGCAAGCATCGAGATTTAGCAATTCCCGAGGGCACCGACAGATTGGCACCTTGCTCGATCTTACCCAGGCTCTCCGGAGTCATATTCGACTACTGTCCAAAACTTGCGCCGCCCGAGCTCCCAGGCAGTAGGAAGTGGACGACGTGACAGCCGACGGGTTACTTTCGACCTTGGACGCCACTCCATGAGCTAGGGTGGCGTTTTCGTGCGGGTTTCCAGCAGGCAGACTGTCTCATTGTCAGAGATCGTCTCGTAGAGAACACTGTAGTCGCTCTCGCTTTCACCCGAGATAGTCACTAGCTCGCAAAGCACAAGGGCCTCGCGAATATACAGCGGAGCCCCGAGCGAGCGAGCGTGGATGGAAGGAAATCGATGGGTCTCTCTTTGCGGAGACAAGCGGCATTTGTCTAGAGCGTTTTAGTTCCAAGGTTTGGATTATTAGAGATATCAAAGCAGCAGTCAGCGAAAACCACTCTGAAAGATGTTCTGTGATTGAGTCTCGAGCGAGGCCCAGCTGCTTGTGCGGCGTACAACTAGAAACGTGAACAAAGTGGATATGCCGTAATTAGTGTTTAACAAGCCCCAGCTATTCCAACTTAGATCGAACAAAAAACTGCATTGCTTTCATTATTCGTAGTAGTGCACCTCGAAATCAACATCTCCTGTATCGGTCATCGTATGAATCATAATAATGATCGTGGCACCTCTCCCTTTCCCTCTCCTTCTCTCTATCCGTAATATGAATTCGGGTCTCGTCTTCGATCATCCGCCGTGGAGGTTCCTCGCAGTACTCGATTCTTTGTGGCGCATGGCGTCTAGGCGCATCCACGTAGCGGAAGGTCTCGTAATGCGGTTCCTCGCGGACGGGGTATGGAACTGGAACGAAGCGATCGCGCTCAATGTACACTTCTCGCTCAAAGGATTCCCTCCTGTCGCGCGATCTGGATTTGGAGCGCGACTTCTTCTTCTTTGGCTTGCGCACCGGTGTCGGGTCTATGTCGACAGAAATGACATCTATGGGGTCCGGCGTAGGCTCCCTCGGGGGCGGAGGGGGGGGTGGTGGTGGCTCTGGAATGCATGGCTCTGGCTCTAGGACTGGGAGAGCAGGAGGAGGTGGTGGGGGAGGAGGTGTCGGCTCGCGAGGCGGTGGTAGTGGCAGAGGCTCGCAGTAGACCGGAGGTGGAGGAGGTGGTGGGACGAAGCGAGTGACCGACTTGCGCACAACGGCGACGTCGGGTTCTGGGTGACCCAAGTAGAGTCGCTTCTTCGTGCCGTGGCGCTCGCGAAGGGCTGGAGATGGTTAGTCTTTGGAGCGCAGCTGGCGATGAGTGCTCAAGCATGTACGAACCCATGATGAGATGCTCAGCGACCTTTCGCAGGTTGGGACACTGTTGGTGATGGCGGCTTTGACCTCGGGCGTGGCTCAGTCGTTTCCAACAATTGGAGCAGACAAGGTGATGAAATCAGATTCGAGTGTTTACAGGAACCACGCGCCAGAACTTCGAGAATGAAGAAGTGGACCGGAGAGACTGCTTGATATTATGGCATGGTCACGACGACCCCAAGGCGGGGGTGGTATGACGTTGTTCTTGACGTTGGGCACATGCATGATTTCCAAGATTTGCATCGCAGATGCTGGTGATGAGAAGCTATCACTTTAGTTAGCGGGTTTGGCGTTTTCCTGCTAGTGCAGTATTTCACAGCCTCGTGCAAGCAGGGAAATGCCCTGCAGGTTGGGTTTCTGTCCACAATTAGACAGAAGTGACCAATGTACTAAGCTAGGGAGTACGTAGAACAATGATGCTTCCTAAGCGTTTTATATTACTTTTGGCACACGGCCTGAAGCTTTAGTAGACATGAATCCGTGCGCCGTTCAGTGGCCGAATTTCGTCAGTCTCTAATCATTATTTTGCCTGTGTTATAGCAGTCTCGGATGTACGACTCCACCACATCCAGAGCACCTGGTTACGTACTCAAGGCTCGGGTTCATGAATCTTATCTTTCGGCGGCTAATCCAAGGGGCATATATTAATGCTAGCGGCAGCAGGGGCCTCGATAAATCTGGTGGGGTGCAGATGCAGCCTCCCTTGCGATCGCTGTTCCTGTCTGTGGGCAGATTGCATGTCAAGTTTCAGCATTGCAGCAAATCTAGGTACACGCACACAGCTGCAGCACAGATGGCGCTGACACGGGGTTGATCTCCAGTTTCAGCTGGGGTAGATCGTAAGGAGTACGCGCCAAATAAATATTACCCACGAAACTCTACGTACCACGGCCCCATGCCTCGTGAGATAGCGTTTGTATGTGAGTGATGACTGTGGGGAGCATTCCACACCGCTTGTCCATACATAGACTTCCAGGGGATCCCTACCTACTGTCAAGAGGTTGGTTGAAAGCAAGTCTATCTCAGCACAACGGCTAGCACGGGCTGATTTACATTGACTACACCCGAGGAATAGTGTCGAATTATAAAATAAGGACGCTTGGAGAAAGAGCTGGTGTGCCGGTTGGAAACGCGAGTTCCATTCATATCGGCGGTTAGGAGGAATCCAAGAATGTTAAGAACTGAACCGCCCATCACTGTTAACTTTTGGGCGACCCTAATATCCCCTTCCAAGTTAGCTCAGTCAGGATGCTTCAAGCGCGCTATGTGATCGACTGCGCTCGTGCTGTTGACGGCCTCGGAAGCCGAGGAATGTACATGAGGTGGTCTAGAATGTCAGCAAGTGTCCCTCTAAGGCTTCTATCACAAAACTTGATATTACCTACCTCACTACGTATGAGTACTGGCGTGTCTTGAAGTAAGTTAACCTGCTTTCCGACCAACGACTGGACGGACCCGAGGACTGCAAAGTTCAGGCTTTTGACTCGCTGATTCGCGCGCTGGAAATTTGTATGGAGCACCAGCGCCCCGGCAGATGGCTCAGATGATGCGGCTGGCTCATCCTAATTAATTACTGACTCCTACAATCCAGGATATCACTCTTTCCCCTGATCCAAGCCCGAAGCACTGCGAATCCCAGTTTGGTCCAGGCACCATCTTATCTACCTGATCTGTTGGTCGTCGGACTCTGGCTAAGACTGACTCTGGTGCTGCGCACAACCATCCACAATCACACGCGGGAATTAATTACTTAGGTCGACACATCTCGACGACTAGCCAGCGCGACGTCTTTCCTCGTCGACTTGGGACCTCGCTCACGACTTCAAAAGCTTTCCTTCCTATTGTCTGCTGTATCCGGACCTGCTCGCTGTTTGGGTCTTTGCCGGCTCGACCCCACTGACAAGGGGTCACTGACGGTCCCCAACCAGGGGCAGCACCACCTGAGATATCCATATTATTTCGTTCTCTCCTATTCGATGCCGTCAACGAACCGGAGTGCAGGGACCGGCAAGCCACTCACCACAGCCTCCAGTGATCTCTGGAGAGGCTGATTGAAAATGCCATCGCATCTTCCAACTTCAACTTCGCCTCGCAATGCGTCGTCGAATCCGTATCCGAATAGCAGTAGCCAACCCAGCTTTTTCAACGACAGCCCTACCATCGTCCGCTCGGTGAACACTGCAGCCTTGACTTCGAAGGCAGAACTTCCCTCCTTGGGCTTTCCAGCACAACAGTAAGCATTGCACATTTTCTTGTCCTGCCACAAGGCGCGTGTGTCTCCGAGACCCTGCGCCGGATGCGTTTCACATGGGTTCGCGCTTGACATACCCCGTCTTTTCTGCTTTACTACGTACTCCCCTTCATACCCCGTATCCAGTTGCTATATGCGAGCTGCGCTGGTCTTCCGGATCGTTGCTCACATTCGTGCCGCACGATCCCGCTGTGCAGGCGCTCCTGTCGTGTGACATTCGTACCCTCCTATTGTAGTGGCATCTTACTCACCTACCCGTCATTGCAGGAGATATCCACAAGGGTCGACACCGAGCCCTTTGGCAACAGGCAGCCCCCGAAGCGTCACGTCGCCGACCAGCCTGAGCCCCGTACACGACAACAACTCACCTCGCGCTCCTTACGTACGAGCCGTGAGCTCGCCCATGAAGAGAGAACCACAATCACCAACTGCCAGGCAGACCACATTCTATAGCGACTCTTCCGCCGCGCCCAGCCCTGAGTCAAGTCCTAGGTCAGTCGCTACATTAGATTTGACTTTGGCATATTGTGTCTGACCGAGTTCACGCAGACTACCGCCATCCACCAATCCCAATGATTCCCCGGCGTCGACCAGCCACTTGAGTTCGAATTCCAAAACACAGGCTAGACCTGTTAAGCCGGCAATGGCTGGCCCAGTCGCCGCAACGAAGAGCACACTGGACGCGGAATTGACCCGGAAGAACTCGATCGACTCTGCTATTTCGGCAATATCATCGCAAGCTCCGTCAACGCAGAATGGAGGGCAGGATGCGTCGTATGCGTCCTCGGACGTGGCTGCTCTTGTGACCAAGGCTGGGAGCGCCGAGGCGGTCATACAAAGTCTCTTGAAGGACAAGCACTCGCAGGCTCAGCAGAACAGCCAGCTCTGGCGACTTGTGGATAAGCAAAGAGCCATGATCCTTGGCCTGAACAAGGACCTCGAACGTGCTCTCAAGGAAAAGGAAAGATACAGGGCTAAATTGAAGGAAGCCCTGTCGGGCCCAAAGCCAGCAGGAGCTGACATGGGACGACAAGATTCGCAGATTCTCTCTGGTCCCAGCTTACCACAACTCGATGTCAAAGGGGCCACGGAGGTGTTCAATAACCAAACGGAATCCCCAATGTCAGATTCGCCAATTCAGACCATTTCTCCTATCAACACTGTCCTTGCGCCGTACCCAACATCACCTCCACTGGGCGGATTCACGACGGATATGATCACGGCGGAGCCAGCCGAGGCAATGCCAATCCCTCAAGAGCACGCTTACGGCCAGTATGATCACGACGCTGATGAGAGAGCGGCTGATCAAAACCGTAAGCAAAAGGCCGAACAGCAACAGCCCCATGGGCTGCACTACACGAGCGCTCTACCACCATCTCGTGGACTGCCGCCAGATCCACCTAGGGGCCCGCCACCGAATCCGCCCAACCGATCAGCTCCCAATATGTCTGTAGTGGGAGCAACACCACAAGTGGACGAGGGTATCTCGAGTTTTCCAACCCCACCTAGAAAAGCGCCGCCTGCACCCTTACAGTTACAACAGCATACTGCACACGAGAACGCAATCGACGATGACACGGACTCGGATCTCGACGACATTCTCGAAGTGGGCGAACTAGGCCAGAAACGAGGCCGCAGGCGAACACGCGCGGAAGATGACAGGGACCGCGAGATACGTGCCTGGAAAGAGGCCGAGGCAAGAAGCGCATCAAAGAAGAGCAGCACAAGCAAGCCCACGTCGCCCGTTGAGCCATCACCCCCTATTGTTTCCGGAGCGCCTCACATAATCACACAAGAAGTTGGCACCGCTTCACTTGCTGCTGTCTTATCAGGGGGCGAGCGTAGCAGGGAACTCATGATGCCGCCCATCATGAGTCCAGGTCTTCCCGCGAGCCCGAGACCTGGTGCAACGACCAAGGGGACTAATCTTCAGTCACCTCCTCTTTCGCCACGGACTATGGGTAATTACCCAGCAGCGCCGCTGTCGCCACGGCCACCGCGGGCACCGATACCGCTTCCACCGAACACGCCGCTTGCGACACCTGCGGCCGGCCATGGGGACACCGTGACCAAGGAACCAACGCACGTCGCGGCTCATTCAAGAGAGCCAGGGCCCTCAACGAACTCGACCAGGAGTCGCGACAGTCCAGTCGAAAGAACACAAATATATAAAGGATTGACAACTGAAGAATATCCCGATCTTCTGCTGCCGCCCAATGCTCTTCCCTCTATCACTATGCAAGTGGCGTCGTCGCGGATGAAACCATCGCGCGCAAGTCTCATGTCCTTGACCCAGCTAGAAGAGGATCCTGTCTTTACTTTGGCCATCATCTCGAGATCGGATGGCGGCGAATTGTGGCGCGCCGAGAAAGACTCGGCTTCGCTACTCAAGCTCGACAGCAGACTCAAGCAATGTGCTGCGTTTACTGCCACCACCCCTGATCGGTCACTCTTTGTCGGCCATGCGCCAGCAAAGGTGGACGCGCGCCGGGCCGCGCTGGACCACTACCTGGATGAAGTACTCAACACACCCTTTGACCTTGCCACAGCACTGGACCTGTGCAAATACCTATCGACAAACACGCTACCACCCAACACCGATGAGATGGGCGGTTCTGTTAGCGGCAGTGTCGAAGGAAGTTCTCATATGATTGGGCCCGATGGGCGACCAATTCGCAGCGGGTACTTGACCAAGCGCGGGAAGAACTTTGGCGGCTGGAAGTCGAGGTTCTTTCTACTTGACGGGCCTCTCCTCAAGTACTACGAAACGCCCGGCGGTGCTCACCTTGGCACAATCAAGCTTCAGGGCGCGCAGATTGGCAAGCAGCAAAATCAAGGTAGCGAAAGCCAGTCGCCAAGTCAGAGCGGGAACCCTGAGGATTCGGAGAGTCAATATCGGCATGCCTTCCTCATCCTGGAGCCTAAGAAGAAAGATTCGAGCACGCACGTCAAGCACGTGTTGTGCGCAGAAAACGACCGCGAGCGCGACCTATGGGTTGATGCGTTGCTACAATGGATCGACTTTGGCCGCGACGACAATGACGGTCATAATCAGAAATCGAACGGGACCTCGAAATCTTCTTCGGGACGGCAAGGAAACAAGAGCAAGAAGGGGAGCGGTAGCCAGGCCAAATCGAACCACCATGCGGCTGACTCAGATGCCCTCGTGGGGGTGCGATATGACGCAGTTCAGCCTGGAGATGCACCCTCGAATAGTTTGGCAGGCCGCCACAAACCGTCTGCCGGTCCTGGTGAAAGTTCGCAGTTGGCAGGCGACACGATGAGTTCCCAGGTCAAGGTCATCTCTGGACCCAAAGACCCACAGCCAATATCAGACACAGCTGCATGGGGCAACAAGTCAGGCCTGACTGCCCCTACATACGAAGAGAAGAAGGCTCGAAAACGTAGTTTCTTTGGCTTTGGGCCCAAGATGCGCTCTAATTCGGACGGGCAGGATTCGATCCCAGGCGTGGGCGACCTTCACAGCTCGACACCGCCATCAGGGCATTATCATGCCCAGACGCCAGTCCGCCCCGTCTTTGGCGCGCAGTTGGCTGAAGCGGTTCGGTTCTGCCCGCCGTCCGACGTGAATGTACCACTGCCATCGGTCGTTTACCGTTGTATCCAGTACCTCGATGCCAAGGACGCTGTGCTGGAAGAGGGTATCTTCCGACTGAGCGGATCCAATTTGGTGATACGTCAGCTTCACGAGCGCTTCAACGTGGAAGGCGACATCAACTTGATCACGGACGAGCAGTTCTACGATATCCACGCCATAGCATCGTTGCTAAAGCTATACCTGCGAGAACTCCCAACGTCGATCTTGACAAGCAAGCTTGCGCCTCAATTCGAGCAAACAAATGCCATCCCTGATCGTGCACAGAAGCTGGGGGCCCTGCGGGAGTTGGCGCAGATGCTTCCCCTTCCCAACGCGACTCTACTCAAGTACCTTTTGGCTTTCCTCATCAAAATCATCAACAATTCCGACGTCAACAAGATGACGGCGCGTAATGTGGGCATTGTGTTTTCGCCCACCTTGAATGTACCGGCGCCTGTTTTTGCGACCATGATGCAGTACTACGACGCTGTTTTTGGTATTCCGCCTGAGCAGTACGAGCTGCCATTCTCAGGATCAGAGCAGAGTAGCCAGGATATTTCGTCACGTTTCGAGCCACCAGCTCCTGCAAGGCCATCAACGTCATCTGGTACGCCTTCGCCCCATCGCCAGACACGCATTGATTCAACGCGCGACTATCAGAGGTCGACGCCGACGCCGCCACTGTCGAATCTGAACCCAGCCCGCGAGTCGCCGACACCTCCTCTCAGCCAAGGTCACGGCCATGACCAGAGGTACCACTCCCAGCGGCAAGATCCTGGGGCACATGCTCCTCGTGGCGCATACGACGCAATGTACGGCGCGCCTCCCAAGTCAGCTACGCACGGTGGCTTTCCGCCCCGGAACCAGTCTGCGGCTTACGACCGTGTGCAATATCATCAGCAACCGTACCCAGAGAGCAGTTCAAAGTTGGCCGTGCAAGATCAGACACACGGTGCTGGTAACCGCGGCCGACGCGAGAGTGCCATGTACATGGGTCTCCAAAACCAAAGCTCCAGAGGTTACCCCCGCGAGACACAGCGACAGTGAGGGTCGCTGCTGGGCGGCCTCACTTACATGAACACCCATTTTTCTGCTCGGCACATTTCTATTTGTTCTGGTTCTTGCAATATTATAACATCATGATACCACTTCTTGCTTCATGATACCGTTTTTCTTACGTTTCATCTCCATCGCATTGGTGGAGTTTGTGAGGGCGGTTCGACATGAAGATATGGCTTGTTTTAGGAATACTATGTGGAGTATATGCCCAGGAGTTCGGGGAGCACTGGTTGTCGAGATAGTAGCTCGATCATACTCGGGAAATAAATTTAAATTTTCGTGACGGCCTCTGGTCCTGATGTCGGTGTCGTGATGTGAGCGAGCGGTACTTGGGCCAAGCCAGGTACAGCAACCGTGCTGTGCAATGCACAATGACAACGTTGCTGAACCCCTGAAGCTTGATTGTGGTGTTACCCAAGCTAGCACACGAAGACTACGGAAGCTTTCCAGAAGAGGCGAGGTGTTCAACGTTCCAATATCAGGGCAGATAGTACGCACATCGTCACGCTACTTATCGAGTCTCGGGTGACACAAGGCCTCTGCTGTGAGCACCCCCTTGGTTGGCCATGTGGCTCATCCTCGCACTGCAGTGATAGAGTCACCACAAGCGACTGTGCGTGCGTCGTACTTGGTCTCATAATACAGAGAGGTAGGTGAGTAGGTACTTTAGATGATTTCAACTTCGAGGCAAGGTCCGCAAGCATGAGTCGATCAATCGGGCGGGCGGGCTTGCTTCTCAAAACACTTGCTTTTATGTAGTGCCGAGCCCCGTGCAGGGTTGATACCTGAGGTAACTTAGTGGCCTCAGCCTACCTGGTGAGGCAGGCCTACGGTGCAATGAGTCAGTGGGTTCATTTAGTGCCCAAGTCATGAACCTGATTCATAGGTCCAGTCCCCTTATTGTTACGGCGACAGGCAGGCAGTGACTTTGGTGGGGTCCGTGTTTGCGGGGCAATTACCTCCGTCCATGCGTCGCAATGATTCCCAATATTAGACCTGAATGCAGCTCTTCATGAGGCACCGGCCCGTTCCCATTCATGCTCACATATCTTAGCCTTCCCTTCACCCAAACACACCACTGATCATTACCAAAGAGTCGGCTATCATTCGGCTACCAATTTGCTAGTTTTATTTGGGACGACGTCGCTCGCAGTCTAGCGCGCCACCAGTGCATTCGACCATCCCCTGCTCTGACCTACGTATAAGACGGCAACATCACCATCACCATCGGGATATCACGGCATCATGTCGGCCGGCATGAGTGGTCGGCGTTTGATGAAGGAGCTGAGTAAAGTGCGCAAACGGCCCTCGGCGCTTTTGATCCGCGTACCAAACGACTGCTCACACATCGCATGTTAGATTCAGAACGATGGGCTTCCTCCTGGGATTGAGCTGGTCTCGTCTGGGGAGAGTGATGCCGACAACAGCGATTGGCTACTCGACATCCGCGTCCTGGACGACAATCCCCTATACAAAAACCAAGTCTACCGGCTACGATTCAGATTCCCGAAAGCATATCCTATAGGTACGATCTGCACCGCCTGTTCTCCGCAATTTCGAGGCTGAGCAACTGATGTCTTGTCAAGAACCACCCGAAGTGACGTTCGAAAACCGCCCCGACCGACCGATCCCCATGCACCCTCACGTCTACTCAAATGGCATCATCTGCCTCGATCTCCTTGGCAGCCAAGGCTGGAGCCCCGTGCAAAGTGCGCAAAGTGTTTGCATGAGCATCCAGAGTATGTTGACCAGCAACAACAAGAACGAGCGGCCCGAAGGCGATGAGCAGTTCGTCAAGATGAACAAATCGAGGCCGAGGGATATCCAATTCTTGTATGACGATAATACTGTTTGAGCGGAGGGTAACATCAAATTGCGTTTGCTATGGCGATTGCGGCGATAGTGGAATATTAGGTCGAACCTGGAGAAATCTGATTTCGCGATTTGTCGACCAGCCTCGTGCAGAATCATGGCTCTAGTTAGAAGAATGGCGTCTTGGTATTGCTTTCTATATAATACGACGCGGCATCCTACGCCCTGATCATGGACACATATGTGGACCACGAGCCATGTCAAGGCAAAGAGGGGAACTAAGCGATGCCATTTCCAAGAGCACGTTTCTGCTTGCTAAACCTCTAAACGGATCTAGCACCGTCCGAGCAAGTGCAAAGTATTCAACTCTCTTGCATGTACATTAGGATTAACGAACACATGTTTAACCCAAGGGAACTTGTAAAGAATGGCGATCACCTCCACCATCCACAGCGAATGACGTCGCCAATTCGAGCATTGTGCAGGCAGGGGTGGGGGAGAGTGATCGGTCGGCGCCCAGGCGGGTTCATCACGCCCCGCAATCCGTTCGACGTACCTTACCTACCTGAGCTCCAACGACTGGAGCAGCTCGAATGCCTACCTCCAGCATCTTCACCGCTCAACGCTCACAACGAATCTCTTAGCCCGCTGGCCGTCTCCTTACTCAACCTCTGCCTGCGGTGAGCCGTCATGGCTCCACGCACAGAGTTCAGCATCGATCAATTGCGCAACAAGGCTCGCAAGGACCTGCTTTACTTGCTCGAGGGTGTACGTAAGGCTCTCTCGCCCCCGTTCGCGCTTCTGTGTACGTCTCAGCTAATCTCACGCTCGCTTGTCCAGGTTCGGGGTAAGAAGAATGTGGTTCTTGATCGCAGCCTCGTCGGTCCGGTTGGGACCATCGTCAAAGTCTCGACACTCCAGGAGTACGGCGTCGATAAGTTTTTCGTCCTCGAGAACGACAATGTCGACTCGACGCAGAGCAACGTGGTGTTCATCGCGCGAGGAGAATGCGGGCGTCATGCAGAGACGATAGCAGGTCAGTCGCCCACCATCGACACTCAACCACCGCTGGCTTCGCGAATCCACCGCGGCATGCGATCTTGAGTATCGAGCTGTGTTACTGACGCTCAGTATAGCTCAAATAAAGCGGGTGCGACGCGAAAGCCAGATTGGCCACGAGTTCCACATCTTCTGGGTTCCACGGCGAACGCTAGTATCTGATCAGTTGCTCGAGGAGGCTGGTGTCCTAGGTGATGTTAACGTGTCGGAGCTGCCGCTTTCGTTCTTCCCTCTTGAGAAGGATGTCTTGTCACTCGAATTGGACGATGCATTCCAAGATCTATATCTCTCGAAAGATATTACACCAAACTTCCTCGTGGCAAGGGCCCTCATGGACATACAGACCAGCCACGGGCTGTTCCCGCGGATAACAGGCAAAGGAGACAACGCCAAGCGAGTTGCTGATCTGCTTGTGCGCATGCGACAGGAGGCTCTCGCTGGCGAAGACTCAACCGAGGCCAGTCGAGCGGGACTGACACCGAGTACAACGAACGAAGGTGTCATTATCATTGATCGCGAGGTCGATTTCGTGACGCCATTGCTCACGCAACTTACATACGAAGGTCTGATCGACGAAGTTTTTAAGATCCAGAACAACCAGACCAAGGTAGACACGACAATTGTGGGAGCGCAGGCCCAGTCCTCTGCAACAACGTCACAAGCCCGCCAGCAAACCGTTCAACTCGATTCGAGCGATAACCTATACGACCAATTGCGTGATGCTAATTTCGCCATTGTCGGTTCATTGCTGAACAAAGTCGCTCGCCGGCTAGCTGAGATGCAGTCAGACTACGAGGGAAAGCATAAACAAAAGAGTATCGCGGAGCTTAAGGAATTTGTCGGACAGCTTCCGGCTTATCAACAAGAACACCGAAGCGCACGCATTCATGCAGGCCTAGTAGAAGAGATCATCAAGCATACTCGCAGCGACCAATTCAGAGGTTTGCTCGAGGTACAGCAGAATCTCGCAGCTGGTGCAGACCCCTCTACGCAGTTGGAGCGTATCGAGGAACTAGTGGCGCGGAATGCACCTCTCCGCGAAACCCTGAGATTACTCTGCATCTACTCGTGCATATCGGGGGGTATCAAGCCTCGAGATTTTGATCACTTCCGAAGATTGATCCTGCAAGGATATGGGCATCAGCATCTGCTGACGCTGAACAACCTGGAGAAGCTGCAGCTCTTCTTGTCGCGATCCTCTTCACTGGCCAACATGATACCCGTCACAGGCAATGCTGGCAATGGCGATGGAACCAAGACCAACTACTCGTATCTACGTAAACAGCTGCGGCTCATCGTGGACGAGGTACAGGAAGACGACCCGAACGACGTGGCCTACGTTTATAGCGGCTACGCTCCGCTGTCTATACGACTCGTGCAGTGTGTCCTTCAGAAGCAGTACTTATTGAACGCGACAAAGGGTGGCACTGGCGGCGGGTCTGGCGGTGTGGCCTCGGGCGTAGGTTCGCAGGGCTGGCATGGGTTCGACGATGCAGTGAAGCATGTTCGCGGAGCGACTTTCTACGAGCACCAGAAAGGCGAGGACAAGGCCGTCAAAGCGCGGGCTTTGTTGTCTGGAAACGGGAGCCGGCAGACGGTGTTCGTGGTTTTCGTGGGTGGTATCACGTTCACTGAGATTGCTGCCCTGCGCTTCATCGCAAAGCAAGAAGAGGGTAAGCCGAAAGCCATGCATTATTCCATGCACAATTTTAACGCAGTGTCAGGCCGGCGCAACATCGTCATATGTACGACCTCGATCATTAGCGGAAACCGAATGATGGATGCGGCCCTCGAGACAGGCTCCTTCGCGAAAGAGCAGCCGGTCGACGCTTCGGCGTAAGCTCCAAGGCGACATGTTCTCTGTCGATGAATCGCATGCAGCGACAAGAACCGGTCGTGTTATACCCAATATCCAAGGCTGATCTGAGTTTAAGAAAGATCACGATGCTGTTGGGATGTAATAATGTATCCACAGCATGGGAATCGACAGAGTCGGAATTCTCGAAGTGGCTCAGCCAGGACTTAGTTTTGCACGTGACTAGCGACTCGACGACACCTTCAGCATCGCCAGCTTTGAGGGGTGGCCAATAGAAGCTCCCAGTGTCGGTCTATACCATCTCCTTCCATACCTTGTATAATTCAAATAAAACATCCAGATATTTCTTATCGCCTTTCCAAAGAAAAAAGGACACCCACTTGTCAACAAAGAGTCTGTGCTCCTGCATCGCCGTGGAATTAACTTACTTTGTGCAAAGGGTCAGTGACGGCAGCAGCCAACGAAACCATCTGCCGTATTCGATGAGGCATCATACAATCAATGCACTTCACTGACTTATTTTAGAGGCATTAAATAAGGTCTATTCTCTGTCGAACAATGCATCGATCGTTGACGATAGATCGTTTGCGCTTGTACCCATAATATCCCGGCGTGGCGCGCTCTGATTGAGTTTCACGATATCATCGCACGTCTTATATCGCGCCACGCTAGACAAAGGCGTCGTCCGTTGCGACCTACGTTTCTTACGATGGCGGCAACAGCGCCAGATCATACATATGAGGTTCTTAGTTCGACCGATGGGAACGCTTTTGTCTGGAAGGCAAATTACTCCACCGCAAATTCGAACCATCATCTCGCGGCTTATCCTGCGAGTTCGATGCCATCCTCAGACAGCCATGCGCGCCATATCCGGGCATCATCACCTCACAGCTCGACGTCGTCTTTACTATCGGAGATCGACGTCGATGCATTGTCCGACATCCGATCCGTGAATATCGACAGTGACGAGGACATGGATGACGTGGGATACGATGATGTAGACGGCGGAGATGGCAATGAGGCTCTGGGAATGGACTCATCAGCCATGGACATCAGCGGGTGAGTTTGCCCCCAGAATACTCCTGTTCATTACACGCTGGTCCCGCTCGCGGAAGGTGAGCTTCTGAGTCTGACCAGTTATAGCAACGAGAACGAGGAAGGTGACAATTCGCACACCAGCAATCTCGCACCCCAGAACTCGGTCGACGGTGTCATAGACTCATTCGGGTCGTCTTATTCGGACATTTCAGATATATCTTCGGTGCCGTCAGACATCTCCAGCAAGGCTACAACCCCTGTAGATGCAGAGGGCGCTGAGGATCATCGGGAGGACGAGGAGGAGGACGGCGACGACGACGCAGAGAGCCGCGAGGACACTGCTCAAACCCCTACCACCACGTACCGCCCGTCTTACCACCACGATATCGACCGCCTCGCCTTCAATGTCCGTGCGAAATCATCGATCCCTACCGATATTCCCTCACAGCAGTATGCCTCCGAATGTATCTGGGCCGCCGAGACGTCGAGACTCAATCCATATGCTCTGCATCCGGAGGAGTATCTCCTGTTTCGGCATCACATTTCACACGCTCAAGTAACGACGTACCTCAATATCCGCAACGGCATTTTGCGTCTATGGTTAAAAAACCCTTCCACAGGCGTCACGCGCAAGGCTGCCATAGGATGCGCCAATGCTCGTTGGTTTGACGCTGCAAGTGTATGCTATGACTGGCTTCTTCGGAGGGGTCACATCAACTTTGGTTGTGTGAACGTCCCCAGTTCAGGCCGTTCCTTCTCCGGGGAACCCCCGGCCAAGAAGGCCAAGACTGTCGCTGTGATCGGGGCTGGCTTCTCAGGCCTTAGTTGTGCCCGGCAGTTGGAGTGTCTCTTCAAACAATATGCTGATCGCTTCCATGACCGCGGGGAGGAGCCACCTCGTGTGGTTGTGCTTGAAGGCCGAAGCCGGGTCGGCGGTCGAGTATATTCTAGAGAATTCAAAACACGTCCAAAGCAAAACAATCCGGCCTTTGCGAACAGGCGGCATACAGCTGAGATGGGTGGCATGATCATTACCGGATTCGACAGAGGCAACCCGGTGAATGTCTTGGTCAGAGCTCAGCTTGGCCTGTCGTATCGTGCGCTCACGCCTGATACGACAATTTACGACAGTAATGGGGAGGCGGTCGACATAGATCGGGATCAACAGGCCGAACAGCTCTACAACGACTGTTTGGACAGGGTGAGCGAGTTCAAGCACCTTTCACAGCCCTCCAAACTCATTGAGGGCAACAGTGACCTCATCGAGGAGGGACGTGACAGTCCTGGCGACGGTAGCAGGACGATCATGCAGGCTGAGAAAGCAGCTGCCGCGTTACCCCATGCATTACCCGTCTCAAAGCAGAGTGTGCCGGATAAGGTGAACATGGTACCCGTCTCTTCTGACAGGGTGACTGGCCGCGTCCATATGCAGCCTGGTGTTGCCGCAACACTCAAAGCTTCAGAGAAAGTAAAGATGATGGGGTGGAAAGTCAAGGCTGGTTCTCTCGAGAACGACAGTATTGACTTGACAGACGCTGCTCAAAAGCATGATGCCACACTTGGCTCCGTTCTCGACCACACAATAACGCAATACCAGAACTTTGTGGACCTCAGTCCTCTGGATCTGAGACTTCTCAACTGGCATATCGCCAATCTTGAGTACAGCAACGCAACCAACCTTCATATGCTCAGCCTCCCTCTTTGGGACATTGACGCTGGCAATGAATGGGAAGGAGCACACACAATGGTCGTCGGTGGATATCAGAGTGTCGCCCGTGGATTACTGCAATGCCCAGCTCCACTCGACATCAGGATGCAGCACCCTGTTGAATCAATCAACTACAACAGTGCTGATCCTCAGGAAGGTTACGCCACAATCGTGTGCGAAAATGGGACCGTTGTGGAGGCTGACAGTGTTGTGTGCACAATACCACTCGGTGTTCTCAAGCGAAACACTATCAAATTTGAACCTCCGTTGCCCTCGTGGAAGCAGGGCGTCATCGATAGGCTTGGGTTCGGAATCTTGAACAAGGTTGTGCTGGTGTATAACAAGATCTTTTGGGGGGCTGATCGAGACATTTTTGGCGTTCTTCGAGATGCCCCTGCCCGTCGCAGCACTTCCCAGCAAGACTACGGCTACAACCGCGGCCGCTTTTTCCAATGGTTCAATGTCACGCATACTACGGGTTTGCCGTGTCTCGTTGCGCTGATGGCAGGCGACGCTGGTTTCAACACTGAGTGTACGGACAATTACGCTCTGGTCTCTGAAGCTACCAGTGTCCTACGCGGTATCTTCGGCAAGGATGTACCATATCCTGTTGAAGCTGTGGTCACCAGATGGGGCTCTGATCGCTTTGCCAGGGGCAGCTACTCATCAGCTGCACCTGGTATGAAACCAGGCGATTACGACGCCATGGCCCGGCCCATTGGCAATCTGTTCTTTGCTGGCGAGCATACTATCGGCACACATCCTGCTACGGTGCACGGAGCATACCTGTCGGGCCTGCGAGCTGCTTCTGAGGTCCTGGAGGAAATGCTTGGTCCGATTGAGGTGCCGACGCCACTGGTCCTCCCCAAAGACTCACTACTCCTTCATAAGCGGAATCAATCGGCTCTTGATCCACGCCGGGCTCGTTTGGAATCTTACGAGCTGGATGTTTGGGCTCATGTCCGCTCCAAGATTGGAGAGCGACCTGTGCCTCCTCCCAGGGGCGCCGTGACTGCCTTCAGCTTGTACAGCAGGCAGCACTACGATGAGGTGAAGGCAAAGTGCAAGACGAATCGCAAGCCAGGCAAGAATCGTTCCATTGGCAACGAGGTCCGGATGAAGTTAGCCAAGATGTGGAAGGCGACATCGCCAGATGAGCGCGAGCCATTTGAAGAGCAGATCGCCGAGAGCAAACGTCTCCATGCCGAGGCCATGCAGAGGCATAACCAGCTCTGCGAGAAATGGGACCAAGAGGCTTCAGAGCTGCGGAGCGCATATGAGAAAGAGAATCCCAGTGTGCCCGGACCAGAGGAGCTGGACAGCGAGAGCTCGACTCCCAACAAGTTCCGACGTGCAAAGCCCGTGAGCTATGCCGAGAGCTGAGGTACTGTACGATTCCTCCGTATATATAGCCGCTTAGCGATTTGATTATGTGGGTGCTTGGTGTTTGGGAAAGGTGGTTTGATCCAAGGCCCAAGTGCACAATTGGGTTGAGGCTTGCAGATCACTAGATCGTAATGGAATGACATTACGAAATTCTTCATGTCCAAAAATCTGAATTGCACGATACATGCCGTACTAGGGAATTTGACGATGTCTCTGTTACATTGTGGCGAACACGGTAGGACGCCGGGGGTAAAGTAGATTTGTACAAAGGAAAAGAGCTTCTATTCCTGCAGCTGACCGCTCAATTCGCACATCGCTCGAGCTTTACATGTCCGCCGACGCGGTGGCACCAGTAATAATCTCGACCAGCTCGTTGGTAATGACGGCCTGTCGGGAGCGGTTGTACTGGATCTGGAGCTTGTTGATCATCTCACCCGCGTTCTTGGTGGCGTTCTGGGTTATTGTCAGTCGTGTCCCACGTAATTGGAGGCACAATTTCACTCACGTCCATGGCGTTTCGACGGGAAGACATCTCGCAAGCGTGGCCCTCTGCAAGAGCCCAGTACAGGGAGTTGGCGAGAGAGTACTCGCGGAGGTTGGAGAGGGACTCCTCCTCGACCTCGAAGGCGGAGAAGTTGGCTGCGCAGAGCTGTTAGATATGACTGCTACCAAGACAACCTTATGCCTTTTGATCCTCGATTCACTTACGGGACTGGGTGATGGCCTCCTCGGAAAATGCCTCAATGAAGGTAGGCTCGTAGCTGGTGGCGTTGATGAACTTGTTGTACAGGATCTTGACGTCGGTGTACTCGGTAGGGAGCAGAGAGACCTGGTCGGCGATGGCCTGGGCATCGGCAAAGGTGGGGACGTTGCGGCCGACACCAGCAAAGGTGAGCTGGAGAGACTGAGGGTTGGACCTCGACAGCTGAGCACGACACTTCTCGCCAATGACGACGAGGTCAGAAGAGCCCTCCTCGGCAAAGAGCTTGCGGATGCGACGAGACAGACCAGAGTGAATACCACCGCAGAGACCACGGTCAGACGAGCAGACGATGATGAGGGACTTCTTCTCTTCAACCTCGGGGACCTTGGTCTCGGCGGCCTCGAAGACCTCCTGCGAGGTCTCGCCGTACTTGCGCGACTCCTCCATGGCACGGCTAGCGCGGGTGAGCTTGGTGGAGGCGACGACCTTCATGGTGTTGGTGATCTTCTTCATGTTGTTCATTGACTTGAGGCGGTCGTTAATCTCGCGGAGAGTCGCGTAGCCCGCGACACCGGCGGGAGCAGCAGCGGCCCTGGAAACACGTCCATCAGCATTGTTCCTACTCAACCGTTTCCGAATTTGCCCTGATCCTCAATGCGCGGTCGCAGTTCCTTCTGTTGGTCGGTCGCATCTGGCTCGGCAAGCAAATTCTTGTCCGTCCGACTTACCGAGTGGGCACCGCAGCCGCAGCGCGGAGAGCTGAACGAGCCGTGCGGGACAGCATAGTGGTGATTGTAGAGATGACGGGGAAGATCGAGCCTCTGCCAGCGGTGGCTCAATTGATACGCAAGATCAATTGATGGGAGTGACGTTTCCTAAGGTGAGGATGGTGCTGCTGTCCCCAGTCGCTAGAGGTGGTTTTCCTGAGGTGCCATTTTCCCGGGAAATTCCCGGGTTGCTTTGGATCACGTGAGGCGTCTCTTTGCGAGGCGCTTCCAAGGCGGCTCCGATCCGGGCCGCGCATGAGTTGGGGCAGGAGGATCTTACTCGCGCGTGCTGCGGACAGCACAATCCATTTTGGGGCATGATCACAGAGTTTTGCTACCAGATGAGTCTGCCTATATGTTTCTAAATGAATATCACTCTAAGATTCTGAGAGCCGCCATCGAAGCACCCATCATGGCTGCAACTCTTCCTTTGTCCTGCCATGATGGAATTGAATCGGACACGGGCCCACAGCTTGGAGATCGCAGCCAATCCTGCAGCGTAAGCAGATTCGTGCTGAGTGGCCCCTTCCCTCGGAAGCACGCGCCGTCTAAAAGGGTAGCCTCACCCAAGATTCCAGATTGTTAGAACCTCTGCCTCACTCGCTGTGCCTTAATTCTCCGGCCCAGGTCAGATTCTCCCTCATTATTATTCTTTTGCGACCTAGGCAAGCAACTCACACGAGATTTCAACGCTGGCCACAACGAGGTGGTCTATCCACCTCTTGACCATTTGCAGATCTCTGAGTATCTCCAACTCGCCGCTACGAGTGCGCATCCAACTACCAACTCCATTCGCTGCCGTTCACACGTCATTTCAACCACCTTTCGCTGCGATCTCTTCTTTCGCGGCGCTACAGTCACCACGAGTAGCAAAGATGTCGTCTGCCTATTCAGATGATGACCAGCCTCTGGCGAAGAGCAATGGGCATTGTAAGTCATGCATTGCGCCTCTTATCGACAACTCGTCAGTCCGCATGTCTTGCGCGCTCCTCCTGTCTGCGAATGTGAGGAACGCGTTAGGATAGACTCCAGACGGTCCCTCCCAAAAACCTTGGCCCACCCGAGTCTCAACCCGCATCTCTTTTCCCCCTTACTAGCTCATGCCACACTCCGAAGTGTTCATCATTCCTTGCTCTCTCAAAATTCTCAGGCGTGTCGTGCATGAGATTTGAATGTCAACTAATTCGCTCTCTCAATCTAGTGTCCAATGAGAAAATTTCTCCCGCCGAGGACGCACGCCTTGACAAGTCTTTGCCTAACGACAAGCCTATGGCGCCTGGTATCTCCATACGCAATGGGCCAGTGGAGGATGCGATGGACGTCGACGAGCCGATGACGAATGGCCACAAGCGCAAGTCGCGGTCCTCGATTTCCAAGCCCCTGTACAAGGATGAATCAGGAAGCGAAGATGATCAGCCTCTGGTACGTTTTGAAGATGCAACAAGATCGTCGTCGCAATTATGTACTCAGACCAGCGTTAGGCGAAGCGGACCAAGACCAATGGCAACAACAACGCCGCATCGGACTCCGACGATGCGCCTTTGAAAAGCAAGAAGATGCCACCGTCGTACAAGGAGACGGCTCTACCCGATACCTCGTCTGACGACGACACTCCCCTCAATGTCAAGCTGTCGAAGAAGAAGAGTGCCATCGAGAAGGCTGCTGCGAAGGAAGCCCAGCAAATCCGAGCGAAGGACTCGAAGACCAAAGCCAAGAAGGTTGTCAAGGATGAGTCGGATGACGACGACAGGCCGATTGCCAAGAGCCGACCGTCCAATGGCGCCGCATCCCAGGCAAAACGCAAACCCAACGGCGTGAAGAAGGAAGAGTCCGATTCGGATGCACCGATAAAGAAGACCAAGGCTGCGCCCAAGAAAGCCAAGGCAACCACCGCGCCCAACAAGAAGGTCAAGGCCAAGACCGAAACACCAGACGTCGAGGATGAAGAGAAGTTTGCTTGGTGGAATGCCGAGAGCATGGGCGATGGCTCTATCAAGTGGCATACGCTTGAACACAACGGTGTCATTTTCCCTCCCGAGTACGAGCCGATGCCAAAGCACGTCAAGATGCGCTACGACGGAGAGCCCATTGATCTCAGCATCGAAGCGGAAGAAGTCGCTAGCTTTTGGGTTCATTTGATCATCACCAACTCTGTGGACAACTTGAACAAGCCGCAGTTCCGGGAGAACTTCTTCAACGACTTCAAAGAATACGTCAAGAAATATGGTGCTACAAATAAAGATGGGAAGAAGGTTGCCTTTACCAGCCTCGAAAAGTGTGACTTCCAGCCCATGGTCGACTACCTGGGCCCTCTGCACGAGGCCCGGAAGAACAAGTCGAAAGAAGAGAAGGCTGCCATCAAGAAGGCAAAGGATGAGGCCGAGGCGCCCTACCTTTACTGCATTTGGGACGGTCGGAAAGAATTGCTCGGCAACCCTCGTGTCGAACCTCCCGGCTTGTTTCGAGGCCGTGGCGAGCACCCCAAGACCGGCAAGGTCAAGACTCGAGTCTCTCCCGAGCAGGTCACGATCAACATCGGCAAGGACGCAAAAGTTCCCACTCCACCGGCTGGCCACAAATGGGGCAAGGTCGTTCACGAACAAGGAGCTACGTGGGTCGCTATGTGGAAAGAAAACATCAACGGTGCTCACAAGTATGTGATGCTTGCTGCCAACAGCGCCATCAAAGGCATGAGCGACATGAAGAAGTTCGAGAAGGCGCGTGAGCTCAAGAAGCACATTGACAAAATTCGGAAGGATTATACCAAGGACCTCAAGTCGGAGCTCAGCGCTGATCGCCAACGGGCGACTGCCATGTACTTTATCGATAAGCTTGCTCTCAGAGCAGGTAACGAGAAGGACGCTGAAAATGAGGCGGAGACTGTCGGTTGCTGCTCCCTGAAGTTTGAGCACATCACCTTGACACCACCCAACAAGGTGACCTTTGATTTTCTGGGCAAAGACAGTATTCGTTACCACGAGACCTCCGAGGTGGATCCGCAGATTTTCAAGAATCTGAAAATCTTCAAGAAACCGCCAAAGGGGGAAGGTGACGACATTTTTGACCGGTTGAGCGTAAGTCCGTCCTTCTCTTATGCCCGTATGGTTTACTGAACAATCCGCAGACGACCCAACTCAACAAGCATTTGACAAGTTACATGCCGGGGTTGACCGCAAAGGTCTTCCGTACCTACAATGCGTCCTACACCATGTCTCAAGAACTTAAGAAGCTTGACAAGGATCCCCGTGCACGGGGTACTATCGCGGAGAAGGTGAAGCTCTACAACGATGCCAACCGAGAGGTTGCAATTCTTTGCAACCACAAGAGAAGTGTCGGTGCTGCCCATGAGTCGCAGATGGCCAAGCTTGGTGACAAAATCAAGGGTATCAAGTACCAGAACTGGCGCATGAAAAAGATGATTCTTGATGTTGACAAGACCCAACGCAAGAAACTGGGCACCGCGTTTTTCGAGCGCGATGAAGACCTGACCGACGAGTGGATCAAGGAACATCAAGAATGGCTAGTAGAGCAGGAGCGCATCAAGATCACCAAGAAATTTGAAAAGGAGAACGAGAAGCGTAAGGCAGATAAGGAGAAGGCTCACCCCGAGAAGGAGCTAAAGGAGCGTCTCCGGGCTTTGAAAGACCTCGAGGCCAAGTTCAAAAAGGAGAACAAGGACAACAAAGTCGAGGCTGAAGGCAGGAGCCCGACTGTCGAGAAATTCATTGCCAGTATCGAGAAGAACGAGGAACGCATCAAGACGATAGAGTTGCAGGCTGCGGATCGTGATGGCAACAAGGAAGTTGCCCTGGGAACATCCAAAATCGTGAGTCAACTAACCCTGATCAGGCATAGATGGATGCTAATATGGCACAGAACTACATCGACCCTCGGTTGTCCGTGGTCTTCTGCAAGAAATTTGACGTCCCTATCGAGAAGATCTTTTCCAAGACATTGCGGGACAAGTTTAACTGGGCGATCCAAACCGTTGAGGATAACGAAGATTGGGAATTTTAGATGTTGGCCATTGGACAGGCAAGTTACATATGATCTCTTCGAAACGAAATGTATGCATTGGGCTTAGCATGGTGGAGGTTCAATCATCTCCCGACCTAGTATCAGTTTACAGGGATGGATGCATCATATATCAGAAGCATGGGAAGCGCGGCGAATATCGTAGAGTTGGGTAAGCAAGGTAAGACCCGGACAAGATTCGGTCTTAGATGAAAGCACTACGAAGCTAGTACTTGATCCGCAAGGCTTACCAGAGAGGCATATACAATACAGCAGCAATCTTAGCTTTGATGACAAAGGCTACACAGGCTCACTCAGTACGCAAGCGATGTGTGCGAGGCAAAGTATACAACAAAGTCCAGCAATGGACTTGTCTTGATTAGTATCGATGATGATCATCTTGCTGCCCATCCTTATCTTTATATACACCTTGCACAATATGCGCCAGCACCTCAACTCTATTCTATATATGCGTGTGTATCATGTCGCCAATCCGTAAATGCTGATCAATGAGTCCGAATCCTAGATGCGCCAATAGAACCATGCAATGCAACGTTGCCAAACACAGTGAAAGGAAATCCGAGCAACCAGAGGCCTTGGGTCCGAGCTGTGGCCCAGAGTATACCCATCGCTCGCCAAGCTGAAGTGCCGCCATTCCCCCTTACGCCACGTTTTCTTGTCGATCAATTTACTACAAGACAAAAGCGCCCAACAGGCCCGCGAGGAGAAGCATCGCCATTCGGGGCGCTTGTACCCTCAGCGAGCTACTGGGGAGCAGCTTGCCTTCGTCGGTCATTACCCAACCGTCTGGGATGGCGCTATCGGTAGGGCTCGAGCTGCCGTCCCAGGGCCACCCTGTCTGCGTGAGCGTCGCCGAGCTGCCGTCATCGGCGATACCCCCGACGGGGACGGAGGCGTCCTCAGTCATGGCCGATCCCTCGGCGGTGGCTGTGACGGTGATGGCGTCCTCGTTGTCAATGTTGCCGTTGACCTCGCCGTCCTCGGCCTCGATGGACTGCCAGGACCCCGAGTTGTCGGTGTACTTGTACTTCTTGCCCGTGGAGTAGTCGGTGATGGAGAGCCTCTGGACGCTCATGGTGAAGGGGCCCTGGCTGTAGTCGGTCGGGCCGCCCGCCCACTTGACGGTGCCCGAGGGGTTGTGGTTGGGGTCACCGCCGGCCCAGGCGCCGAACTTGACCTGCATGGGGGTCTGCGGGTACTGGTTGTCCTCGGCGTCGTCGTAGCCGAGCTGGCGCACGACGGTGCCGTCCACCATCCACACGATGCGCTCGTTTGTCCAGTCAATCGTGTAGGTGATCCAGTCGGACTGCGTGTTCTTGACGTCGTGGAACTGCCCGCGGTTGTAGGTTGTCGTCTGGCCCTTGCCAAAGTAGTTGCTCTGCATCTCGTCTGGGGAACCGCCCAGCCATTCGATGTCAATCTCGTCCAGGGTGTCAGATTCCAGTACCAGAGAGGAGACGATGCCCGCGCCGGGCGCTGCCTTCATTGTGATTTCGACGCGGCCAAACATGATGGTGAAGAGCGATCCCAGTTGCGGTGCGTCGCCTCCTCGGGCGACTGTGAATTGTGCGCCGTCTTGGTCGTCGTACTTCGGTGAGCCGGATGCGGCGAAGGAGTTGACCTCGCCTTGAGTGAAGTCGACGTTGATGGTCATGCCAAGGGCGATGTTGGCTGGGCACTCGGCTACCGTGGGTCAGTCGTGATCGTACACGATCGACGGTGGGATGACTCACTATTCAAGGGATTGCAGTCTGTCCACGTCTGGGCAGTCGCTGTGCTAGCCAACAGGCCACCCAGTAGACCAAAGCCGCTTCGCCAGACCTTCCGCATTGTTGTATGTGATGGAGATAGTACAGCGAGTTTGGCGGGTTGGGTTGCTGGTCTGATCGCCACTGGGTCTTGGGCAAGGCAGAATCAATAGAGAGAGGTTGTGTGTGTAAACTATCCGTACAGGTGCTTTTGATTAGAAGAGGAGTGGCAAGTGTGTGTCTTTGAGGGGAACGTGGAAGATTGGGCCTCGAAGCGGCTGGTTGGGTACATCAATCAACCACGATCCCAGCCACCTCATGCAGATGCTTCTCGACTCTCTCGTCATTGACGTGGCTTCGCAGGTGTCGCATGACTCTAAAATCTGGGCGCGCCAAACTCAAAGTGGACATTACCAGGGTAAACATCGAATTGCCCAGGAAACACGCTGGAAATCAAGACTTTTTAGCAAGGCTTTTGCTGCGTCGGGCCTTGGCCTAGCACTGGCGTAGGGGAGGTTGGGAAGTCGGTCGTCATGCAATGGGGCTTGTGGCGTAATAAAAACATGTGGCTGGGAACGGAGTAACTTTATCGGTATTGCCACCTACCTACCCTAGACATCGAAATCCTCCATCGCGCAGAAACAGTTATATCCGTATATTGTCAACTCCTGCGGCCCTCACTCCATTGCAGTCGATCTTTCAGTTTCTGTTTGGTCTTCAATTGATAGATTGATCAGACGCACAAGGGAGTGGTTGAACACCAAGTTTGCTCTTAGGGTATGTGGGCGACGCAGACGTCCACGTCTCTGCGTTCCCCCAAGGCAACATTGGCGACGCCATCATTGCTCCATTCCTTATCAGGCGCGAAATCACCTGTGTTGGGCATTGGTGAACAGTGGAAACATAGTGTCTCTAAGTGCCTATGACCACACAATCGATTGTGGTGTTCTAATGGCACCAGAGGTTTCCGCCGTGGCATAGCCAACCGCATGGGCTTTCATATGCGGTGCTTGGTCGCGACGTAAGGGCGGCATTGTAGCCGACTTATTATAGTTCGCTCAGACTTCACAACGAGTAGCATGGCGATTGCACTCCGTACGTGTACAGCAGTCAAGAGGGGTGAATCTATCGTGTAGCCGCGCCCGCTGCATATACCTCCTGGTAATGCCTCGACACGCGGCAGTCGCCATTTGTCTTCCAGCACTTGTGACCTTGATCACAACAAGCCTGGGCAAACCGCTTTTCGTTGTTTCAGTGGCGAAGCGGCAGGCATAAGAAGGGTTTGAAACATACCTGCAAGAAACATAAGCGGCATGCCCGACTAAAGGGCGGTCATGCATGAAGACGTGCAAACAACATTCCTGAGCTGCGAGTGTTTAGATCATCAGCGCTTTCTGGGATATTCGTATGAGGCGTATGTTGACCATGGGCCAAGGCCAATGACTTGTATATGAGGAGGCCCCTCGTAGACGGCGACAGCAAGTAATGCCCTACGTCCACCTGTGCGCAGGTTTGCGTCCAATGGCAGCGTCCACAGGTGGCAGAGCTGCTTGTCGTAGGGTTTGGACTCGCGTGTCTCAGACGCGCCCTAGATCCGTGTGTAAGACCCTTCCCCACAGACTCATCATCTCAAACATGACGTGCCGCCGGCGATCTTGGATTTTGTCCGCGTCATTCCCATGCCGCTGTCTCGGATCGTAACGCGTTACCGCAAAGGACGCATGGAGACGCGCTGGAGTCCAAAGCAAGGTGCCGCCTCAAGTTGGTGCAAGGGCAGATTCGACGAGTGAATGATCCTGTGGCGAACCTCCGCCACAGAAACACACTCCAGCACTGACAGCCATACATCAGCCGCGTAGCTCAAGGACCGCGGCTCGCTGACAGCTGCGAGGAGAGGCCAGGTCCGCAAGTGTAGTACATAGAGACCCGTGCAGGGCTTCGCCTACGTCGGCCTCAGTTTGCTCGCTTCTCAACGCCTTTTTGTGTAAGGCGTCTATCATTGGCCGTCACACCCGGAAGTTTGGATCAGGCGCTGCAAAAGAGGCGAGGTTTTCGTTCATATTGCCACGACATGAGGGGCATATGTCACAAAAGCAAAGGACCTTGGGAGAGACTGTCACGGATCTCGCCATTGATCGTGCCGCAATGGCGGGCAAGGTGCCAGGTTGAGTTGCTTGTGTCGGGGCGATCAGCACTGGTTGGCGACTCTTTGAGGTGGTCCAGAGATCTTGTGCAATAATGAGATGGGCAGTCAAGCCATCAATACCATGCCTGGGAACTTGGGCGTCGGTCCGAAGGCTGCGCTGGATGCAAGCCACGATGATGTCGTTGGACGTGCAAACTATCGCCGTGGGGCTCCAAAGTCCACCAGGCACGACGTACGTAGATGGATCTATATCACATATTATATTGTATGCATGCCTGAGGCCCAAGTTTCAGAAGCTTCGGACCCTCTGAAACTTTCTGGAAGGTCCACGAGCGCAAGGATGGGCGAACCGCTAGCTGGTCCAATTGGTCCAACAGACGACAAGCCCGCTTCCGAGTTCCTGCGCTAGTTCGGGAATCGTCTCAACCGTCATGCGGCCGCGACAAGGGCCGGTCGTGGACTCGTGGGTGCCGCAGTTATCCACACAAAATCTCGGTCAATGCGATAATATTAGCGGCCAGGGTGCAGGACGGGCGAGATTGAGAATGCAACACGACCCCAGAATGAGTGACGAAAAGCAGTGGGAGCATGCCCGCGCATCGGGGCCGTGGGAGGTGAGCAAAATGCCAATGTATGGATGGGGCTCTAGGATCCAATTGTACAGCAGCTCGCACGGCGACCAACAAGACGGAGCACCAAGCACTCGCTCGGCCGATCTGATACTAACAAGTTAGTCTGTAATTAGATACTTGCTAACGTCAGGCTACGGTGGTCCGAGCCAGCGGAATGGCCCCGGGAACCAGGGTACTACTTCCAAGGACCAGGGCAGGCCAATTGTAATCTGCTTCCTTTCTCACAGTCCTCGCCACGGATCGAAGCGACTGTATTCTCGTGAAATGCTGGCATGTCGTTGTGTTCTGCCAGCAGCTGAGACAAAGCACGTGTATCGTCAAGAGCCGGGCCTTACGGCCACTTGAAACAGCCGACGTTGGGCGAGGTCAACGTGCGCAGCAGAACTGTCAAGTCTGTCACATTATCTTTCCGACGACTTGCGCCAAGCTCGACTTTGAGGGTCCAGTGGCGATTTCTGTTATCGGCGCGAATGGAGACGTCCATGAATCTGGGGGAGATCAGGGTCGGAAACGAGACCTTCTTTGGGTTGCCCACTCCGCTCCTGCTGGGACGGTGCCTGTGGAGGCATCCAAGCCCTCAGACAGAGATCAGTGAGCAGAGAGAAGAGACAACCTGAGACCTCATTAACCGACATTTCCTTTCTGGGAAACGAGGTCACATTGGGACGTCGGAATATACCAACGTGGCGAACTGGATGGACCGGGCAGTTTACCCAGCACAGCAAGTACGGAGTATACATGTATGTAGGGTTGCATATCCAAGACTCTCACCCATGTCGACTTTTTTTGACAGCTCTGCAGCCTCTGCTCATAAGTGGGACTGCAGCGAACGTGGCTCGACTGCAAGAATACGTACTGCATCCTTGCTCTTTGTCTCGAATCCGGTCCCCCAGAAAGATGTGCGACACTCGAGCGGCGAGCCTTTGCGGCAAGCGAACAGTCGGCACAGAACAAGATTGAAGAATGGGCACCATCGCAACCGCGCTAGACGGTTGTGCGCTGATCAATTGCTGTCTGTGACTAGGAGGCTTCAACGACGGCAAACTAGTTAATCTCTTGTTGAATTGGCGAGGCGAGGATCAGTGGGTAGGGCCTGGGCTAGCGTAGTGAAGCCGGCGCCGATATGCGCCCAAGGCTGGGATGATCTGGCCTTGAACTACGTATCAGTGGATCCCGGACTTGGGGCGTAGGCGTCTGTGCACGGACGCCGGGGAACATGGTTGCTTGGGCCGTCGGCTGTGTAAGAAGGTGTCCCAACTTCAAGGGCACGCTGGCTGGACTGGAGGCTTGCACGCCTTTTTCCATCAACGACGGCTGGAGGCAAAGCGAGTCAGTCGGGGAGCAATTCCAAGACGCCACTCATCAGTCACCATCAACAGGGAGTCGTTCCTGCAGTACGGAGTAGCGGGTTCGTGGGGGATGGTGCAGCTGGAGTGGCTGACTGTTGGCTCTGGAGTCTGTTCCTGCATTTTACTCATGCACCCTCGTCAACGACGCGGAAAGCGTGCTGCAGCGGTTTTGATAGAGGTCCTATCAAGGGACATGGGCCGGAAATTGATAGTCTGGAGACTAGAGAGACGCAGATGGGGACTGACGATTGTCCTGTGTGGTGACGACGAAGCGGTGACAACGTGCGCTATGTTAATAATATTCGCGGTCTGCCGAAATACATTGGGCACAATGCACGGAGTGCCGTGGCAGGAACATGCCGACCATCGCACCGTCTTCAGCAGCAAGTGTGGTTGCAGTAATTATGCATCGACGAATGATGCACCTGCCGAGTGAAGCATTATCACTGTCGTCCCACGCGTGCAGGCGGGCAGCACTCGTGCATAAGGAGGCAGCAATGAGCGAAACGGGCAAGAACCCGCATGGATGAAACTAACCCTGGTTGCGAAGAACTTATGCATGGGCTCAATGCAGGCTCATACAGTGCATGCAGCCACGCACTTCAAACAGGCCAGGCACAACTTGTTGGTGCCAATCTATTGTGCAAGGTTCTTTTGGAGGACGCCAAATGCAGGTACCAATTGCTGCATACTCCGTACCGCCCATCACAATTCACAAACGGACCGGAGGGCCAAGTCTGTCTCCACCTTTCGTCACAACGGCACAGTTCTAGCCCAGCACCGCGCCGGACGTGATGTGCAAGTGCGGCCGAGCATTATCTCTGTCCGCACATCCTCTTATGCAAAGCCAAAGTTTCAGGTTACGCCATGGTGACGAGCCAATGGGGAGCTACCCGGAAAGCTGGTCTACGTAAGTATCCGTCTTTTTGGAGCCTTGTGGAGACTGAACAGGACCTCACAGTGACAGCGTCTCTCGAGAAGAAGATCTACTGAATATTAGACCCTGGCTTTCACTTACTCGTGCAATAATATATCGACACTCTTTTCATCTGTCTCACAGTATCAATGGCGCTGTGGCAAATGGGGCAGATATGACATTCATTCATGCTGATATTTATATTTGACGTAATGAGATCCGCCATTGAATGAATTGTCAGGTTAATCAGTCCCGGGCAAGCCCCCACGTACGAGGACGATGATGTGACTACGTGCGTATCTACATCCACTATCGATCCGACTGTCATCAGTAAACATAGAGAAGATAGCAATGTGGTGACACTGCCGGATCTAGCGTACAAGGTCCTATAAACTTTGCCCAAGCCTAAGCCACCATAGCTTAGCAAGCTGCTGCTTGAGCTCTTGGGGAATAGGCCAGTATCCAAAGAACTTGCTGTAGACGGCATTAGTATGTCGCAGATGCGGCCGAATACCGAGGGCAAACACAGACTACTGTCTGGTGAAATCAAACGAAGAAAGGTGATCTGCCGGCGTCGCTGATTAGTCTGGCTTATTTAGTGGCTTGTAGGTCGCCTGTCAACGAGCGTTGATGATCTTGCTAGTGGATTTGGCGAGGAAGCAATTTCGGAGGATGTCTCACGACCTCAGTTGACTAAAAGTTTGGGCAACGAGGCTGTCTACGATCCGCCTTTGCTTGAGGCATGGGGGCACATTTCAATGATTGCAGTATTAGTCCACGCCAAAGGATGGCATCTCGACGCATCGTCGGCGACATTGTCAATGCTGTGTCATTGCGCTGGAAACGTGTACATAGTCTGTCATTCAGAAGCAGTCGACGAAAATGTCCGTGTCGGGGCACACGGGAAAGCACCGCCCCGGACCCTTGATTTGCGACCATTGTCCTTGGCGGCCACTATTCGTCTCGTTTAAATCCCACAACGGCCAATTAAGGCCGTCTCTGACTCGCTGGCTGGATCTATTGGACCCTAAGCCACGCGAGCACCTGACTCTGGTCTATGCGACGCGAGTCGAATATCCGGCTGAATCGTCGTCACGATATTGCCCAGCAGTGGCCAAGAGACACATGACCACATATCTGCCAACGTCAACCAGCGTCCATGTTCGCAGCTGTTTTGATGGCGCGCTATCCGCAGGCATGCGGAGTAGTCCGGCCCTATTGTCGCACCAGACCGCCGTGGAGCAGTGGAGCAACCGCGTAGGCTATCCCGCGTAAAGTGTTCGCGTCAATCGGGGAGCGTGAAGACGGGCCGCTACTGGTCCGTGCTTGACCGTTGTGGACGGACTCAGGCTCAGTTTTGTGATTTGTGTGCTGCGTCTCGGACTTGATCTGACGAGAGGCATGCACGAGTGCGCATAGCGCAGGATGCGAGCTCAGCCTGCTCAGCCGGTGTTGCTACTGCATGTGAGCGACAGACGGACTCCTCACGTTGCATCCGCAATTTCCACCAAGTGCAGTCTGGCCGACAGACGTGCCGCACAAAATTAATCCATGTTTTATCCATGTCCCTCCCCGGCTGTGGTGGCCCGTATTGGTAGGTGGCTCATCTTGGATCCAGATCCCATTTTCATGTTACAGTAATGAAAGAGGACGCGTGTCAGATGGTACTGCGAGATGGTACTGTGAGATGGTACTGTGAGATGGTACTGTGAGATGGATGTACCTCCTCACCAAGCCTACGCATAGTAGTTACATATGGCAAGCAACGCACATTCCGAGCTAAACAGAATATTAATGCATGAGGGCAGTGCAGGCGAGCGTCCACATCGTTCTTGATTATTCCACAGTCAATTGTGATGAGCACAATTCGTTTGTGATCGACCTGCTGCCAACCGTTTCAGAGAGAGACGGTTGGGCTCAAGGTGTCTAGCACCCTCGTCATCACTGTCCACTAATGACCATGACTTGAATGCCGATGGAACGAGCCTCGGCTTGCTTGTCACATTGAAGGCGATGAACGCGAAGATCACGAGGTAATATACAACATCTTTGATTTTGACTGGTCGCTAGGGTAGCCGCCAGAGACCAACGATAGCGCAGCGCAGCCAGCTGATCGTCAGTCACGGCCGAGAATAAAATGGGCGAGACGCGCTTCTCCGAAGGCGACACATCAGGCCTGGGACTGGTCGTATCTGTTTTGGGATTGTGCGGCTGTGCACCGCGTTTGCACAAGACAATCACACACATAAAGAGCCAATGGTGAGCAGAGCTATGTCTTGTGCACTATGTATGGCCCCTCCGGCAGCAGCAACCTCCCCAATCAGACCTCGGGATCCCGATGCTTACGTTCCACCTCGGCACAAAAGCGCGTAATGCAAGGTAAGTGTCCGCGCAAGGCGCAAAGGGCAGCCAGAGGCAGCCCAGCGGACCCGCTCTCACACACAACACGCTCCTGTGCTAGCCAGTGAATTGTTTGTTATGCACGCGCGCGCAGCCACCATGCCTCATGCACCCAGCTCCTCCGAACCAGCAGAATACGTGCTGTTATGCAAGCGCGTTTGTGCATGGCTGCCTGTCTGGTCGAGTCAAGTACCTGCGCGACTATTCACTATAGATAGTGACATGCAAGCCCCATTAGGGTGCCAAAGTTAGAAGCTTGGGCTCCTGCTCGTATGGTGCTGCGCCATCCTTCAATTCTTCATCCACTTGGATCTCATCCCACCACACGCCGTGAGCTCGGAATGAATGGCACCGCCTGGAACGGTCTTGTGTGGTTAGGCAGCACACCTGTCAAGATTGACAGCTCGGTATTGACCCAGGGTGCGAAAGACGTGACGCAAAATCTCGCCAACACGCTTGATGCCAAATGGCTTTTCCCCTTAGCGCAAAGAGACAACAAGCTCTATCGTAGGCTAGAAGAAGAAAGAATGGGAAATACGGCCCACCACTACTCGTACCTATCTATGTACGTGGTAGCTCTCTGCGGGACTCTCACGCACATCACTTGAAGTCGTCCTCTACATACAGCACACACGCCTGCCCAGCCACTATTCCGACACCCTCCAAGCCAATGTCGGCGCCCTTCCACTCGAACGACGGTCCCGTATTTGAGTCCACCCAACAGAGCCACCACCCAGGCGTATTGTCGAGGGTTTTCTTTTTGCCCCAGACACTGGGAACAAGACCGGGGTTCCTGGTTGGAGGGGCTTGAGCCGTCTGGCCCGCCAGATGGATCCCCGGGCTACCCTGCTCTGGCTTCGTCCGCACCCCTGCCGGTCTAGTCTGCTCGAGTGAGACAGGCGTGGAGGGCAATTATGGGTATGGATGCGCAACGAGGCAATGGCAGCTCACCATCCCAAGCCAGCACCATCAATGGACGTTGATCTTTCGGGTCCTCATTGTGCCACTGGTACTTACTACTTATCCTCCATGCCTCTCCGTCCCCCAGTACTGGTTCGTCCTCATCTCTTGCCCATGAATCCATGATCGACACCCTTGTTCTTGTCGGCCTTGGTTCTGTCTGATCTTGCTCTTTTATACATGCCCTCCCGGTCCTTCTTTTATTCACTGGCTCGCGCTTTTATACTTTGGAACCCTTGAGATTCCTAGCCTTTCCTTCCTACTTGAAGACGCCTCCGACGACAATCAGCACTTACACTCGCTACTGTCACACGAGCTCGACATCGACTCTAGTCTTCCCGAGCCTCAACTACTAATACGTCCGACGTATACAACAACTCAAGACTGTCCACTCTCTTACACACCAGGAACCGGACCCTACCATCCTTTGGCGTCTGCCGACGAAAAATACGACTGTACACTACGATATATAAATACGCTTAATACAATCACGACCACTCCCGACAAACTAGATCAGAGGTATGGGAGCTCCCGCGAGCCCTCGCCACCGTAGCAGAATGGGTTGACTGACAATTGGCAGATCTTGCCAGAATGGATTCCTCCATGATGGCATCGCTCGGACAGGCTCACGTCTATTACAAGAACGCCATCGTCTACCCACAATCACAACCCCAACAGCAACAAACACAACCACACCAGCAGCAGCCGATGGGCATGTACGCCATGGCTCCGTCGAATGGCGCCTATGCTCAGCCTCCCACCCTCTACAGCAACGGACCGTCTGTCCTCACGCCTACCGGCTCTCCCCGTCCCGTGAGCGCGCAGAAGCCTACCATGCTCCTCGACACAGACATGGATTCGTACTTTCCCGCGACACCGCCTCTGTCGACCTCAGGCAGCACCGTGGGTAGCCCATACAACTTCGAGGCGCTCCAGACTCCCATGAACCCAATGTTCTCTGGGATGGGCGACGATGACACGGCCAAAGACAGCTTGGAAACTACTGAGACTTCGGTGCTCGATCTCTCGAGCTGTGGCTCGCCTCCCATGACACCCAGTAAGTCATTTCAATATTCATTTTCTCCCAACAGCCAAGTACATTATTATGCATGAGCTGGCCGAAACAGTGGAGCAGTCTCGAGGCGCGAGTGTCGCGTCGGATCCACACAGCCACATTTATTAATATGCACATGGACGGAATATGAGACTAACATGTCTATCAGTGTACCTGCAGTCCCAAATCGGAAAGGCGCCATCTCTTACAGACTCCTTTTCGTCGTGCCCCTCGCTCTCTCCCTCCCCTGCCCCTTATGCTCGCTCTACCAGCTCTGAGCAAGACGTCGACTTTTGCGATCCGCGTCACTTGACTGTGGCCGGTGGCTCTGTGGACTCGACCTTGGCGCCCGAGGCTTCTCTCGACGAAGAGGCACGCATCCTGCACCCCAAGCCCGAGCCTGCCGCCGTGCACGCGCCCTCATTTGAGTTCAAGGTTGAGCTCCCTGACGACCTGCCATCCTTCACCGACCTCTCGGATCTCGAGTCGGAGGAGGACTTTGTCAACAGTCTGGTCAACCTCGACGACACGGACGCTGCTGATATCACGCGGCCCCGCGCCTGCACTGGCTCATCGGTTGTTTCTCTCGGGCACTGCAGCTTTATTGGGGACGAGGATCTCACCTTTGATGGTCCGGATGCTTTTCAATTCTCCATCCCTAGCCCCCCCTCCACCGTCACCGCCGAGGATAGTCACCGCACCAAACGCACCAAGAAGTCTCACAAACATAGCAGCGCTACTGTCCCCTCGATTAACATGGCCTCCGCCGGGACAGAGAAGTCTGCAGAGCCTGTACAGCAGAAGGAGTCTGCGCAGCACCAGCAGGCTGACGCTGATGCCACAGAGTCCAACCACTCCTCTGGCTCCGAAGAAGGCAATGCGCCAGCTCCCACAAACCGCCGTGGCCGCAAGCAATCGCTCACCGAAGACCCTTCTAAGACTTTTGTCTGTGAGCTTTGCAACCGCCGCTTCCGCCGGCAAGAACATCTCAAGCGCCACTACCGCTCCCTCCACACCCAGGACAAGCCTTTTGAGTGCGGCGACTGCGGCAAGAAGTTTTCCCGCAGTGACAACCTTGCCCAACACGCCCGCACGCACGGCTCTGGTGCCATTGTCATGAACATCCTCAACGGAGAAACCGGGGAGCATGTGCCCCACGTGTACCCTCAAGACTCCATGCCTGGCTCGGGGGCCGCAAACGACGAGAGCTACCAGCAGTTCGGCAAGGTGCTCTTCCAGATGGCGGCCGAGGTACCTGGCAGCTCGAGCGAGGACAGTGCTGATGAGGGCAAGAAGCGTAAGCGCTCCGACTGAGAGGGTCACCTTGAACATACAATCATCAATCTGGTCACCCGTGGTCAGAACGCTTCCATGATACCACGACGCTTCAATTTTTTCAAACGCTCAGACAGCCGCCTCGGGTTCTGGCATTCTTAGGGTTCATACGCATCAATCTGGGTGGTCCCAGTTGGGTAGAGGAGTACAAAAAAAAACATCGTCGGCTCTTTTGTCGATGACATTTGCATTGGACAAGTTTTACTTGTGCTATTTGAATTTGCGCGCACTTTTGATTTCTCGGGGCGGTTATTTTTGACGAGCCTTTTGACGACATGGTGGGCGAACATTTCACATGGATCACGGAACACTGGCAGATTTTTGTCTTGTTTTTTTCCCTACGCTCGTTGTAATGTGCCGAGGGAAAAGGAAATGATATTGGGGGCTGGGTCACCAAACTTTTTCTCTTCTCTCAGACATGCGGATTTTGCACGATGGGCGGACGCAAATGTCTCTTCTGCGTCCGCATTGATGTGTCTTCACTTCACCTTCTTACCAGTCTTATCTGAGGGGGGCTACTCACCGCCGTTGCTATTCTCTTGGAGTTGTGCCGGTCACAGGCCTCTCGGGATGGCGACGATTGAGGTACCTCTTTCTGTACGTATACTTTATAAACTGCGCCTTTTGGGCCAGTCACGAATTCAACGCTCACTTATGATGCCACTATGAATGCTCTGTTCCCCATGCCGTGACCGCACTGGTTTTTTGGTATCTGACAGATCAATGTCCCGACACTTTCGAGACCCTCACACAGACTCTTGGACCCTGGAAATGCCCAGCCTGCCGTAGGCAAAATCATTCCCGCCACGTTGAGCTCGTCCAGGGTCCAGTCCAGGTCAGAGTTTCGGATGGTTGCGTCTCATGATTATGATCATCTCGTGCACCGATAAGTATCATTCTTTGACTGGGTGGACATGGCACTAGCTTGGTCCAGCGCCGCCTCACCGCATAGCTAGATAGCGCCCGACAGAGAACGATCCGACCATCTGCCGTTACGCGTCTGTGCGTGGTGCACAGACACACCGTTCGTTGACCTGGTTCAAGCTCCTCGGTGATGAGCAGAGGGTCTTTTGCAGGGGGGCTAGGCCCTGCTCGAGGGCCGCCGAGCATGGGCACCCAGGTGCCTGGGAACCCTGGTGAGTAGAGTGGGTGGGTTTGGCGACCTTTGGACCACACGTTGGTCGCGCGAGACTGCAATTTGGCAGGCGGACCGGGGCCGCGGCGGCGCGAGGCGGCGCAATGTCCCGGCAGATGGTGTCGCTGATATCGGAATGGCAACGTTGGTTTCAGGCTTTCAGACACCCCCAAGGGGGGGCAATGTGTGAGAGATTGGATGGTGCTTGTTATGGAGAGTTCGTCTTTCTGACACCTTTCGATCATTACCATGCGCGGTTGACACTTGACACGTCTGGGATATCTTGCATGGGTCGTTGGGGGGATGATATTAGCCAAGATAATTACAGCCCAGGCCCAATCCTTCAAGTTTCAACACTGAGCCTGGCCAGTCGTCGGCAGAAGCTTCTCGAGATTGGAAGGAAGACTGCAATACCGACCTTGGCCGGCTGTACTCAGTGCCTGGTACCATCGTCTTGATGATAGCTGGTAGAAGCTGCTGTAGCAGTAGGCCCTCACCTCTGCCTTTGAGATGTCCGTGTCGACAGTGGGTAAATTTTCGACAGAGACCGAATATTTCACCTCGTCACGGGATAATTACGGTGGTGTGGAGTATCAATTGAGATGTGTGCAATGTTTATTATTGCACTGCGTAAATGCGCTGTTGTCTGTCTGGCCTTGAGGTCTGGATGTGAGCAAGGATGCACGTGACCCCACAACATCGAAAGTTCTTCGATTCGCAAGAAGCAGGAACAACCGGCGTGAAAAAACAAAAGCCTGACCGTCCTCCAAGACAAGGAGCCGCATCGAATTCAATCACATTCATTCACACCGCGCTACTGCAGTGCGCAGAGCCCTTGGTAGCATGGCCAGCGACGGCCTCGGGGTCATCGCCCTGATCTCGGGCGGCAAAGACAGCTTCTACAGCTTGCTGCACTGCATCCAGCATGGCCATCGCATCGTCGCCCTGGCCAACCTGTTCCCTGCCGCGGAGGGCGCTTCGTCACGAGTGCAGCTCATCGCGCCATCCTCATCACCGTCTACCGCCACGCCTTCCGAGACAGACCTGAACAGTTTCATGTACCAGACTGTGGGGCATGAAATCATACCGCTCTACGCGGCCGCCACCGCGCTGCCCCTCTACCGTCTGGCGATCTCGGGCAGCGCCGTGCACCATGAGCGTGACTACGCCTGCGACGTGGACGGCGACGCATCCGATGAGGCAGAGTCCATGACGACGCTGCTACGAGCGGTCATGGAGCACCATCCCGAGGCCAGGGCCGTCTCTGCTGGCGCCATTCTATCGACATACCAGCGGACACGCGTCGAGTCGGTGGCCTTGCGGCTGGGCTTGACCCCCCTGGCGTACCTCTGGCAGTATCCTGTGCTCCCGTCCCCCGTCAAGCCGGCCGACGACGCCCAGCTCCTCAAGGACATGGCGGAAGCGGGCCTGGACGCCCGCATCATCAAGGTCGCCAGCGCTGGGCTGGTCGAGGACCACCTCTGGGAGCAGGTGTCCAGTGTGGACGGGGCTGAGGGCATCAAGGGAGCATTGCGGAAGTTTGGCGCGGCTGGTGGTGCCGTCCTCGGGGAAGGCGGCGAGTTCGAGACACTGGTGCTGAGCGGACCATCCGCGCTGTTCAACAAGACCATCCATGTGCCTGATGAGAGTCGGAGCATCGTGCGTGAGGGAGCTGGCTCAACATGGTTGCTGCTCAAGGACGCCCGTGTGGTTGACAAGTTTGCCGCTGCCGATGAATCTCCGCCTAGACGACCGGCTCTCTTGGATCTGAAGTTTGAGAATATCCTAAGCTCGCTAGCCGCCGGAAACTCGAATGTACAACACTCATCGTCGGACGACTGCGGGAAGTCATGGGATGCGCTGCAGAAGGCGTCGTACAAGTTCACAGGAGGCGATGGGCTATTGCAATGGGCAGTCACCAAGAGCGCGGCCAAGAGTCAAGAGATGAGCATCGAGGAGGAGACAGCGGACGTTGTCGAGCAGATTGGCAAACTCTTATCGCAGAACTCCCTGTCACCCGAGCACATCTCCAACACGGTCATCGTCCTCCGTCACATGGTCGACTTTCCCAAGGTGAACGCACACTACGGCAAGCTTTTCCAGCGACCGAATCCGCCTTCTCGAGTCACCATCTCCTGCGGCGAGCTGCTCCCAGCAGGTTGCAGTATTGCCATACATTTCACCGTGGATACAAGGCCCGAAGAGGTTGCCTCGAGGCACGGCCTTCACGTGCAATCGAGATCGTACTGGGCGCCAGCCAACATTGGGCCGTATAGCCAGGCGATTGGCATTTTGGCAGGAGGCGTCCCTCTTCTGCGCACCTGGTCTGTCGCTGGCCAGATCCCCTTGCTCCCTGCGTCGATGGAGCTGCCGCCCTCGTCCCCCACATCCCGACAGCTTCAAGTTGTCTTGTCACTACAGCACCTCTGGCGCATCGGCACCGAGCTCAAGATACAATACTGGACCAGCGCTGTGGCATATTTTGCGCGCTGTGGCACGGATGGGGACATGGCTGGCAATGCCAGGATGGCAGGTACCGCTTGGCGGCTAGCCCATGGCTCACCTGACGAAGAGGATGATGCCGAGGACGGGCCCGATCCATGGGACCTCAAGTACAATCCGCAGTACATGACGCTGGGGGATGGGGCAGCGCAATCAAGGCCCGTGCCCTTGCCCGACTGGGAGGCCCTTTTTCTCCGGCAGCAAAACGAGCCTGCTGGCGCCGTGCCTCCCGTCTTCTCGGTGGAAGTAGAGGAGCTCCCTCGACAGTCTTCCGTCGAGTGGCATGCCCACGGCGGTCTATCTGGCTTGACATCATCGAGTCTTGAGATGCTCCAAGTGACCAGAGTCGGCGAAACCTCTTGGAATGCGTGGCATGCAGTGGTACGCAGCGCTGAGGGCGCCTTGCTACACACGGTCCTGGCTCGCCAGTTCGTTGGCGACGTCTCTGGTGACATTGCGAGCACCACCGACGACATGAGCGCGGCCTATCGCGGTCTGTTGGGCACTCTTGGGCTTTCCACGGACTCGACCTCCTCCACGGTGCCCTACCTCGTGTACGCGAACGGAGGGGCTGCGACCTTGCCGGCGGCGTTTGCAGCACCGACAATCCCCTGTCGATCGATTTGGTCAAGCACGGGGCACAGACTAGAGATGGTTGGCTTGTACAGGGTCAATCTCGGCGTGTGAGCAAATGTCATATTTGTTCTACTGTTCTGATTGAAATCGCTTGGGTGAACATGGCAAAGAAAGCAAACACTGGAGCCCCGCTACTGGTCAACCACGGTCATCATCCGCTCAGGGTACCTGCTACCCGCCCCGACAAAGTCCTTGAGGAACTCGTCAATCTGGGCCACATCCTCGGCCGAGAGGTCGACGACGGCCAGGTTCTCCTTGATGCGCGAAGGGTTACCGGAGCCCTGGAGCGGGTAGATGGTGGGCATGCAGGGCCGCTTGGCGACGTCCAGAATCCACCCAATGGCGATCTGCCCGGCGGTGCAGCCCTTCTTTTTGGCCAGCTCCTCGACAGCCCCGACGAGCTCGAGGTTCTTGGCGAGGTTGTCTGCGGAGAACTGGGGGAAATGCCGGCGCATGTCGTTCTCGGGGATATCCTTTACCTTCTTGAACTGTCCACCGAGCAGGCCCTTTCCGAGAGGGGCTGGCCATGCCACGTCAGTCTTGGTCACCGCGAAGTCGGGTAGGGAGATGGGACGAGGCGCGAACTTACAGTAAGCAAGGACGGTGACGCCCAGCTCAGCGCAGGCGGCCAGCAGACCGTTGCTCAGGGGCTCGGTCCTGAAAAGGGAGAACTCAATCTCAAGCGTGGCCACCTTGTACTTGGCGGCGACGCGCCGCAGGGTCATCTCGGAGACCTCGCTGAGGCCGATGGCGCCAATCTTGCCGGCCTGGACGTACTCGTTGACGACGGCCAGGGTGTCGAGGATGTCGTGGTCGGGGTCGACGCGCGCAGGGGCGAACTGGTGGATCGGGACCCTGCCCTCGAGCAGTCGCAGGCAGTTCGCGATGCTCTGCCGCGTCTTGTCCGGGGCGGCGTCGGGCATGTAGGTGGTGGTGTTGAGGGCGCCCTTGACGTTGAGGGTAATCTTGCCGGCGTCCTCGGGGTGGCGCTCGAGGTGCCTGGCCAGGAAGTACAGGCTGCCGTAGTCGGGCGGGCCGTAGAACTCGGCTGCGTTGAGATAGGTGCTGCCATTGTCGATGGATGTCTTGATGGCGGCGAGGGCGTCTTCCTCGCTAGGCAGGTTGGCGAGGCGCATGAGGCCAGAGGCCACTGGGGTGTTGGCGGTAGGGGACATGGTGGCTGGGTCTGTTCGATGTGATGGTAGTGCTGTCGATGCGGGCAGAGAGCGGCAACGTAGCGCGACCCTTGGCTCTTTATATCCTTTCTCCTCCACGTTCGTGGCATGGTGTCGGGGCCGTCAGCTTCCGTATGGCACCTTAACGCCTCCGTAAAGCCTAATTCCGCGTTCAAGATGGCTGACTGCACGTAAGCCTCTACACTACGCCAGCAGGCGTGAGATGAAGCTTGGTGCCCTTGATGACCGCATCATGACTAGAGAGCCGCACGGGCTCAGTCGCGGAAGCGGTCTTAGGAGATAGGCAAACAATTGATGGCCAGCTGTCAGTAAGAAGATCGGGTTTATGCTGTGAACTACGGAGTACCGATAATCATCGGAGTTGGGTGTTCAGAATGCTCGACAATCCCGTGTGGGGCCTCCACGGTACTCTTTGTTAAAACAAGATATCAAAGGAATCATCACTGCTATATTTTCCCTATGAATTCCCACGTCTATCTGTGACTGTGCTGAGATGCGCCCTGTCCACGGGCATCAGGATGGTAGCCAAGGACTGAGCTGTGAGCTGTCGGGTCATTAACATCTCTCGGTGCAGAAGACACAGCATTGTTGTATGGGATCGAATGCCATGGAGATTTTGCTCTTCCCTTGGCCATGCGTCGCGCTGCAGCGTCTGACCCGGTGGATGACATTGGCACGTTTCCTGCGCATCTGATTCTGGCCCTTGATCTTCAAGACGGCCATCACCCAAGGCGCCGGCAATGGCTGCCAACTCGGCTTCATCTCTACGCAGATGGTTCTCGTTTTGACGAACAAGAAAGGAGGTCGTCTCCCATTGCAACGCACCTCTCTTGGTGGTCTTCATGTGTACGACGGCTGCGGCCGATGTCTCTAGACGGGGCAATGCGGAGCCATGCACGAAGTAGACTAGGTCGCCGGTCGACCGAGATGCAATTGCATCCTTTGCCTCGCTCAAGGCGTACTCTCGTCTTGCGATGACAACTTGACCATGGACACGCAAGTCGATGTCGGAGACGCTGTGCTGTCGAGGAGAGCTACCTCGTGCCGACGTACGGACGCTCTTGTTGCGGCTCTAGCCTGCCTTTTCCGAAATCTAGCGACTTGGCGCCCTGCGACGCCCTGCTCTATTTGTGTGTATCCTCTGGCATGCTTGCTCGGATCCTGTTTGCGGGTCGTGAGAGTGGTGGTGAGTACCTGATCGAGAGATGGTGGGGTTCCCTAGTTAACCTTGGCAGGTAATTGAAGTAACTTACCTTGGTTCATCAAGTTTGTCGAGTTGGCATCCAACTCCCTTGAACACGTTTCCGAACCATCCATCATCTCATCACCGCTTGAATTGCTGGCCGAACAAATAAGCAATCGCAATTCGGCGATTTCAGCACGGACCAGTAACGCGAGGCGCTCGGCTATGGCGTGATGACAGGGCACCTCTTGCTCCATCGTCACGGTTCTCCATCCTCGCATTGATCCGCACCGCGCCTCTTTCTCCCACGCGCGTGACACCATGGCGACTAGCAGCAACAGCAGCAGCAGCAACAATGCTGGGTCCCGCAGGGTGAATATGTCCTCCTCCTCGATCCTCCCGTCCCCAAAGCACTGCACATGAGCAACGAGTTGAGGACTGGACACTGACAGCCACTGGCCAGTCCGGGACGCGACGCGACGCCCATCGATCGGCGGTCAGCCTGCACCACACCAGACGACAGTCGGCCAGCGACCGACTGGACGAGATCCTGGAGAACGCCCGCCAGCGAGCCGACAACATGGCCGCTGACTCCGCCGCCTCGCCCGGGAACCCAGCCTCGCCCAATGCCACCGGCCTCAGACGATCCGGCACGATGCTCTCGTTCGAGGAACCCTCCGCGCCGGCCGACGAGACGACGGCATTTCTTCCCCGACCGCAGGGCCCACGGCAAGGCAGCTACTCTTCGATTACGAATGACGTGAATGGAGGGCATAGAAAGTCCGTGTACCGACGGCCGAGACTATCACGGCAGCAGAGCGAGGAGGGCACCGACCCCAGTGGCCCTATAAACGGGGATCAGGACCATGTCTCGTTTGAGGAAGTGGCACCGTCTCCGTCATCGTCTTGGTGGACCAAGGTCACGGCTCCCTTCCGATCCATCGAGCTCGAGAACAAGGGCAGCGTAGCGCGGGACCATCTCGCTCTCGGTACGCGCTGGATTATCCTTGGATCAGCATCAAGAAGCTAACATTATGGGGTGTAGAGCGCACATTTCTCGCCTGGCTGCGCACCTCGCTAGCCTTTGCGTCCATCGGCATCGCCGTCACGCAGCTCTTCCGCCTCAACACCTCGCTCCCGGACTCGGGCTCGCTCAACCAGGACACACTTCGGCAGGTGGGCAAGCCGCTGGGCGCCGCGTTCCTGGGCATCAGCATCCTCATCCTCCTGCTCGGCTACAGGCGCTTCTTCCTTGGGCAGCAGTGGGTTATCAAGGGCAAGTTTCCCGCGAGCCGGGGCACGGTCATGCTGTTGGTGCTTGTCACGCTTGCCATCATGGTTCTCAGTCTGGTTGTGGTCATAGTGATACACCCCAAGGAGGAGTGACCGTTTTAGCAAATACCCTCTAAAAATACAACAGACAAGCCCCAGCACGAACACAGTACCCACAACTGAAGTAGATAGTCGTGCGTTGATGCTACTACCTAAGGTAAGGCATGTACAAGTAAATACTATTAGCAGTGAAGCAGTGCCATGACCTCAACAGTGGGGCACCGGCCAGCTACGTCCCACCCACTCCAACTCAGCTCTCTTCATGTCCCCTTCCGTGTCAACGCCAACATGCACGGTGCCTGGCCGCCTCCAACGCTCAATATCACGCACCATGTCACCACCGCAGCCCGTGGACGTTGCCTCCTTCGCCCGAACCCAGCTGGCCCTCCTCGAGCAGGAGCTCCAATCCGAAGTCCAGGAAACCAGCTCCCTCATCTCCAACCACAGCCCTACCGCCCTCCAGCGCGCAGGACTCGCCATCACCGGCCTGACGCTCTCCTCGCAGCGCACGGGTCTCGGCGGCAAGACCGTCCTGGAGCTCAGCCCGGATGCCGCCACCTCCGCCACGGGGGACCTGCCCGAGCATGGGATCCGCACCGGCGACATTGTCCTCGTGGCCGAGCAGCCCGCCGGCAGCGCCAGGAAGAGAGAGGTCCAGGACCTCGAGAGGAAGGGCGCCCGCGGGGTCGTGACGCGCGTGCAAAAGACCGCCGTCGGCGTCGCGCTGGACGAGGGCACGGGGGAGGATGTCTCGTTCAGCGGCCGCGTGTGGATCGTCAAGTTGGCGGATGAGGTCACTTTTAAGCGGTGAGGTACGATGGGGTCCCATGCGCCGGAGCCGTGGCTGACCAGGTCTCAAGAATGAAGCTCATGATGGAGAGGCTGGAGAAGATGGACGAGTCAGAGTACACCAGCTTCATACGCGTTCTCTTCGGTCTGTCCAGTCCATCCCCCGTCTCCACGGATCTGAAGACGGACCCCGATGTGGCGTGGCTGGACCCGACGCTCAACGAGTCACAGAAGGATGCGATTCGATTTGCCCTGGCCTCGCGCGAGGTAGCTTTGATCCATGGCCCTCCGGGTGTACGCACTCCCCCCCACCCCTCTGGTCTCACGTCATTAACAAAGTAACTCATGCAGACCGGCAAAACCCATACACTCATCGAGCTGATTCTTCAAATGGTCAAGCAAGGGCAGCGCATCCTGGTCTGCGGACCCTCCAATATCTCCGTCGACAACATCGTCGAGCGTCTCTCCCCCCACAAAGTCCCCATCCTCCGCCTCGGCCACCCAGCGCGGCTACTACCGACGGTCCTGAACCACTCCCTAGACGTGCTCACCCAGACATCCGACGCCGGCGTCATCGTCAAGGACGTCCGCGCCGAGATGGACGCCAAGCAGGCCTCCATCAAGAAGACAAAGAGCGGCAAGGAGCGCAAGGCCATCTATGGTGACCTCAAAGAGCTTCGCAAAGAGTTTCGCACCCGAGAGAGGAGCTGCGTGAGCAATCTCGTCAGCGGCAGCAAGGTCGTCCTCGCCACGCTGCACGGCGCCGGGGGTTCGCAGCTGCGGAACGCGCAGTTTGACGTGGTCATCATCGACGAGGCAAGCCAGGCTCTCGAGGCCCAGTGCTGGGTGCCCCTTCTCGCTGCGAAAAAGGTTGTCTGCGCCGGTGATCACCTCCAGCTCCCGCCAACCATCAAGTCCCTCAACTCGAAACACAACAAGAGCAAAGCAAAGGTGTCTGCCCAAGGCATGACGTTGGAGACGACGCTGTTTGACCGGCTGCTGGCCCTGCATGGCCCCGCGATCAAGCGTATGCTCACAACACAGTACCGTATGCATGAGCGGATCATGCGGTTCCCCTCGGATGAGTTGTACGAGTCAAAACTTATGGCCGCCGACGCCGTCAAGGCGCGGCTCCTGCGTGATCTGGACTACGATGTACAGGATGGGGAGGATACCAATGAGCCCCTGATCTTCATCGACACGCAGGGTGGTGATTTCCCCGAGCGGGCGGAGGAGGATGACCCGGAGAATCCCAGAAAAGGCAAAAGCGCACTGCACGGCGACAGCAAGAGCAACGAGATGGAGGCGGCGCTGGTACGGCAGCATGTCGCGGCGTTGACGTCGGCGGGCGTCCGAGCCGAGGACATTGCGGTGGTCACCCCGTACAATGCACAGGTATGCTTGGGTCAGTTGTTGAGGCCAGGACATGAATAACAGAGGTGCGTGATAGCTCGCTGTACTGGCACCCCTGAAGGAACGCTTCCCCGGTATCGAGCTCGGCAGCGTGGACGGTTTCCAAGGCCGCGAGAAGGAGGCGGTCATTGTCAGCCTCGTCCGGAGCAACCCGGAGGGGGAGGTAGGGTTCCTCGGGGAAAAGAGACGTCTGAACGGTTGGTTGGCCTTCTCTTTACCTCCCTCGGCGACATGAAGCTGACGAATGTTCTAGTTGCCATGACGCGGCCCAAGCGATCACTGACGGTCATTGGGGACTCAGACACGGTGCAGAGGTGCGTTTGTCCGGAACTTCACACAGGCAGCAATGATTGTCTGACTCGTATTAGGGGTAGTCCGTTCTTGAAGAAGTGGATGGCGTTTCTGGAGGAGAACGCTGACCTTAGGTATCCGGACGTCACAACACTCGAGATGGGTGTGTAAGGAGCAACAGGCATGGACTGAGGCCACTTTACAGTCGCCCCTATGCGGTCCACGAAGGCTGGTCGTCGACACTATGGCAGTTGGTGCTATGAGGACGATTTTAGAGGTGTTTGTGGACAGTGGCGATCGCTGCAAAGTACTCGCTTCATTCCTCAGTGCCATCATCTGCACGGCGCTGGGATATTAATGAGGGCAAATGAACGCCTACGCTAGAATGACCCTGATATCTACAAAAACAATTGGCAAGCAACAAAAAAGACCATGCCTCAAATCCATACCCAACCCTCCTCCATGATTTCTCGTAAAGGCCGTGCCTCTGTAAGAGGCCACAGGTGCATAGGCGCAATCACAGATCTGCCATCCTGCGTTTTTCCTCGTCGGCCGACCGTGCTCACTCGTGCAGGATCATGAGGGCACTAGCCTGCATTCCCAATTGCTACTGCCCTTATAGACACGGCGAGGTCTTTGCCGCTGGCCGTCACAAGCATGTCGAATTGCGCCTCCAGTCTCGCCACCTTCTCCTCGAGAGCTTGGCGAGCACGGATCTCAGCTTCTAGCCGGCGTAGGAGGCTGGCGGTAGTATGCTCTTCCGCTACTTTCTGCCTCGAGTCCTGCTGCGGCGCGGGTAGACTATCGCGGGCCGATGCTGTGTAGATCGCAGACTCGCGATCTGGCGCATCCGAAGACGACTTGGAGAACCAGGAGCTCAATGCAAGCCCGTTCCCGTTCCCGTTGGCGTTCTCGTGGTTCGTCCCATCGCCAAGAGGTGGTATCAACGTATCTCGCCTGCTGTCAGATCCTGCATCCCCAGCCACCTCGTGCTCGCATCTTCTCAGCGAGTCCAGCTCCTTCCGCATCTCCTCCACTTGCGTCTCCAGAGCCGTGATTCTGGGGTCGAAACTGGCAAACTCCGTGATGCTGAGGTCCTGTGGCTTCTTCATTGCATCCACGTTAAAGTCAAACGGCTTCAACGGCGAGTCGGGAACCGCTATCAGCACGTTGCCCAGCTCGTCCACCTCGACTTCCGCCCGCAACTCAGGCGGGGGCGGTGCGGACGACGCCAGCGACTTGACATCGGAATGTACGCTTCCTCTCCGGAACGAGAACCCTGCACTGAGGGGAGGACCTTCAACGACATGGTCGACTGACGTCCCCAACGCGGACAGGCTCCTGGAGCGCCGTTTGAGGCCATACGTTTCCTTTGTCGTGATCGCCCTGCCAATGTCGTCTGTATTTGTGTCTTGGTACCAAGGGTCCTGTCCAAGTGCTTCTTTTTGCCGGAAGCCTCGGCCGTGTACGCTGGCTGGCCGGGGGGACAGTCCCAGTGGTTCATCTAGCTTTCCATAGCCTCCCGCTGGCTTGCCGAAGACGTCCGTATACTTCCGGGAGAAGCTAAACTCCTGTCTGAGGGACTTTCTGGCGCTGTCGGGGCGATCTTCGAGCCGTTCGCTGTGATGCGCCATGCTCTGAGGCAGTGACGCCGAGCGCTTGTGCTCCGTGTGCGGCCTCAGATCTGGTTCTGGGTCCTCCTCTTTCTTCTGTGCAAAGATTAGCCACGGGGAAGGAAAAAAGCAGTGATGCGCAAGCTGACCTCGGAAGAATCCGGCGTGCGCATTGTGGAACGCGACTTGTGTCCACTCTCCGGTGTACGGACAATGGCCTGGCTGTGCGTCCGTTTCTTCTTCCGCAGGCCGAGCAATCTCCCTATGCTCCCCACCGTATGTCGGAATCCCGACTTCTTCTGCGGTGTTGGATCTTTGCTGCCCGCGTTCGAGGGCGTATCCGGGCTGAACGTTGATGTACGGGGTGCTGTTCCGGTCCCTGACCGGCTGGCATCTTGGTGCGAGCCATCATCGCCATTGCTGGCCGTGGTTGCGTTTGCGCCCTTGAAACAATCCTGCTGTCGCAGAGACCGGGGCGAAGGTGTCTTTTGTCGCTTGGGGCCGTCATCACCTTCCGGGCCGTAGAAGTTATCAGGCTCGGGGGTCAATGGCGTGCGGATGGGCGTGGGGTGGACGATTTCAGCCGTGCTTTGACTTCGCGCATGGTACTGCTCGTGATGGTCGGGGTCTATAGGGCGTGAAATAGGTATCGGGCCGGAGATGTGACCACGTATCGAGCCTGACTTGACGCGTGAAGGGTTTTGCTTCCTGCGGCTGCCGTTGAGGCCGGCCTGAGGGTCAGCGTCCGCTGAGGGTGAGGGTTTCCAGTGGCGCTTCATGGCGTTTGGGGTGAATTCCCACTGAGTACTGCGGGCGAAGATTGACGAGGGGGAAAAAGGAAAGGCAAGCCTGGTGTGCTCAGCTCGTCGAGATCTTGGCGGCGGTCCTTATGCTACGGTAATGATAGTGTCGTCAACAGTGAGGCCTTGTGTCGATGGCCATACCTGTTGTGCGCTAAAGATAAGCAAGCAAGCAGTGAACAAACGAATGAATGACTGCTGTTTGGTAGAATGGAGAAGAAAAAGAAAAAGAGACGACGTGTCACTGCATCTCTCCAGCAAAGCAGAGCGAAGCGAAGCCAGAAACGAGCGAAAGAAGGCGAGGCCGTCACGCGTTCACACGTTGTCGTCCGTCACTGCGAGTCTTTCACGGAAAGCGATCGACAGTGTCGTCCAGTCCTGTCCAGTCCCTTGGGGCCACGGTGCCTTGCTCGAGCCAAGGGAAGGAAGCAGGGAAATGAATGATCAGATCAGGAAGCCAAGGGGAAGAAGCGAGGAAGAGGGAGGGAGAGGAGGGGAGTGAGAGGCGCATTCGACGGGGACATATATCGATCAGTCGAACCCTCCCGGAATGCAAGTCCGCACGAGGATGACAAGGATCATATTAATCGAGCGATGAACGCACGACAACTTGGCGATGCGTAAAACGGGTGCACCCTCGGGTGATGATGCACCACGTTGCCTAACCTGAAGCATACACTGCAGTCGGGGCCTTGCCAACTCTGTGAGGTTCTGAGACAGGGACTGGAGACTGACTGAGCTACGCACGCGCATCCGACGACGTCGGACAATACGGTGACCAATCCTTAACAGGCAGGGATGGCGGATGGCGCGGGCAGGGACGGTCGGGACGTTGCGAGGTGGTCAAGGCGAACGAACGAATTTGTCGCAACAAGTCCTGGCCACATTCGGCGAGCTTGAGCTTGGGTACTACGTATCGGTCAGAAGACTGGCATGAATACCATCAACCCGTCTTTGTCAGGTCAACAAGTTGCCGTCCTTTTAGGGCCCAGTGGCCAAACTGGGACGTCACGACGATTGACGCGCGCCACGGACCACATGGCATTGGCATGTTTGAGATTGTTGCCTGGGGTGCGACCGGGACCCTCATGTAAGGGGTCGCACACTGCATGACACCATGCATCGACATTGTCGCTATGTAGGTACCTTATACTTGCTAGCGGAGTGTGCTCGTGAGCTTTCAGGGCGTCTCAGCCTCTTCAATGTCAATATGTTCTTGGCTACCCTACACAAAGGAAGATGGCTGCGCTCCTATCACTGAGCGAGGGTTAGGCTGGCTTCAGCTTTGGCTTACATCGATATATACCACGATTTGGGTCTACTCAACAAATCAGTTAGCCTGCCCGGCTAGCTCAATCGGTAGAGCGTGAGACTCTTACGCCTAGACAGCGAAGGTCCACATATCTCAAGGTTGTGGGTTCGACCCCCACGTCGGGCTATTCCTATATCTTTTGCTTTTCTTTTTGGCAGTTCCGACAACTCGGATCACCAGTCTTTTTGAAGCACGACCAGTCTGCGGTGAAGCCTCAAGCGTGTCTGAGGCCCCTGTCGACAGATCCTGAAACCAACACTGCACGACATCGTCACCACCGCGCATGTGTATCCGAGAACGTCAACTCCGCCGACGAGGCCCGATCGGAGACTGTTCGGGGTGCTGACCACTCCCGAGATCCCTCCAGTGGAGCCGTCGAGAGACGCAGAAGGCAACCTCACGATAATTGATTGAAGTGTACATAAATGTATGCAATTCATAGCCATGTCTATCATGCGCGTCCCTCACGCCAACGCTATGCTGATGCCTCGTATTGTTGGTACACTCCATGACAAACTCCAGCCGGGTCCCCCCCAGCACCAATGCACACCGCCCTCTATCCATTCTTGCGACTGACATCTTTAATTCCCCAGCTGCCCACCAGCGCCATGGAGTGCTCATCGCCCGCAGCCAGTCGGTCGTCTTGCAGCGTCTCGGAAAGGCAGCGCCATGGGTCACGGCCGCCGCCCCACTTCAGGAGATTCTCCTTCAGCCGCTCCCCGTTCTCTCGGTTCACTGCGCCTCCATGCTCGCCCGCGCCAAAAACAACACGCCACACACGCTCCGCTAGCACACGGTCAAAGAGGTACGAGTAGTATGTGCTGCCGTACGAGTGCAGGTGCCCAAAGAAGCCCTGCCAGCATGTCTCCTTAGGCTCGCGCGGTCCGTGGGAGTAGCGCGAATGTATGTCGTGGTACACGGTGGTCGAGTTGAAGCCAGGAGCTGCCACGTCAGGGCTGTGATATGCCTGGTCGATCATGGCCAGGAGGATCTGGTGTTCCGTGTCGATGCCCTCGAACCGCTTGGCCAGGCGGATGCGCTCCGCAATGACATGGTACGGCAGCGGCTTGTCCGTCTTCCAATGACGGGCAAAGAGGTTCAGCACCGACGGGTCGGCAGCAAAGTGCTCCATGAGCGTCGAGGGAAGCTCGGCAAAGTCGGTGGCGCATCGCGTGCCCGAGACGTTCTGGAAAGACGTGCGGGCCAAGATGGAATGTATGGCGTGACCCATCTCGTGGAAAAGCGTCTCGACCGAGTAGAACGATAAGAGGGCCGGCTCCTTGGCGTTGTCGTTCTTGGGAAAATCGCACACTAGGGCAATGGTGGGCAGCTGCTTCAGCGTCCCGTCTGCTGACGACACCCCCATCCCATCATTGGCGGCCTGCTCAGGCGTATCGAACGAGGGGAGCCCTGCCGCGCCGATATCCTCGCTGGCTTCTTCGAGCTCGCTGGTGAGGATCTCGCGCGAACAACGCACCGTAAAGTGCGCGGGGTTGGGAAACTTCTGAGGTCGGTAAAAGAGGTCGCAGTAGAGCACGGCAAGTTGCTCGCCCTTGTCCGATACGACATCAAGGCGCTTCACGTCAGAGTGCCAGGTCTCCCCAGAGAGGGTTTCCCGTGGTATGAAACGAATGCCGTACAGGCGGTCAAAGAGTCGCGAGAGACCCTGCATGACAGTGCCTACGGAGAAGTATGCTGACAGATGGTCGTCCTGTCGGGCCCGCGACCGCATCTCACCACGAATCTTCTCCATGTAAAAGTCTCTGTCCCATGCTTGTAGCGTAGAGTCGGGCAAGTCCAACTTCTGGCGCTTCTTGTCGGTCAGCTCCAACAGCTCACGCTCAATGATGGACGAGTTGTTCTCCCGCAGGGCAAACAGAAATTGCATCACAGACGATGGAGACTTGGCCATCATCCGGTCTTTGAGGGCCATGTGGCCATGGCTCTGGAATCCGGCCAGTGCTGCCAACTCAGACCTCAACTTGAGCAGCGACTCCAATCGTCCAATTGTCTTCTTGGAGGCCTTGCGCTGAGCGAGATAGAGCTCTTTCCGCGTCTCCTCGTCGTGTACGCTCTGCATCGCCGCCGCGGCCTCGGAGCTCATCGTCGGGATTGTGATTTGCGATCGCGACTTTAGCGATGCAGCCAGACTCGGATACAGGCCGTAGAACCTGTGGGAGGGAAGCGTCACTTCTCGCCTCTCGGGCGCCATTCCTCCCACAAAGGCAGACCCAGTCTCGCTGATGCGCGACGACAGCTCGACGAAGCGGTCGCGTGACTTCTTGGGAAGGTTGACGGCCGATTTCATAAAGTCGAGCTTCAGCAGCTCGGCCACCGTCCTCTCCTCTTCTGACCAAGCGTCCGTCACCTCTGGCTTAGAGAGAGCCTGCGAGAGCTGGTCACTCAACCCGGTCATCGTGTTGAGTTCGTTCATGTACTGGTACACCATTGACCAAGCGCTTGTTGCCGCGTCCTGGAATCGCGAGTCCGGGTGTGTCATACGCACAAAATCTGACAAGTCCAGCACCCGACATAGCAGGTCGCTCAATCTGTCCAGATCCCGGACGATGCTCTGGTATTCGCGAACAGTCGATGCCTTTAACACTCTTTGCACTATTCTCGTAGCTCTCTGGAGGTTCTTTTGCGCGAACAGCAGAAATCCATCGGGACTAGTCAAGTACCGATTCTTGAAGAGACCATGGTTCTTCTTCAGACCGAGATCGGGAAATGAGCGACCGGCCGGCGCATCAAACAGGTTACGAAGAACGGCATCGTCGTGGTGGGTGCTGCTCGCGTGGTCGACTGGCTGGCTTGCTTTGGCAGCAGTCGCTGCATGGGACGATTGCCATCGTTTGGGTTGCGATGCAACGGTTTGATGGACACAGCGTGAGCAGACTCGAAAGCCGCGGCGACGAACTGCTGTATTTATCATATTCGAGATCTAGAGACGTTGCGGCGCATGGAGGAAGCCGAGGATATTGCCTGGCGGTCGAACAAGCGAAGCGTAGCGCGAACCAAGCGTCATACAGAAAAAGGCGATCGTCGCGATTGCGAACAAGTACAGACAAGATGAATCAACAAAGGAGGAGAAAATACCCAAGCGATTTACAAGTGCCCTTCGTCCGTGGCAGGTACATGTACATGTGGTTCCAGATTTTCCATGTCGCCGCCCTCGGAGTTTTGCGGCCTTGGAGGCTCAGAGGCTGTAGCGCACCTTCCTCCCCTGAAGGCGACCCCGGAAACTGGCGCCCGATAAGGAAAGCCGATACCACTCATCGGCTCCGGCTAGATAGGTACGTACCTAGGTAAAGCAGGCCCAGATCGGGATTGACCGCCGAGGATTCCCCGGCTGCGCAACGACTGAGAATATGATGCCGCCCTGACGCTTCGCTTGAAGATCGTGTCAGAGCTCGACCCCAATTTGATTCCACGCCAATTGCTCCCAGGATGGCTGCGAGAGTCTTGCTGCAGCGTGTAAGAGCCCCATACCAGAATTGAAAGAGTCAGCAACTGACTGGATCCGCAGCGCGCTTTGGCGACCATGGCCCTTGGTGGCATGGCCTTGACGCCTGCCACTGTCCTAGCCGAAGGACCACCCCAGGAGCACAAGGTTCGTAGCTAACTGTGCCTCACAGATTACCTTACGTGCTAACTGTTTTGTAGAAAAGGTCCATTTACGACGACCTCGATCTGCCTTCGGCTAATCCCGCACCTCTGTCTCCTCCAGTCACGCAGCCCTCGGCACCTATTCCTACACCTGTCGACGAGGATCAACCAAGGCCTCATGGCCCGACACCTACGGATCGTCTTGCTGTCCAGATTGGGCACGCACGCCTTGCTCTGTACCGGGCCGTTGCCGCGACCGAAGTCAAGCTCAACGAGACCATGGACTCTGCGTTCGACCTCGAGCAATCCTTCACAAGCACGCTGGCCTCTCTGGCGCCCGGTCGTGAGACTGGAGAGAAGCTGATGCCCGGGGCCATCTATGTCCTCGTGGCGGCCATGGCCGGCAGCATCGTCACACGAAACCGCAACATTGTCCTGCGAGCAACCGTTCCCTTGGCCATGGGCGTTGGGGCGGGATGGACGGTTCTGCCCGTGACAATGCGCAACGTGGCGGATCACACCTGGAAGTACGAGCAAAAGGTCCCGGCCGTGGCCGACGCGCACCTGCGCGCGCGCGAGATCCTGCAAAAGTCGGGCAGCTTCGCCAAAGTGCACAAGGACCTAGGCGCACGGTACGTCGACGAGAAGGTCACCGACGCACGAGAAATAGTCGAGGGTTGGGTCAAGCAAGGGAAGTAGCGGGTGTACAAAATGGCACTGTACCATCACATAGATTCCTAGACATGTTCTTTTGTATTGACATCTGAGCGACCGTGACCGTTCGATTGAAGACTGTGCCTCAGTACCGTAAGCTCTTGACAAAGTCGCTAGCGCTGGTCTGTCTTGGCTGACCACGATCCCTGCTCGAAGTGGTGCATATTGAGTACCTAGATATTGTTGGGCTGTAAGGTCTGAGTATTTCACAAGGCTGTGTTAAGTCTGCACATTTGCACAGCCAAGGATGCATGACACTAAACTACCTTAAAAGAGGCTAAATGCTGAACACCAACGCTAGCGACTTTGTCGAGAGCTTACGGTATTACACTCGCATCGTTCTGAGATACTCTGACATTGGCCTTCTATGTCTCTATGTAGGTGGGAGGAGGCCTGTCCTCTCTTGTATGTAAGTATCGCACAGCCATGCTCCGAGCCCCAAAAACTCCACAGCGATATCATCATCATGTTGAGGTCAGGTCGGCTCAGGAAGCAAGTGCCAGGGGAGCAGCCTCAGCATGTTTCGAGGTCGAGGCCCCGCGAGCCGAGAGTGGCTCGCGCTGGGAGTTCCGGCTCGTATCACCGCCAGCTGCCCGCCCACTTGGGTTCTCGTTGGCTCGCTTCTTGTTGATCTGCGCCTCCTTGAACTCCTTTTGCTTCTGTTTCTTCTTTTGTTGCAGCTGAGGTTGGCAAATGGCAATCTTGTCCACTTCCTTGGCCTGATCCACGAGGTGGTTGAACCCGAAAGCCTCGCACAGCGCTTCGTAGCTCTTAGCCGCATGCATTTGCTGGTACGCAGGGTCTTTGCCGACGACCATCTGCGTGAGTAGGAACTTGGTGTTTGCAAAGCGGTTGTTCACCTCCATGCAAATTCTTAGATAGTCCTCAACGACCTCTTTCCATGGGAGCAGGCCGCCCTCGGCCTGGGTTCGAAAGCAGCTGGGATTTTTCTCCGCCGCTGTGGCGATCATTGCACCATCGGCCCCAAATTCGGCGGCGAGCTGGATTCCCTGATCTTTATTCTCGACGTCGCCATTCATCAAGCACGCCACGCCAGCTTCGCGGCACACATCAGCGACCATGCGCAGCTGTCCTCGAATCGCCCTCTCTCGCGGCCGCATAGGTGTGGTGCGACAGTGCACGGTCAGACCGGTGATTCCAGTCGCACACAGTTGCCTGACCAGCGCTTCCGTCTGCGCTGCAGTATCCAGTATCCTGATCTTGACGCTGATGCTGATGTCATACTTGGAGCCGACGTTCTCGACAAGAGCCCTCAATATCGCGCAGAGCCTGTCCGGAGTCTGTAATAACGCGGCTCCCATGCCTCCCTTGGTTGAGAATGGCTTGGGACAGCCGGCGTTCACTCCGATCTCGTTCACGTCTGCCGCCACGAGTTGCGCCGCTTTCACCGCGAGCTCTGGATCGGCAGTGCCCACCTGGAACACCATCTTCCCTGCTTCCTTTTCCGACGTGCGGAAGATGATGCGCTCTCCTGGGTGGCTTTGGTTCTCGGCGTTGGCGTTGTGAACCCACTCGACGATTTTAGACTTTTCCACGGCGCGCCGGGTGGCGCCAATGATCGCTCTGTCAACGATTTCGGGGCCTGAGGCGATTGTCAATATCCAAGAATCATCCGATGGATTCTATTGGAGTGCTCACCCCAGACCAGGTCTGCTCCGTACTTCAGCGAAAGCAGTCGCGTGGGCAGTTCACCCGAGCGCACCATGGGCGCAAGGACGACTTTACCGCCCCGATAGTCGACGCCCCGGCTGGGGATGGGAATCTTCTTTGACTCGGCAGCCATTGCTCTCCTAGCGATACCTTGAAGCATGCCGAGACAGGCAAATGTTACATGTTCTCGTCGACCGTCGTTCGACCTGTTGTAGGATTCGAGGTGACTGTCCAAGGTGTGAATCCCGAGTTCATGTCGAGAAGTTTGGGGCCGCTTGTCCTTATCGATAAGACGAGGTCTGATGGTGGGGTTGACGGCTGCGCTATAACATTGTGATTCATCGACATACCTCGTCCGTCACCTCGACCCTGAAGCGCCTTCGAAGACCGCCGAGGCTGCCTGGCTCTTGTGATGTACGTACAAGTAACACACCTGCCGCGGCTCAAGATCGGGTTCTATTTACGAGAACTTGCCTCGCCCGCGATAGTTCCGTAGACCATAGCGAGCCCAGTCGAATAGTACTTTGAAGGCTGCGATCTAGGATCACTGCCAACCTGTCCTCATTCATATCGCATAGTTACACGCCCGTACGTTTTTCGGCAACATGGGAGAATCTCATATCTCCCTGTAAAGCAATGTCTATGGATTACGTTCCCGTTGTAGGCGAAGGGGGTCCCAAAGCCTCTTTTTGTGAAACAGATGTCGGTGTCGGCCAATCTGGCAACCTCTTCGCCTTCTCGCTCTCGCACAGAAGAGCGTTGGCCATACCTTCTCGCCGTAGTTGTAGGCATGTATATAAGTAAGTACGTCGTGTTGAGCACGTAGCCTCGTCAGTAACGGGTCCATAGCGCTCGTGTCGCCTGGACCTTGCATCCAAAAATAGTGCCAAGTACTTTGGTCGGCTGGCCCACGGGTTAGGCCGACAGAGGGGGGCTACAGTCACAGACTCACAGTCACAGCGCCGAAAGGCCCCAAACAAAGGGCGCTTCTGCTTCCCTGAAACTGGCTGCTTATTATAGGGCCAATGACGGCATTGCTGGGTGCGCCACTGTCGGCGTTTCGCGCTATGTTGGACGGTTCGAAGCCATGAAAGGGTCCCTCACACGGCGCTAAGCACCTGGAGGCTGGCAAGGGTGGAGCTCCATTCGTCTCGGATCTTGGCCTTATTACTCGCACTCTTCAAGGGTCTCAAGACGCTCGTTGTGAGTCTGCAACGGCATCCCTCGCTCATAAAAAGGGCTAGCAAGCTTTGGATATCCTTGAATCGTTTAAGGGACTTACAAAAAGATTGTCAATTGATACAGTCGAATGATACTAGTTCAACGACACTAATACAAGCGTTGCTGTGCTGATGAAGCTCACTGTGTTCTTGGTTGGTATTCCAGCGGTAAGTACGTGTTGACAGAGGGGTCCTTCCGGTAGTCTACCTGCCATACGTAGTACATGGTACGCTAATAGGTTCTAACAGTGCCTGCCTAATTACTTTGTGGCTTGTTGATTCTTTCCATCGATACTGAGCTGATAATCTAATACTTCCGAGTCGCCCTGACATAGCGGCTACAACTCCCAATGCTGCAACATTAGCTCTGCACGGCACTTCCACTCCCTTCCCGAGACTCTCTGGGACGTGCTGTCCTGTATGGGCCCTACGTCGATCAGTGCGGTGGCTGCAGAAAAGCCTCTTGTCCAACAACAACGGGTCTGACAGCTGCGGTCCACGTCCCCGCTGCGAGGAATCAGGACAGGCATTGATCGCACCTGCTGCACCACCCCTCGGATTCCTGCCCTTTCCTCAGGTTGTCCCGGTCTGCTCCCTCTCCAGTCAGCACAGGGCTGGCTGGCTGGTTCCCTCCCCGAATCTGGCCAAGACTTATCACCCAATTGCCTGGCAAGTAAGAGCGCCCAGTCCAGTCCCTTGATCCTACACATCACGCGAGCTTGCCTTTGCGCAGTGCCTCAACAACTCGCGGGTGCTTGCCAGATTCTAAGCTGCTGAGACACGCTGCCCGCATGCATCACCCTCATCAATTAAACACCCGTCGCCAACCCCACTAACGACATCATCGCAATACGACTCTTATCAACGGCGCCCCCGACCCTGGGCGTGGCTCCAGCACCTGTGGATTTCGACGCGAAACGTCCCCCGATGAGTTCTTGAGCACGCGACAAGTTTACGGAAGCTGCACTGAGCTCACGGGTACCATATCGGATATTTTGGACCATTGTTTCCCTTCGCCTCGGTGCGCAAGTACATCAATCGTCCATGAGGGGTCAGAGCTGTAAGCGGTGACACGATGGACAACGAGCTCTACGCCAGTGAGGGACGCTCGTCTAGGAGAGATCGTCTTATGGGCAAGTTGTTCAAGGGCAAGGAGAGGAAAGTGCAAGAGCAGAATGAGTCACGAGCGTCCTTGGATGCCTTCCTTCACAACTCTGCTGACAATCTCACGGTAACCCATGCCCCGCCACCACCACCACCGTCGTCGATACCGAAGCTTTCCAAGCTGGACACAACAGTCTCGCGCTTCCCGCAAGCCCTTGGAGTCAACCAGCAGGCTCAACAAAACCGACCGCTGGCGCTCAGCCGTCCGGACATTAACACCCCACGGCCAAGCCCACGACCCAATAAGAAAGGGCTCCTAGTGCGATTTGCCGATACCTACCCTGAAGTAATTGGCGAAGGCGGCGACGAGACAGACGTTCCTACTGTGGAAATCTCCAAACGAAAGAAGTCAAGGCCGCCAAAGGCTCCTGTGGCACCAACACCTCCCCCTCATCGATCTCCCTTGCCGTCGCCTAGCCCAGAACCTGCGCACGCTCCCGCACCGGTCGCGCGATCTGCGCCTTCTGGACCATTCGACGATTTCCAGCCAAAGCCGCTCGCCCGAACGCAGACGGGATATTCCTCAATTTATGCGCCGGAGGCGGACGAGAGCGCCCGAGCGCATGAGCAGCCGCCGCCCATACCACCACCGCGTGTACAACCTCCTGTCGAAGCGGATCAGCAAGACATCGGCGGGTCGCCGCCCGCCAACACACTCCGCCCGGGGCGCGCAAACTCAGCAAGATATCTGGACACGACTGGCCGGAACGATGAGGCTAGAAGATCTTTCATCGAGGTGCAGAGAGCCCACATGCGTCAAGACGAGGGTCAGGCCTTAGCACGGGCTTCTAGAACGGTCAGCGCAGCTGACCAAGATTGGGAGGACTCGGACAAGGTCCCTCCTAGCTCAGTCAACAGCTCCCCAGAACAAAGCAGGCAACAACTGGCCTCTTCTGAGACCGACCCTCCAAACCCCTCTATATCGTATAGCCCTGCCGACTCCATTTACTCGAGCGAGTCGGACTCTAGCAATGCTCGTCAACGTATGGAGCCTAACAGGCAGGCCTCAGTTTTGTCACAGCACGCGCCTCCTAGATTGAGCTCCAGAGAACCGAGCGCTGTCTCACAGAATGAGTTGCCGCAACTACGAACACCACTAAGGCAGGCATCCTTCAAGCTGCACGATGTGGTGGTTGCGGCTGCGGATGATGCCCTGCAGACGTTTGTGGCACGCACGAAGCATCTTTGCGAATTGTTTCGATTACATGCAGAAACCGTCAAGCCTTTGTCTAACTGCGCACTGAAGGACTGTGCTCGGGCAGGAGTTTGGTGGTTTCTGAAAGGGAGGATGGGCCTTGAAACAACGATACGCGAGAAGACAAAGACACCGCAGCACCAGATGCAAAACGAAATTGATCGCCAACAAGCATACACCAACCTAGCAAAGGGCTACTGGCTTTGCGCCGAGGCCGTGCCTGAAATCGCCAAAGTCCAGGGAACATCGCCTGATGATGAAGTTGCTGAGGTCACAGAGGCTCTCGTGTCTGCACTCACGAAATTGTCCATGTCGATGAAGAGAAACGGACTGCTACCGCCCGAGGAGGCGTTCTTGCCCCAGACGATTGACAAGTCAATCTGGGTTGAGTATCCGCCTCTGAGCCAGGATCTGGTAGCGCTACTGTCGGGCAATTGGGGCTCGGGGTTGTCAGCAATGCAGCATCCATTGTCGACATTGCATCTTCTTGATGCGTTCCCTGTCAGTGATAGTGCCGACAATTTCAGCTACGGGAGAGTAGCAGCGGATATCTATCTCATGGAGCAAGGCAGAGAATCACAAAGACTCCATTTGCCGTCCATGGTATCCATGGTCCGCCCAAAAAAACATACCGGCTTGGTTTTTGTTCTGGCGAACCAGAACGGCACCTTGCAGCTGGCGATTCAGGAAAACAAGAACGCTGGCCCAGTCTGGGACGATATTCGTTGGCGAAGCGATACTTGTGCGCTCGACATCAAATTGCCGCGCGGGTTCATGTTGGTTGTGCAGTTGACGCAACAAGACTTCCGATCATTGTGGAACATGTATGACTTTGGCGCAAAGGTCAAGGCAACACTGTACCCTAAATCAGACGAGGTGATTGTCTTCCGGAACACGCTGAAATCGTTTCAGTACGTTGACGCGGATCCGAACTCGAGAATCTTCCCGAAGGAGGCTGTTCCTCACTGCGAAGTCGCTCTTTTCGAGAGGATCTTCAAGGAGAGCGGGCCCCAGGGCATTCGCAACTGGCATCGCGGTTTCAGGGTTGCCGTTGTCACTGGGACTCAGACCAGAACTCTGAGCGGAGTACAGCACAACTATTCCCCGAGTATGCCTGTTCAATTTGGCTTCTTTCGGGTGGAGGGCGAGTCTCCAGCGCTCTCGCTCCGCTTCGAGAACGGAAGACAACGGGGGCGAATGAATTTGACTTTCAACGAAGACAAAGAGAGGATCAAGTTTCACTCGCTGCTCACAGGCACTGCACTGGACCACGACGAGCAGATCTACGCAGATGTTGCACTCAAGTCAGTGACCTTGTCTCAGAGCTTACGCGAACCTCTGGGCATGTCGCCATTCAGCCGTATGCCTTGGAAGGCAGCTAAAGTTGTCAATGAGGAGCTGGGTCCATCCGGAGAGCAACCACCTACCGTTTTGGCCGATAAGCTGAAGATGATACTGGAATATCAGAATGGCACAATAGCGGACAGGATCAACATTGGGCCTGGAGAGCTTCGCCTTCGTCTAGAGGTGACGAATGCAAAGATGCTCCGAATCATGCGTCAGCCGCAAGCAGACATGACCATGGCCGTTTCTGAGGCGCAAGTCCCTAAGGAGCTGCCTAGGAATTTTGCCGACGCTTTGCAGTTGGTCAAGATGAGCCCGTCGATCCGTTCACTTGAATTTGGAAGTCTCAAGGATCTCCATAACTTCCAAGCTGCATTGACAGGGTATGAAGTGATATTCGACGCCCTCGCCGCAACCTTTGCCATTGCCCGTCGTCGCATGGTTGTGCCCATACACAAGAAGTGGGAGGCTAGCTACACGAGGATACAACTTGTGAAGCAAGACGACAAGCTACAGTTGCTTGCTTTCTTTGAGGATTTCCACCATGGACATTGCATGGGTTTCGTTCTCAAGGGGACAGATGTGTACGAGACGTTCAATCGAAGCAACAAATCAGGGCTGCGGTTCATTGACGCAAAGTTCCCTCTGCCACGGCTCCCCGTCGATAAAGATGGCGACTACGATGACATGGCGTTTGTGTCGCTGGATCTACCAGATCTACCAGGAGAGCACGACGACATCTCGATCACGTTCGAGAACGAGACTGGTGAGTTTGCGTACGTGCACAAGGGCTCAAGCCAGGGTTACTGACACAGCTTATAGATCGCGACAACCTAGTGCAATGTCTACCAGCGCCCGTGAAAGGGCCGACGAGGATGTCGTCGCGCTTGAAGTAGTTTGGTCAACACAGAGGTCATATGACGTTCAGTGATGTTTGAGCGTGAGCGCGGCAATTGCATTTAGAGCATCAACAAGAGCATCCAAGCCCACGCCCGAATAGCGAAGGGCAGGCAAGGCGTTGACGAGGCGCATTTGGAATATTTGAGCGCGCAGATAACCCTTTTCAAGAACGGCCAAAAGATGGCATGATGAATCAATGTAGACGGCGTTTCCAGCTGTCGCTGTCTGAATACTACCCATTTTGTCCATTTGCGTGCTGCGACCAAGGTAAGGCACCCTACTATCCCCATTTGTGCGGTGCCTAAGTTAAAGATCCGGTTCCCCTCAATGGCCGGGCTGACAATTCTTGTTCTGACTGTCCAAAGGCTCGAAGCTAGAGTGCTAAACGCCCGTGCCGCGACATGTGTGAAGTCACCATCTGCGTGCTCGCTCGGATTTCCAACAGCTTCAAACCCTGGCCTAGGCCACAGGTTGGCCCCGCCGCACCGTGCTTTGGACGTACTGGCTGGGTGTGTGACTGACATTTTGGGTACGTATTCATTGGACCCGATCTGCCTGGCCCATCGCATTGACTCTCGGATTACGGTACCTCGCCTTTCCCGTCCTTGCTGACCCGCCCATGACGTGGATGCGTCGTTTGCTAACCCATCCCAACATCGATTTTTATTTCGTTTACAGCCTGTAATTTCCGAACCATCTGCTGTCTTTACGATATCTGGCTCCAGAAAGCTTTCCATTCTCCTCCCATCCACACCGTCTCTCCTCGCGCTCACCAGCTCTCTCCCAAAACTCTGGGCGACCGACCCAGGTTCGGACGCGACAACGTCAGAGAGGGTAATCCGCGACGCAAACCGTAGGGTTCCGGACAAGCAGCCACCATGGTGCATGTACCGGGTATACGCAGTAGGCAGTCCAGCATCAGTCGAAGTGAGTTTCTCTGTTCTTCCCTTCACCATCTACGTTGCCTTGTGCTAGGTATCTTGCCTGGAGTGTGGTCTGCCGAAGGGACTGGAAGGGACATGTTGACTCGAGCGATTCTCAAGGCGTTTTTTGCCGTCGTCGTCAACTCCAAAAACGACCTCGTCATCCTTTGGTGGCCACCCCACCACATCGACATGGCCAAGCTTCGTGCTAGCCGTGTAAATGCCCGCCCTTGGATCGCTTCCTCCTGCAAGACTTGGAACAAGCCCATCCCCTGACGCCATTCCCGTCGTCCCCCCTTCTCAAAACATTCATTCCTGTTGCAAGGCCCCAAGCGTTGTGCGGCTTCTCCGGACAGTCTTTCTTCCCCCTCCCCCCACCTGATCGACTGCAGTGCCAAGGCCCCTCGTCCCCTCTGCCCCACCACCTCCAGTCGAGTCGCAGCGGCCAGGCATCGCTTGCTACTTGCGGCTCGCCGTCCGTGTGCGTGTCGCAGTACCAGTCTCGACTGTTTACGCATCACATTCGTTTCTTGTCCTTCCCCCAGTGTTCGCTTGATCATGTCGAACATGTTGTCTAACTGGTGGTATCCGCCTGCGTCTGAAGGCAACCGGTCTTCCGTTGACGAATCCCGGGTCGATACCGATGATGATACCACGATTGTCGAACCCGACCAGGGCAATGGTAAGTGTGCAACGTTTGTGCCGGCGCGATTGCTTACCTTTGACCAGTTCTCTCTCACATTATATCCCAGCTTCGGCCCGGTGCCGATCTGAGTCGCATTGTCCTGCCTACCTTTATCCTCGAACCGCGAAGTATGCTCGAGCGCATCACCAAGTTCGCCTCCCGACGAGCCGCAACATGATCGTATAATTGACCTTTAAACACAGCTTCATGTGCCATCCCGAGATGCTCCTACATATTCCTTCGATCGACGACCCCACCGAGCGATTCGTTGCCGTAGTCAAGTTCTACTTGAGCGGTTGGCACATCCGACCCCCGTCCGTATCCCTACACACTTGCACACAGATATCCATTTCTGACATTGAATACAGGGGTGTCAAGAAGCCTTTGAATCCGATCTTGGGCGAGGTCTTCTCCTGCTACTGGGATCTTGAGCAGGGGAAATCTAGGGCATACTATATCTCCGAGCAAACGTCGCATCACCCGCCCAAGTCCAGTTACTTCTACATGGTACCAGACCACCACATCCGAATCGACGGAACATTGAAACCTCGAAGCAGGTTCCTGGGGAACTCAGCAGCCAGTCTCATGGAGGGTATCGCCTACTTGAGCCTGTTGAACCGAGGCAAGGACAAGACGAAGGGGGAGCAATAGTGAGCGACTTCCGTTGGAGAGTTTGGTACAGTCACTCACAATGTCGCAGTGTGATCACACAGCCCAACATGTACGCGCGCGGTATCATGTTTGGAAAAATGAAGTACGAGCTTGGCGACCATAGCTTCGTTCGCTGCCCAGAACTCGACCTCACAGCCGACCTAGAATTCAAGGTCAAGGGCTGGGTCGGTGGCACTTACAACGCCATTGGCGGTGCTATCAAGAGGGAAAGCACAGGCGAGGTTCTCTACGAGCTCTCCGGTCTGTGGAGTGATGAGATGTTCATTCGCGACGTGACGGTCAGCATTTTCTCTCTATATTCAAATAGTTGCGGAGGCTAACAACTGGTAGACTGGCAAGCGTGAGATGTTCTTCAACGCGACCAAATCCAAGCCAAGTCCCCCGAAAGTCCGACCTATCCGTGAACAAGCTGATCGCGAATCCCAACGATTGTGGGAAAAGACGGCCAACGCGGTCAGGGAGCGCAAACATGAGGTTGCGACAGATGAGAAGACGACGATTGAAGATCGCCAGCGTGAAGAAGCAGCCAAGAGGTCTCGCGAGGGTATTCAATGGCATCCGCGCTTGTTCCGCGCTGTCAAGGGTGGCCCGGGCCAGCCTGAGGAAGGCATGAGTGATCTAGAATGGATCATTGATGCGACAGTGTGAGTTTCTCGATGGGCCTCGAGAGTCGCAAAGCTGACGCGTAGACAGTGACCACACAGCAACCCCCGACCAGCAGGCTGGGCAGATCAAGGGCATCTATCCGATTGTGGATGGTCAGCAGGCCACCTTGGACTTCCTCGACGGAAACCCGTCTAGTTCAACCATGGTTGAGCCAAAGCCGCCTTCAGAAGAAGGACCGGGGACAGACAGTAGCAAAGACGCACCCAACGAGGAATTGGTAGAGACGGGCCACGGTGACGCAGCTCCCACGACAGCGGAGCCAGCTTCGTTGCCCGCGCAAACGCCAGATGAAATTGAGAAGATGCTGTCATCAACGGGTAAGAAGCCTGAGGGTCCTTTGATTGACTTTACAGAGGAAATGAGGACGGAACTCCCTGCCACTCAGCGTCACGGCCAGACAAAACAATGAATCATCCTCACTCGAGTGGAACTAGCTAGACGGCGTGCCGAGACACGTTAATAAGATAGGATCTGTTGTATATACCCGCACGAAGAGATCACATTGATGGGCATGTCTGTGCATTCAGGCATGGGCAAGACCCTCCCTCATGCCATTGGTGACTATGCAGTCTGCCTCTTCATTGAGGCTATGAATCCCTGAAAACCACAACGCCTGACCTTTAAAGTAAGAATACGTAATCCCCCAGTTCTGTTCCAAACAGACGGTTCACCCCAGAACTCAATAACGCCTCCTCGTGGGCTCAGGTGTAGGAGACCTGCTGACACTCTTCTCGTCCCGTCCCCTCATCTTCAGCCACTTCTTCGTCGAGTTTGTCAGCTCGCGATCCAGCTCATCGCTAGGGTTCTTGCGGTGGATGAAATTGCAGAATCCTCCACGGACACAGCCCTCGCCGCTGTTCAGTCGGCAGCATGCCTCACGAAAATCGGTCACCGGGCTGAGCTCGCAGTATATCGGGCGCGCGGCGTACCAGCGCGAGTTGAGCTCGTCACAGGCTTTCTGGGCGGATTCTTCGTACTTGAAGCGGGCGTACACGTTTCCGATCAGATCTGGGTTACTTGTTAGTATCTCTGCTCACGCGCGGGCTGCAGGCAGCCGATTGAATTCGGAGGATGACCTACGATCATTGTTGTTGTCGCACACAACTAATTCTTCCAACTCGCCGTACTTGCACAGCTCGCACCATATATCCTCGTAGAACGCATCAAAGTGGTTCTGCAGCTGCGACGGGTTCATGCGACTCTTGTTGTCGTACGCTGGGTTCTGATACAGATTCGGCATGAGGATGGTCTGCGAGTAGGACGGCTTGACATGTTTTCTCGAGCAACGATCGCCGTGGCGGCAGGCACCAATCTTGAAGTAGAAGGAGCAGTTGACCTTGTCAAGCTCGGTACCGAAAATGGAGGCAAGGAAGGAGGCCATGGTTGCGCTTGTTGCCTACTTGTCAATGGTACAATGAGGCTGATGATGTCGTGGAAAGGAAACGGTGCTGTCGGGATTCGATGCGCGACTGATGAAGTTCGTGATGGAAGTGTGGCGTCCGTTTGATAAATTGTGGATACTAGTGCTTCTTGGTGTGGCGCCTTTGTCAGTCTCGTCATTAGTCATCAGCAAGATATTGACTTTTTGATACACTTTCGCTCAGTTCCCCCACATTCGACTACATTTGAGGTTGGAGGGAACTTCAGGACTATATCTGAGCCAAGATTACCTTACCTCGTGCTACACTCACAGCACCTGGTCGGAGCAGGCAGAGTCTCGAACTTTTGTAGATCCAGTCGCCCTGCTGCTAAGGGTAACCGTTCGCTGCTTTCGCCAATGTCTGCAATCCCGGATGGTCGTAGAGTGACGGTGCATCCACCACGAAAAACCAACTGACTGTAGTTATAAGTCCGTCATTGCTGCTCAAACGTCCATCATGCACGTACGGAGGACCTGTATACGTTTATGGCTAAACCTGGTCCTCAAAATTTAAGTGAGAGTTGAGTGGAACCAACGGGCTCACTAGCCACAATGCCCCCGGCCGGTAGACCGGTGGGCCGGGCCTGCAATTAACCCCTGATGCGAGTGCTGATACGTAGTGGTAGGTACAAGGGTCCAACGCGATAAACCTTTAACATCCCCTACCGACTTACTTTGCGCGCAGCCCACTTGCCTGGACGCCGATCTGGGGCTTCGCATTTGACTTGTCGAATAACGACAACGTCGAGTGAAAAAACGGCAGCAACAGCACCCAGCAATGATACGATCTACTACGCGCACGCTGTGACCTACAATAGCCACCGGCAACTCGAGCGGTTGCTTCTCGACCATGGATCAAGCAGATATCCCCGCGCTGCTATCGCGCATGGCGAGCGACGAAGATGCTTCGCGCAAAATGGCAGTCTTCAAGTTGCAGAACTCTATCAACGACCCGTCCTTTGCCGACGTGTTCATTTCCTCGGGCGGACTGGTGGTTCTGCGACGCCTGATCATGACCTCCAGCGGCAACACACTGGCCTACTCGCTACAAAGCTTGACACGCTTGCTTGAGGTCGACATGGGGTGGGATATCTTTGAAGGGCCGACCGCGAGCGACCTCGTCGAACGAATCGTCGAATTAATCGTCAAGAATCCGCTGGTCAACATCCTCAGGGGAGCAATGTCCATACTGGTGTCGCTAGTGGGACATTCACAATCACATACCGAGTCGAATCAAACACCCGGCACATTTGGGTTCCGCGCACTCAAACCAGCGGTAGCGGTCCACCCTCAGTTTCTGGAATTGGTCATCCAGCAACTGCAAAGTGCAGATCACGCGCTGTGTGCGAGCGCGCTCATGTTAATCAATGCGCTAATACGAGATGCGCTGTCAGGCGAGGTGTCTGCGAACAAGATATCACCGATGACGGCAGATGGCGAGGATTGGTCCATCATGATCAAGAAGTTGCATGATCTAGGTCTGATCAAGGCCGTGTACAATCTCATGCGGAGCTCGACGCTACAAGACCTTGCACACCCCATGCTGGAATTCCAGTCGCTGACGAAAGTGCTCCTACGGAAATGGCGTCAAGTCCACGTGGATGTTGAGCGAACAGAACATAGACGGGCGTTGAAGAGCCTGCATCTCGCAAGCAACCCGGACCGAGGCCATGTCAATGGCCATTCGAGGGATGGCTCAAGCGAGCGGACTGGGAAGAGCAGCAAGCGACATAACCCGGAGAAATGGAGGCGGCTTGGTTTCGAGTCAGAGTCCCCCGCTGCCGAATTTGGTGATGCTGGCTACCTAGGTTTGATGGATTTGACAGACTATGTACGAAGGCACGAAGATGGGTTTCAGAAGCTTCTTCTCGAGCAAGCTTCGACACCGCTGCGGGACCGTTTACCCGTAGCGCAAGCCAGTATTGCTGTCACCATGATTCTCTATGAGCACTTCAGGGTGGATATGACGGACTTGGAGGAGACGCGGGGCTACCGCGGCATTGATATGACGGACCATGAGATTCTCTTCCGGCCGCTGCTCCTTCAGTGGTCTCGTCTCCATGCCTCCGGGCTTCACGGGTTTTTCCGGGTGTGGAAAGCCACCGACGCCAAGTACGGTGACTTTGACAAGGTTGCTGAGCTGGTGCGCATCTTGATCGAACAGGTTGTGGGGCAGGCGACGCGGACAAAGGACTTACTGGAAGTTGAGGATGACCTGCAAGAGTACGACGTACCGAGACTTCGTGAGCTGCAGATGAGTCTTCTGAAGCTGTCGTTCGAGGAGAAGTGGGGTCAGCACCTGGTACAGGCTCGTGAGGAGTTGAAGCAGGAGGCTTTGCACTTTGTGAAAGAACAGCGAGTGCGATGTCTTCTCGATGGATCTTGGTTCGAGCGGCCGGCCGCTCAGAACTCGAGTGGTCTGCCGTGGCGGTACGCCAAGCTATCGCATAACAAGCGATACCTGCACTACGCCGACTTCCACCAGCAAACAGCACACGACCCTGTGCTTGGCACATTACCAGAGAGGGTGGCTCTCAACGCGATCAGTTCCGTCGTCTCAAATGTGTCGGCCAGCGACGATATTAGGAGCATCACAAGCGGTTCGACACTCAAGCTGCAACACGCACCAAAGTCGACGACCAAGATAACGATAAACACGGAAGTGGGTGGCAAGGAGCAGGTCATGCTTACCCTATGGCCAACGAGCCACAGCCTTGCTTCGGAATGGCTTGACGGGTTGTTGATGTTGCTTGGGCAGGCCCCAATCACCGCAGAGACGAACAAGCTGATCAACCTGGTGAGTGACTATGGCCTCAAGATCAGGCTCCTCAACGTCAGGATGGACGCGGCGTTCGAAGGGCCGCCACCAGGGGCAGGTGTGGTGCCCAGTCGGACGGACCTGGATGAGGACTATTTCTTCGAGGTGTAGGTGAGCGGGCGAGCCAGGCTTTGGGAAGCGCGTCAGGGCAGTGGCGGGTTTTTTACGTTTTCATGTCCGTATTTGCTGTTTGTAACGTTATATACCCTCTATGTGCGCTGGTAATCCAAGTAGGTACTGCAATGGATGTGGCTATTTTGAGCCAAGTTCAGGCCTACAACGCTTTCTTGGGCCGATCAGTACGGGACGCCGGTTGTTGCCTAAAATGACTTCTCATCGGGCAAGTGTAGAGACAGGTGATCTCAGCTGAACCTATCCGTACTGTCATAAACTTGATTATATCTTAGAGAAACTACACGTCTACTACATGTACGTACACACTTGTCATTATGTGAGGGACTGTAGGGTAGCTTTACATAGCACCTCGTCGAGGGTCTAGTTAGTCATCTACTGCCCGATTCACGTGTGCCACCAAGACCGCACAGGCCCAATTTCTGGCATCCAAATAATTAGTAGAATTTTGAAGCATGAAAAGCCAGCCAATGCCAACGGACCAAGAAGGACATCAGCTTGACTAGCGTGTCTATCCGTACAGCGTGGCTACTGAGGGGAACAGACATGAAGGGTAGGGAGTTGACCTCGGGCACGCGATCGCCTCATTGTTTGGGTAGCAATATGTACTTCAACCCTCGACGACGGTATGGTTGCTCTGTGTTCCCTGAAAAACGCATAATGATGCATCGTAATCAACAAGACTAAGCACCGCCGAGACAACGAATTCCAGGCGATAACTTGGCCAACCGTGATTGCGTTTCCCTTGCCATGCATAAGCGGAGGCTATAAAGAGGGACGAGTGAACGAGGTGGTGACGATGAATGGATCGGAATTCCACTGTTGCAGCCCAGCCTTCACCGTTTCTTCGGCTGTTGTACACGTACGGCATCCTCCATCCAATCCCCCGAGACGCTTTTCTACCTTACCCTTTCTGCTCTGACCATTCTCCCCACACCCCTTGACGTATAGCTCTGAATTTTCCCCCGGTCTACTTGTTCTCTCTCTCTCCTTCAACTCCAAACCTCGCCGCATCCCACACTATTGCTGGCGATTTTGCCGGCGTCGAGACGAGGGGTGTTCTGGTGAAGTGAACCGACCGGATCCACTGTCCAGTACCACATCGTCGGCACAGGCCACAGGGCCATCCATTATCGGCCAAGCGCTGGGCTGGGCTAGGCGCTGACGAGGTACTTCACGGCATATCACCAGCCACAGCCGCCAGTCAGCTGTGGCTGAAGCCAGGCACCGACCGGGGCGCAGCAGCTCCGCTACGCGTGTACCTTCCACGTCGACCCGTATCGGCTGGCAGGCGAGCAAGGATTTGGACCCCCTGATTGGCATTGCAGTCACAAGCAAAGTCGACTGGACCCGGATCTTCCTGAAATTTCTCACCTTTCAGCATACAGAAGATCCCCATTGAACATACTATCGCTTGTTCGACAACGATAGCCAGTCTTTACTACTGACGCGCTTGCTTTCGGTAAGTTGACACCCGCTTTCTGACTTCAATCGGCCTCTTCAAGCGCCGCTGCCTATCACTACTGCGATATGGGTTGACTTCTGCCTACGGGAATGCTATCCGACGCATACCTACGCCTCTGGGCCATTGTTGTCATTGCGCATTACCCACATACCTACAAATAACGGTCGCTAATCGTTTCCCTCTCCTAGTAGCTGTCCAATTCAGTATTCTCAGCAAGCAAACCAGCCTATCCTCTCGTGTTTGCAGAGGTATCGATCCTACCCACGAAAGCTCAACAAACCCAGCGCCCGCGCATCGATCAACAATACACAATCACCGGCACGATGTCGCGCATTCAGATCCCCCTCGAGGCCATCACCTCCCGCATCAATTTTGGCGATCGGTTCTCCGGCCTTGGTTCGGGTCCTCTCACCAGCCGGTTTAACAATCTGCGCCCTGTTGGCGAGTTCCTCGACTTCAAGCGCCTGACCAAGCCCGCCAACTTCTCCGAGGCCCAGTCGCGTGTCAACTACAACCTGAGCCACTTCTCGAGCAACTATGCCGTCGTCTTTGCGATGCTGAGCATCTATGCTCTTATCTCCAACCCTCTGCTGCTCTTTGTCATCATCCTGAGCGTCGCTGGCATGTACCTGATCGGCATGCTCGACGGTCGCGATCTCATCATTGGCAGCTTCAAGGCTACCTCTTCCCAGCTCTACACGGGTCTGCTGATTGTCACCGTCCCTCTCGGTCTGATCGCATCGCCCATCTCAACAGTGCTTTGGCTCATTGGTGCCTCTGGCGTGACCATTCTCGGTCACGCTGCTTTCATGGACAAGCCTATCGATGAGGCTTTTTCAGGGGAGGCGGTCTAAATGGTCGGCCGCGAGCTCCCGAATTCGCGCCCCAATGGGGAAGACCATCGAGGCGCAGTCGGAGGAGAACGGACGGGGACGCTGCGTCGCACGGACTCTGGGGAGGTGACACCAGAGTGCGTGAACTAGGTTCGGACGAGGATGATGATACAGATTCTCAGGGCGTGGGTCTCAAAAGACGCGGCACACGTTTTGTGAGTGACTCTTTGGAATTTACGGGAACAGACTTGGGGGATAGACGGAGTGGACTTTCACGGCGGATTCCACAAGGTGATGACGATGATACGGAAAGCGAGGAAGATGATGAAGACGACTACGATCTGGCTCTGCTGACTCCCGAACAAAAGGAGGAGGCTCTGGTGCAGACGGCCATGGCACGAATCGAGAGAGCTCAGGCCCGGGGCAGATCGGATGTAAGCTTGACAAAGGACGAGCTGGCTGCTTTGAAGCGACGGAAGCAGAGGATGGAGGAAGAAGCCAACAAAAGGGAGCGCAAGAAGAGCAGAAAACAGCAACGTGTGGCCATTCCTCTGACTAACCTAGAGCCGGTGTCGCGCAAGAAGAAGTCGCCGCCAGCTGTTTTGGAGGGATCACCGCACGATATGCTAGAGGCCTCGGATAGACAGGGATACCCACCTGTTGGGTACTTTCCACCGCCTTCCGGGCGCTCACGGCCAAGGTCGGGAACAACGCTCTCATCACGACCTCCTAGTCGAGCGCACGATGATCGACCGGACTCGCCTTTCCAGTACGAATACGTCCAGCGACCATCCTCCTCAGCCGGACGGCACGTGTCGGACGTGATGCCTCGACCACTTTCCTCGCGGGGTCATCAGTTCGACGATGGATCATCTACATCTCTCAATTCTGCAAGTCGCAATCAGCTTGACCCTTTCATGTTCCAAACTGCAGGACCGCGTGCGCCCTACCCTGGTGGCGCTGCGGTTGGTTCGAGGAGGCATGTTTCGGGGCCAGCGGATGGGCTGTACATGTCACGCCGCGAAGAGGGAAGGTCCAGTCGCAATAGCCGTAGGTCGGGTTATGGCGAGAGCAGCGAGGAGAGTGAGCCTAGCGAGAGCGCCAGCGACGAGCTCAACAACGGAGCGCGTATTCGGGAGCCAGCGCGAGGGGGTAGATCGGAGATCGTGGTGCAGCCCGACCCGGAGCCAGAAGTGGCGCCCAAGAAGAAGTCGTCTGAGTCGTCCAAACGCAAGCCTGTGCCGAGTTCAAGTTCAGGAAGAGGGGGAAGGAGGAAAAAGAAGTAAAAAGCGATGGGACTTTGCGAGGTAGTCTTTTGGTTCGTGCCGATACCAACTTGCGATTGAAATGACTATAGACTGTAATTTGAATACTCCTGATCACGAGTACCGTTCTCCTAAATGCAAAAATCTATGGCATCAACGTCGTCGTCGCTTAGACTAGAAGTCGTGCCTCGGCAGTGCCCGTAGATTCATGCAGAGTACGGATACAGGGTCCAGTCCTGTCCGCGTCAAAGCCCCGGCTGACCCAACGTCACTGCTTCTAGCTCCACCTCCATCTTCCACAGGCCGCCTACTCAGCATCTAGACTTATCCTTATTCCTTTCGTATCAGCGCGCGCATCCTTTGACGACGGAGACATAACATATTTTCGACCCAGTCCTAGACACCGCGCGCGCGTAATGGCCGATTCAACCACATCCTCGTCCTCGCGAAGTGCCACGAAGCGACTCACCAAAGAACTCGGGACCTGGCACGAGGAGCAAAAGCACGAAAAGGGCATCGAGCGTCTAGAGCCCATTGGCGAGAATGACTTGTTCACATGGGAGGCGGTGATCAACGGCCATGGTGTAGGCGGTGGCTACGACGGTATGCTTCATCCACCCACAGACTTGATCTTGAGCGAAAAACACAGTACTAACGCCGTGTACTGTAGGTGGTCGCTGGCTGCTGAACATTGAACTGCCCTCGAATTACCCCTACTCGCCACCGACGATCAAGTTCGCGACGAAGATTGTGCACCCCAACATTGCGCTGAACACGGGGGAGATTTGTCTGGACCTGCTGAAGGATGCGTGGACGCCGGCGTACAGCGTGCTGGAGAGCATCCGGGCCGTGAGGATGCTGCTGAGCTGTCCAGAGGTGGACAGCCCATTGAACGTGGATGTGGCGGCGCTGTTGCGGGGTGGTGATGTGCTCGGGACGCGCAAGTTGGTGGAATACTGGTGCTCGGATGAGACGGGTCGTTACGACGGTCCCTGAGCGCTTTTGGAGACCTGATCGTTCCCTTTTCTTTGGCGTGCTTTTTATGAGCGAGATTTGCATATTGATCCCTTGTGCACTGGAGACTATTATGGCGAGGCCAGTTTGGTAGCTTGGTATATCATGAAACATTGCCGACGCCCCCGTCCATTGAACCTCTATAAATGATCCAAGCCCGTCGAATCGTGAAGACACTGGTCCGATTCTATTGTACATCATTGTAAATGAAACCCTCGCGGCGGGTCAAGCCAGGAGGGAAGAGGCAAGGCTCGAAACCCAGTCTAACCAGATAGTTGCCCAGGATCCTACAGCGGGCAGAGCATACCACAACAGCTAACGCCTCGCACCAGAAAACCATGTGTCAATGCTCCTTTTTCAATGGCTCCGACTGGTCAAGCAGGCGGACGAGCTTTCGCTCCTTTGAACGCGAAAACACCAGAATACAGCACTGCACGGCTCATCATTTCTATTCGTTGTAGTGGTAGACCTGTCGTCGTTCCTCATTAGCAAGTTGATTGTTCCATATCATTGCCCCACGTACCTTGTAATTGGGCAAGCCCCAGGGTTGCCAGCCAAGTCGCTTGGCCATCTTTGCAAACCCCTCAGTCTCAATCAGGTTGTAGAAGGCAAAGGGGGGAAACATGGCGCCGTCGCGGTGCACATCAGCCTTCACGAGGAGGGCGGTGCCGCCAACACCATCGAGCGGTATCACGAGACTGTCGTCCGCCTGCTCGGTCACCATGTACGCCATGAGAGCACGGTAGGTGGCCATCTCCCTGTAACCCTCCAGCAAGATGTCGTCCGGGCCCATCTGCGCAGCCAGCTGTTGCGCCGCCTCGCTATCCTGCCAGCTGTTGTAGTCGTAAGGTCGCTCGGACATTTTCTTCGTGTCGCTGTCGTAGTAACGCTGGAAGCAGTTTGGCACGATGAGTGGCTTGTCGTGGGAGGCCAGGTCCTGGATCAGGGTGGGCGGTGACTCAACAATGTCGGCATCCAGCCACAGGACCCATGATGTGCTAGGGCCCAAGGTTGTGAAGAGTAACGAGTTGCGCGCTTTCGCCATGACTTCGCGTCTCGCCTTCTGGTTCGCCATTTTGTGTCGCTCGCTCTCGTCCTGCGACGTGACGGCTGGCTCAAAGTCCTGGCGGAGGATGATGATGCTCTTGAATCGATCCTTTTCCGGACCCTGCTTCTGCGTGCGCTGAATCTGCGCCTGGAGCGCCGTCGTTGCCGCGTTGCCCTCCTTCGTCTTGGGCAGGATGAACCCAAGTGTGATCAGCTCGTGGGGGTAGTTGAGCTTGAGCAGGTTATCCCAGTATTCCTGGTAGAACCGCGCCATTGGCGTCAGGATGAGGACGTGCTCCTGGTTGGCGATCGGATCGGGCGTGATTGTCACATTGTTGAGCTTGTAGTGGGTGACAGGGGGAGGGCCGAGCTCGCCAGGTCGCGACGACTTGCGGTACGGTGAGGTTGGCGGCGACAGATGGTGGGATGCGGTATTGACAGTGAGACGAGCGGTCTTGGTTGGCGTCGAAGGGGAGACGAGAAAGACGATTATGAAAATGCAGAGCACGGCGCCGAGAAGGAGAGTCGACGGATTTGCCTTCTTGAGACGGACAGACCCCATGGGTCGAGCCATGGCGGCCGCGAAGGTTGCTCGAACGTCGTCGCTCGTCGTCGCGCAGCGGCCGACAAGGTGACGGATTTGTACGTGTGCGGTTGGCCGGTCGGTCGCCTATCGACGCATTGAGCGGATCGAAGAAATCGTCGTCGGGGTGAAGAGGATTCGGGGGATAAAGAAAAGGAATAAAAAGTAGTGGTTTCAGATGGCTATTAGAAACAAGAGGTCGAGGTGTGGTGCTGCTGCCCTTGAGGCCCTCGCCGACAAGGGATACGCTCACCTCAAATTGCCCGCTCGTGTCAGAGGACCCTGAACCGTCGAATCGTGTACACAAGCAAGCAGAGATGGGCAATTCACATACCATGTTGGTCATTCCAGTCGGTATTAGCGGACGCGGCCTCCAGCTACCAGGTAAGCCAAAGCGCCATACGGATGAGTAAGCAGAATTTAGCTCGCTAATTGGTGAGGAGACGATTCAGGGGTAGCGGTGCATCATCACGACTCCACGAGCATGCGCCTTGCATGGCTTACTTACTTTTCCATGTAGTTAAGCCACCGAATCTTAAACTGAGAGCATGCACATGACGATCTGAGTCTCGCTCGAGGATGAACGAGTAATTGCAGACTTTGATGACCCTGCACTTATAGCGAACAGGGCTGTTGCTGTTTGGAGACTGTCGTGTAACAACCAGCCGACTTGCAGTTCTGCTATGCAGCCATGATCCATGATACGGGGAGAACCCACCTTCATGCCTCTTTTGACGTTTGACAACCGTGTCAACTGTCTGATATATGCAGTGAAACTGTCAAACGATCCGTCGCCAAACTCATGCACGTAAGCTGGAGTGCTGAATTCGGGACGGGCATGTTCCTCCGAGGGATCATGTCAATTGACGGTGATGGAACAACCATGAGCACGCGGATATCTTCCCATGCACACTCCAAGAAGCGGGGGACGTTGCAACGAGATGGAGAATCGACAAATATCTGACAGGGTTGTAATCTGATAATGTATAAAAAGTCGGTTCTCTACCCGCTTCCAGAGCCCTGCTATTGCGGTACGGTTCCACAGTCTCTCCACTACCTTTGAAATCTTTCTCATCATGCTCGCCATGCTGTTATTGGCCGTGGCCTTTGTGGCAGCCGTCACAGCAACGCCTGCGCCCAAGCCTGGCAAGGACGGCAGGTATAATATCTCGTCGTGAAGAATTGAGGCACAGGCAAGAGCCGTAGGGCTGCTGCAGGGCGAGAATACTCACTGAATTTTCAAGTTCATCCCATTTGGTGCTACGTTGACCAACCTATTTGTCAAAGACAAGAATGGAAAGGACGTGGATGTTGTCCTCGGCTACAACGATGTCGACTACTACCGTTGGCGTCTTCCTGTTTCTTTTGGGGAGACTGACCAAAACTGACGAAATAGCTGTCAGACCCTCTGGCTCAGTGTACAATGCGATTCCAGGATTGTACTGGCGAAGCCAGCTACACCATTGACGATGAGCTCTACTTGACCGAGAGAAACGACAGGGACAACACTCTCCATAGTGACTCCAACAACTGGTCGTTCCGGGACTGGGAGGTTTCACACTTCACAAAGGACTCCACCTTCTCAATCCTCGACGCCTCCAATTCATCGAAGGGCATGCTTGGTGACGTCCATGCTCCGGTGACGTACAGTGTCAAGGGCAGTACCTGGAAGATTAGCATGGAGGCCACCTCATCGGAAGCGAAGACGCGTGCGATCCATGCCTCAACTCGTCCTGAGTATGTCCACGGCTAGCGATATGATTTCTTCCAGCGCTCATGCTGACGCAGCGCACATACTTCAACCTGGATGCGTACAAGAACCCCGACACGGGGAAAATCTGGAAGCACACATTGCACATGCCGTACACGCAAAAGTACTTGGTGGCAGATGATTCGGCCGTCCCTACCGGCGAGACCGCTGTCGCCGAGCTGTCAAGTATCAACGACTTTGCCAGCGAGCCTGACCTCCAGCTTGGACATGCTTCAGATGATCCCGCATTCCCCGAAAACTGCGGCGCCGGTTGTGCTTGCGAAGGGTACAACGGCTACTGGTTGATCGTGGACGCGCCAAAGGACGCTGTGGTCATGTCTCTCGCCAGCCCCTTTTCTGGCATCAGCGCGGACCTCAAGACGAACCAGCTTGGTATCGTACTCTACACGTGCAACTGGTTCGATGGCAGTCAGTCGTTGAAGAGGACCCAGGGCTTGGAGGGCAAGACGACTGTCGACCGCAGCTCGTGCGTCGCCATTCAGGCTCATGACCATGTCAATGAAATCAACGAGTGAGTCCATCTGCAATTGATGCGATATTGGACATCTGGCTGACGTTGACTGCAGGCCGCAATGGGGTCGGAAGGAGGCCCAGCTCACAGGCCCAGGGGAGACCTATAAGTGGGAAAGTTCGTGGACATTTGGGCTCATCCAAAGCCCAATCCATCCAACGCGAAAGGACTAGGGGAATAGGTATGTTTGTGTGGCCGAATGATCAGGGTCTTGGTGAATAAGGACAAGTTGTGATTCCTTGTTTGCGCGTGGTGATAAAGGCGGTAGTGAGCATCCATTGTTGGCGGCAGTTGGTGACACTGGTCAGCCGCGACCATCAGCCACAATGCGCTAATGTGGCGTCGCGCGACGCTTCGCAGAATCCAGTTCCAGTTCCTCTGACAACATCATCCTTTCCTAGACCACCGAGTTGAGCTTCGCAAACTTGAGCCGTGAGTTCTCAGAGATTGATTGCCAAGTCACGGAAGCTTGACCTTCTGTAGTGCCTCAATTGCGCCTTCTCGAGCCAGCTCGAAGGTTACGACGTTGCCAAGCCCGTTGACTCGCTCGCGCTGCACCAGCCTCGTGTTCTTTCTCTCCTCCGTCGCCCACAATCGGTCTTCACCATGACCGACAAGATGGATCGTGGTCTTGACGAGATCATTGCAGAGACTGTGAGTTCCTTTCACTGCGATGCTAGCATCCGCTTGGCTGACACGACGCAGCGGCCCTCTGGCCCTCGCAACCATCGAGGCCGTGGCGGAGGCGGCCCTGGACCTCGCCGCGACCGAGTCGAAGGACCTCGTGATGGTATCAGAAAGGTGAATGATGCCCCAAAAGAGCACAGACAAGCTTCTCACTTCACAAAATTCGCGTGACTAACCGTTTGCCAGGTTCATCCGCCCCCCTCCAAACTATCTTTGCGACGCTCGTCACCGAGAAACGACTCCAACCTATGCGTCAAATGCTTCCGCACTGGACATAGCAAGGCTTGACATGTGCGACAAACGTTGCTGACTCGGCTCCCTCCTCCTCTAGTCCTATCGAGACGAACCTCGCAACATTGACAGGTACGGAACATCCCCACCGATAGTATCGCGGACGGCGTGGCTCACGAGAATGATAGCGAATGGGTGCACGACCGCTACGATGACAACAACGATTGTACCATGACCACAGCTTCCAATCCCTCTGACGGCGTGCTTACATTTCGCAGACAGTCGCCGCGGCCCAACCACGCGCCGTGCGCGCGACCCTTCCCCGGAAGCGTACGTCCACAAGGTCGCTTGACGAACAGCCACTGACGGTGCAGCAGGGAGGGTAGGGGAGCTAAGATTCGCGTCGACAATATTCACTACGACCTGACCGAAGAAGACCTTAGTGTTTGTCATCTCGTCCTCGACGTGGCGCTTGACTAATTGTCCTCCAGGAGCTCTTCCAGAGGATCGGACCGGTGACGAGGCTCCAGCTCCGCTATGACCGCGCTGGACGCTCAGAAGGAACGGCCTATGTGACATATGAGCTCAAAGAGGATGCCTCGGAAGCGGTGAAGCAATTCGATGGGGCCAATGCCAACGGTAACCACCTTCCCGTCCTAACCCATAGAAGGAGCTAAACAACATGTACAGGTCAACCCATCCGCTTAACAATGCTCGGTGGACGGGGCGATCGCTCGCGCAACCCCTTCGACTCGGCAGTTATGCCCGGACGACCCTTGTCGGAGAGGATCTCCGCCCCAGGTCGTGCTCGCTCACACTCACCATCGGGTCGATATTCTCAAGAGGACGCCGCCCGCAAGGGTATTGATAGATATATCCCCGGTGGTAGGTCAAGGACGCCACCCCCTGCTCGACGCCGCGGCGGCGCCAACACCGGACGCCGTCCTGGTGCTCGCCGGGAGCGTGGACCGCAAGACGATACCCGTGGTGGCCGTAGCGCGCCCCGCGGCAAGAGGACCCAGGAGGAACTCGACGCCGACATGGCCGACTACTTTGGTGGAGGGGAGCCTGCGCCTGAAGCCAACGGGAACGCTGCTGAAGCGCCAGCTGCTGCGCCAGCCCCGGCCGCGGCTGCGACCGACGACATTGACATGATTGAGTAGGCTGGGGAGATCTGGGAAGAGGTTCGCACGCCTGTGTAGAAATGTACTATCACAATCGGGGATTTGATCACCTTCTGTTGACTTCAATAGTCTCCAGGACTGGACTTGGCCAGGAAAGGAGCACCCTTTGGGGCTTGTGTATCACGAAAAAGGAGGCACGGAACCCACAAAGGAGCAGCTAGAGATCATTGCTCAAATATGTTACTGGCGCGCCGGCGTTACCAAATTTCCCCAAGAAAATATGTTGCTGCCTCTGTTTGATCGCTGCCTTTCTCGCTAATGCTGAACGTCGAGCCAAGCGTTGTCTATGTTGTGTTAGTGCTTGCTCTCTCGATGACTGGCGCAGCACCAGTAAGCGTCTGGCCTAATCGGAATTGTTACGTAGTCTCGATAAGATATTAGCTAGGTGGACATAAATTGGTCGAATAGAAAGGTAGGCTGGCACTTGCACAGTCGAGGCAATAAGGTACAATGTACCACCTCTAACGTTGGGCCTAGTCAAGACCTCCGCACCGCCAATATCAGCGAGTTTCGTCTTCACCAACCCACGCCCACAGCAGACTCTCTTTCCTTGCATATCTGTACAGTCTGCAACATGGCAAGTCGAAGTGAGAAGATGCCCAAAGTGGGCATATTGTCGCTGGGTTCTATGGGTGCGGGATTAGCCCGCCTGCTCATCGCGCATGGTTTCCCCGTTGCGACAAATGTCCAAGGCAGAAGGTGAGCCTCAAGGTGCCTGCTATGCTTCCTTCTTCCCTCATCTCCCAAGCTGACCATTTAATCTCCGCTTGAACTAGTCAGGATACAATAGAACGGGCACGCGATACCGGAGCTGAATTACTGGCTTCTGACATCGGCCTGGTGGAGCAATGCCAGGTCATCCTGTCTGTGTTGCCTCCCAAGGATGCCGAGGCCACAGCGCAACGAGTGATCGATGCTCTGTCCGGGAACAAGCAAAAGGAGGACATCTACTACATTGACCTCAACGCAATCTCACCTGCCTCGACCAAGGCCTTGGCGAGCCTGTTCGAAGGCAAAGGCACCTATCAAGTTCATCGACGGATGCATTCTCGGTGGGCCACCTCAACAGAAGTCTTCCGGGAAGGAGGCCTTACTAGTTTCCAAAACGCAGAATGACGATTCGGACTGGATCATACCAAGGATGCCCATCTCCGGCCCTCATTCGCTCACCAGCTTTCCGTCCGGCGAGCGTCTGGCTTCGCTGCTCAAGTTCCGCTCTATATCACCCGAGATTGGTGCTGCCTCTGGACTAAAGATGTGCTTCGCCTCCATGGCCAAGGGGTACACTGCCCTTGTCACGCAGTCCTTTACGACCGCGCACAGCCTTGGGGTTGCGGGGGCACTGCGCGAGGAGATGCAGGAACTGATGCCGACGCAGCTTACCGCGCTCGAAAAATCAGTTCCAGACATGGTGCCCAAGGCCTATAGATGGGTGAGGGAGATGGAGGAGATTGCAGCGACGATGAGTGAAGCGGGTGGCTGGAGTAGGGAGATGTTTGACGGCGCGGCGGGCATCTTTCGAGAAGTAGCCGCGAACGAGGTCCTCAAGCTGGAGAAGACAGAGAAGAGAAGCAGAGGCCAGATTGTAGATGATGTCGCTGCCCTCATGTCGGAGGGGCTGGCGAAGAAGAGGAAGAAGATGGAATAGATCTTGTACATTTTAAATTGATACATTGATACATATATACACACATACACACACACATTGATGTGTGACGTCTTTACATGGCATACCAATAGCCCTTCAGGGGCTGCCTCCAGCTCCATAGGGCAGATTGAGCAGAGAACCGGGCATGTTGACCTTGAAGGGTTGGCCTTGGGGATCTGCGACAAAGAACTCTTGTTCTGACGATACTCCAAATACACCTTGGGTGATTTGAATCTCGGACCCGTTGTCATCCCTCAGTTCAGGCGGTGGTAAATCATCGACAACACCAAACGTAAGGGCGTGAGATAGGTCGGCGCCGACGGCAACGGCAGGATCTGAATATGAGCCCGCGTCCGGCATGAAAAACTGAACCTCAGCTCCCACCGGCGCAAAGCTACTGGTCCCGTCGTCAGAGCCAAATAGATTGGCGAATTGCTCCTCTTCCGTAGGTGGCAGTGGAGAGGTGTCCGGGTCGAGAGATAGGAGGCCTGCCTTGTCGCCCCAACCACCGCCTCCGCTCACTGGCCTGATTAGTATGAGCTGCAGCATGTGAACGCTGCGACTTACATAATTTGAACAGACGGCCGCCATTCTGAAGGCCTTGTTGGATGGTTTCAAGCGGCATGGGTCTTTTGGTCTTGGCATTCACAGTCCTCGAATCGACGGTCCACGGGCGCTCCCCAACTCCTCCGCGAGAGGCAGGACTGACCATCACCCATATGCCGGGGAATCCACCATCACTCAGACTATTGCGGGCGTCGATATGATCTTGGGAACTGTTGATGGCCTTTTCAAGTTCCGTCGACGCCGGAACAGACTTGCCGTCCACCTCCACGCGACGCAAAATATTGCCAAAGCTCTCAGCAATCTTCCTCGGGGGTGTGACGGCTTGGAGAGCCAAGCGTAAGTGCTTACTGTCTTCCGTAGCAAGCTCCGTCCTGGGGAGCAATACATCCCTGCTGAGAACGCTTCTGCGTTCAATGAGCTTCGGTCCATCTGAGCCAAGTTGGTATCGCAGCGCGACCAAAGTCGACGACAGCCCATTGCGGAACGTGGTGCGAGCCAGAGGCATGGTGACTGTCGAGACACCCTCAATATGGAAGCCAATTGAGCCCATGTCATGCTTGTTGCCTGGTGTTCGGGCTCCGGACGATTCCCACAGCTGTGGGCAGCAGCTGTCCAGGGAGCCTCGCATGAGAGCAACACCCTCACAGTCTCGGCGGGTATGTGGTGCGCATGCCACCGCGTCAACTATACCAAACAGCAGGTTGAACTGATCGACTTTGCCTGTGCTTGGGGCGAGGTTCAGCGCTAGGGCCTTGCAGATGTCATCATCCGCAGCGAACTTGGTGAAGCCTGGAGTTGCCAGAACCAGGGCGGCGTCATGACCGCTATGGCTCGAGCTCTGACTTTTGAGTAGAGTGAGAAGATCTCCGATGGCTGATGCATCAATCTAGCGCCAGTTAGCTACGCTGGCCTTGACATCCTGGGAGGCAGTCTTGCTTGAGAAGAGGCGGGAAAGTGAGCAACGGCCAGCGCCGGCACCGGAGCATTGCTCAATTTTGACCAGGAAACCCGCCTGCTGGGGACCGTCTCATGGGGTGTGCCGCGTAGAACGCATCGTCTTGTAAAGGACAGCCACGGCAGTGCTCTTGTTGTTGCAGACATCCTGCGGCTTCAGGCGTAAGATGTGAGAAAGAGTCAACAAGCATAGATTTTAGGCAGTCACGCCAGATGACAGTCGACGCCGGTGCTACAGGTGGAAAGAAGAGTGGTCATGAAGGTACCTTATTCACAGCTCGGCAACCCTCCTTCGTAAGACCTTGTCGCTGGTGGAAGCGCTGGAATTGGGTATTTAGAACTGTATTATCGAATTGCTGATCATTAATTAATTGGTTACCCGTAGATTGTTGATTGAGTCGCATGTGGCTGCAGCTTCCCCAGACCGAGCTGCGCCACACGTGCACCTCAGGCAGGGAGGCTCAGGTACCTCAAGTACTGTGCGCCACAAATGGACCCCTCATTGCGAGGGTGACTAGACGCAGTGTCGAATTTATCCCACCTTCACTCGTGACTCAAAAGTTTCAGTTGTTATGACTCTGTAGACACAGCGGTTTCATCACATCGCTTGTCTGTCCTGTTCCTTCAGAGTTGGCGTAGGAAGTATAAAGAGGCCCTCTCCAGCGGGCTTCACGTCAAACTTCCCACCACGACGTTCCGACTCGCGGTCAGAGCACTTCGAGTGCGATCTGTTTCCCCACGACGACCGTTCAGTACAACAGCCGCCGCCATGGCTACCAACAGTGGGCGAACAAATCCTAGTAAGCTGACGACGCGTCTCCTCGAGAGTTCGCGGCCTTGTCTAATCAGTCCCCAGTTGCCGCCTCCGATAGTCCAGCGCAAGGGGGAGGTCACCCGCCTACAGTTTCGGCCGATGCGAAAAGTGAAATTGCGAGCACGACCCAGCAGGGTGCCCATGCCTCTGGTGCCGATACAAGCGGTGCTCCCAAGGTGAAATCGGAGAAAGAGCGTGCGTGAACCCACCCATGTCCGAAATCCTCATACTCACAGTTATGGTGCAGTCGAGAAGGAGCGCAAAAAGGCAGAAAAGGTCGCCAAACTCGAGGCCAAGAAAGCGAAACAAGCTGCTGAGGCTGCTTCGAAACCTGTCAAGGAGAAGAAGGTCAAGGAGAAGAAGCCCGAGGAGGTCCTGCCCGATTACGTCGAAGAAACACCAGCCGGCGAGAAGAAGCGCATCCGATCGTTCGACGACCCTCATTTCAAGGCCTACAACCCGATTGCTGTCGAATCTGCCTGGTACAGCTGGTGGGAGAAGGAGGGTCTGTTCAAGCCTCGCTTCAAGGAGGACGGCTCTGTCAGGGATGAAGGCAAATTCGTCATTGTCCACCCTCCCCCCAATGTCACGGGAGCGCTTCACATGGGTCACGCTTTAGGAGATTCCCTTCAGGATGTCTTGATCAGGTGGAATCGCATGCAGGGCAAGACCACACTCTGGCTCCCTGGTTGCGACCATGCTGGTATTTCTACACAGAGCGTCGTGGAGAACATGCTGTGGAGGCGCGAACAGAAAACTAGGCACGATCTTGGACGAGAAAAGTTCATTGAAACTGTCTGGGAGTGGAAAGGCGAATATCACAAGCGAATCAACCAGGCTCTGTCTAGCATGGGTGGCTCCTTTGACTGGAGCAGGGAGGCATTCACAATGGATGAGGGCTTGACTGCTGCTGTCACAGAGACCTTTGTCAAGCTTCATGAAGAGGGTACCATCTACAGGGCCAATCGACTTGTCAACTGGTGCACGAAGCTAAACACTGCCTTGTCCAACCTGGAGGTCCAGAACAAGGAGCTCACCGGTCGCACCCTGCTGGATGTCCCGGGTTACGAAAAGAAGGTCGAGTTCGGCGTCATTGTCCACTTCAAGTACCCGATCGAGGGATCCGAAGAGACCATTGAGGTTGCGACGACCCGTATCGAGACCATGCTGGGTGACAGTGGTATCGCTGTCAACCCCAAGGACGAGCGGTACAAGCACCTGGTTGGCAAGACTGCCATTCACCCCTTCATTGAGGGCCGCAAGCTTCCCATCGTTGCGGACGACTACGTCGACGTCGAGTTTGGTACCGGTGCTGTGAAGCTGACACCAGCCCACGATCCCAATGATTTCACCCTCGGTCAGCGCCACAACCTCGAGTTCATCAATATCCTCACTGATGACGGCTTGATGAACGAAAATGCTGGTTCGTACAAGGGCATGAAGCGCTTCGATGTCCGTTACGCTATCCAGGACGACTTGAAGGCCAAAGGCCTGTTCGTTGACAAGAAGGACAATGCGATGAAGGTGCCTCAGTGTGAGAAGTCCAAGGATATCATTGAGCCGCTCATGAAGCCCCAATGGTGGGTCAAGATGAAGGATCTAGCTGAGCCTGCCTTGAAGGTTGTCAGGGACGGCGAGATCAAGATTCGGCCGGACACAGCTGAGCGCAGCTACTTCCGCTGGCTTGAAGATATCAACGATTGGTGCATCAGTCGGCAGCTTTGGTGGGGTCATCGATGCCCTGTATACTTCGCCAAAATTGAGGGTGAAACGAACGACAGCACAGATGCCAGCCGGTGGTTCTCTGGTCGCACACGAGAGGAGGCGGAGGCGAAAGCCCAGAAGGCCTTGCCAGGCAAGACCTTCACCCTGGAGCAGGACGAGGATGTTCTTGACAGTAAGAGAAGTCAAATCATTTGTGAGCGCATTATACTGACAACTCACAGCTTGGTTCTCTTCGGGCTTGTGGCCTTTCAGCACCCTCGGCTGGCCAAAGAACACCAACGATCTCGACAAGCTGTACCCTACCTCCGTACTGGAGACTGGATGGGACATTCTGTTCTTCTGGATTGCTAGGATGATCATGCTTGGTCTCAAAATGACTGGCAAGGTTCCTTTCACCGAGGTCTACTGCCATAGTCTTGTGCGCGACTCAGAGGGCCGCAAGATGAGCAAGAGTCTGGGCAATGTCGTTGACCCTCTTGATGTCATTTCCGGCATCGAGCTTGACAAGCTGCACGAGAAGCTCTCTCAAGGCAACCTCCCGGCTAACGAGGTCACCAAGGCCACCAAGTACCAAAAGACAGCTTTCCCTGACGGCATCCCCCAGTGCGGTGCCGATGCCCTGCGCTTCACCATGGTCAATGCAACGACTGGCGGTGGTGACATCAACCTGGACGTTAAAATCATCCACGGTTACCGCAAGTTCTGTAACAAGATCTTCCAAGCTACCAAGTATGTTCTGGGCAGCTTGCCAGAGGATTTCAGGCCTGCTGCGAAGGGTAATGTCCCTGGAAAGACCCTCGCTGAGCGATGGATTCTCCACAAGATGACCGCGGCCGCCAAAGAGATCAACCAGGCTTTGGCCGACCGCGAGTTCTCGAAAGCCACCATTATTGTGTATCGCTACTGGTACAACGAATTGTGCGACGTGTACATCGAGAATTCAAAGGCCATCATCCGTGATGGTACGGAGGAAGAACGCCAGTCAGCGCTGCAGACTTTGTACACCACACTGGAGGCTGCTTTGGCCATGATTCACCCCTTCATGCCCTATCTCACTGAAGAAATGTGGCAGCGCATGCCGCGCAGGCCCAACGACGATACCACGTCGATCATGATTGCGAAATACCCCACGTACGATGCCGCAATCGACGACCCTCAGGCAGAGACCGCCTACGAAGTCGTATTGGAGTGCGCCAAGGGTGGGCGTTCCCTGATGTCCGAGTATGCCTTGAAGGACAATGCCCAGCGTAAGTCTACTACAGTGTCGCAGTATTCTCATGTGGGCAAACTAACATTCTTTCTCTAGTCGCCGTGCAAGCATACAACGACGAGACCTTGAAGACTGCGAATGATCAGATCACCTCTATCAAGACCCTCATCGGCAAAGGTGTTGCTGACATCAAGATCGTTGGACCTGATGAGGCTCGCCCCACTGGCAGCGTTGCCTACCCCGTGGGCATGAACGCCACCGTCTTCCTGCACGTCAGTGGGCGTGTCGACTTTGACGCCGAGATCGCCAAGGCTCAGAAGAAGCTCGACAAGGCGATCTCAACCATTGCTAGGCAGGAGAAGACCCTAAACGAGGCTTCCTACAAGGAGAAGTCATCGGCTCAAACTCAGGAGCTCGACCAGTCGAGGTTGGCAGAATCCAAGCAGGAGGCCAAGAGCTACGAGGAGACGATTAAGCAATTCGAGCAGCTCAAGCTCGAGTGAAGGAGTTCTTTGTACTTTGATGAAGACATGCTTTGTACGGATGTAGCTAGACATTCAGGTGGCGGATAAAAATACGTAGAGTCAGATTTGCAGAGAATTGTCAGACAATAAACTGCTCGGGTTGTCCTGTGGGGTTTCCACGCTGACCTTATTAAATTAGAGCTATGTCTTTGCTCATCGTCCACCAAACTTTGGGCCTGACTCGTCCTTCTTTGCGCCGCCACCGCCGCCACGCGTAGGCTTTGATTGCGCAGCCTCGTGCCTTCTGAGCTCTTCCGGGACCTTGGAGATGGAGCTCTTGCTCAACATCTGCTTCAGGTCATACAAGACCTCGGTATCTTCGCTGCCCAGGAACGTGATCGCCACACCACTCTTGCCTGCACGACCCGTACGACCGATACGATGCGTGTAGCTCTCGATACTGTGGGCCATGTTGAAGTTCATGACCAGGGACACGTCCGGAACATCGATACCACGCCCAGCAAGATCCGTTGCCACGAGGACTTGCGTCTGTCCGGCGCGGACAGAGTTGAGAGCGGCTTCACGCTGCTCCTGTGTCTTGGAACCGTGCAGGGTGACCGCGGACCAACCCATGCGTTGGATATCCCGGGCCACAGCATCGCAGTTTCGCTTGATGTTGACGAAGACAATGATGGGCGGGCCAAACTCGTTTGACGCAAGGATCTCCTGCATGCGCTTCTTGCGGCGGTCTTCGCCAGGCACAAACTCGACCCGCTGCTCGACTGTGTCGACGGCCTCGCCTGCGTTTCCGATGGTAACAGTGGCTGGCCGGCGTAGATACTTGCGTGCAATCTTCTCCACGGTTGGCGGCATGGTTGCAGTGTACATCATTGTCTGTCGGTAACGGATCCCCCCGAGGTACCGCTGCATGGCTCTCGAGTCCTCTGCTTCTTCCGTGTCCGGTTTTTCGTTGGTCACGGGCAGGGCATCGAGGATCTTGTTCAACGACTCCTCGAAACCAAGATCAATCATGCGGTCGGCTTCATCCATGATCAGGTAGCAGCACTGGCCAAGCACGAGAAGCCGACGCTCAATGCAGTCAACGAGACGACCTGGCGTGGCCACAATGATCTCTGCTCCGTTGCGCAGGGCGAATGACTGCTCCTCCAGAGAGTGACCACCGACGATACTAACGACTCGGAAACCAAGGGGCGAGGCAAACTTGCGAGCCTCTGTCTCGATCTGCTGAGCCAGTTCTCGAGTCGGTGCCATGATCAGCGCGTATGGGCCCTCGTTCTTGTTGTATTCGTCCAGAGGCGGCAAGTCGGAAATGTAAACGAGCAACGGCAACAGGAAGGCTGCTGTTTTACCTGAACCGGTAACGGCCACACCGATGAGATCTCGCGCCTGGAGGGCGATGGGTATGGCAGCTCGTTGAATAGCAGATGGTTCCTTGTAGCCGACCTGGTCCACAATCTCGAGCAGACGTGGTGGTAGGCCTGATTCTTTCCAGCTTCGCATGGGATTCGGGATGAGGCCGCCCTTTGTAGCGATGCCGTAGTCCTCCTTGAAAATACGCCAATCTCGTTCGCGCATGTCCGACAGATCCTTCTCGGACCAGTGCCGTCCCAGACCCGTCTTGTCTGCGCGCTGCTGCGCCCGCTCTCGTGCCCGATAGAAGTCCTCCATGATCCCTATGGCACGCTCTTTGCCATGCTCGACATCCCGCTGCTCGATCATCTTGGCCCTCTTCTTTGCTCTTTCTTCCGCTTCTCTGTCGAACTCGCCGCCTATGCCTGCCAGCGTCGAGCCCCTGTTGGCTGTCTGCGCCGCATACAGAGGGTCCGTGTCGCGGCTCGTGTCTTCGTCTAGGTTCCACTCGAAATTGAACTTCTTGTCCATGGTACGCATGCGCTTCTTCTTGGCTGAGAAGGTGGATTCTTTATTGACATCTGGCCCGAGGTATCGTGCCATGACCTGCTGTCGCTCAATGTCTTCTTGTGATCGCTTGTCGCCCGCGTTTTTCTCGTCCTTCTTCGCAGATCTTCTATCATCCGGTCGGCCACCGTCCCGTCCACCTCGCCCAGCTCTCCCGCCGCGACCACGGCCGCCGCCTCGCTCGTCATGATAGGACCTGGGCCCGGTGGGAACACCGTTGCCTACACCATTAGGCGTCGTTGCGTCGCCGTTAGTCGCGGCTGCCCATTTCCTCTCATCCTCTGTCCGTCTCTTTGCTTCTTCTTCGGCTTTCCTCTTCTTCTCGTCTGTCTCCTGCTTCAACTTCTCGGCAGCAAGCTTCTCACGTTGAGCTTTGGGTATGAATTTGGGCTTTGCAGCCGCTGCGTCCGCTGCCTTCTTTTTACGCAATATTTCGTCGATGTCGAGCGGCATGTCGAACGTATTAGATATCCTCGCTACAGAATCGGCACACGCGACTTCTACAGTGGTAATGGTGACAAGATCGAATGTGGGAGTCGACGTTGAGAAATAGAAATAGATGCGGCAAGGCTGAATCGAGCAAGCGAGGCGCGTGTATTTGCGCCAATCAGTATTCTGGTTGCTTGTGTGGGTCCTCTCCAAACCAGGGTCAGAAATCTTGACGTGCAGCCTTGAGCAGACCGTAGACGTTCCGGAACCTACGTACCAACATTGAACGTCACTCGACACAGACAGGCTCCGAGCCCACATCTACGCGATGGCTGCTCCATCTCAGAATTTTATCCAGCTCGCGAAAGCGCTGCCCGAGCCCCTGCAGCGCTTCTTCGCGCGCTGGCCACCGGCCGCCATCCTGCCCACAGGCAACACAGCACCTACGCCTACGCGATACCAAGAAGAGCGACCGAACCCATTTCAACGATATAAGAACCCAGAAACCGGTGCATGGCAGGACCCTGTGTACTCCAACCGACGGCAAGCGGAGCTGCACAAAATGGCCAAGGAGCATGGCGTTGAGCATCTCCTTCCAGAGTCAAACAAGGCGGCCGAGACCAGGTTGGCGCATCGCGTCGAGCATGGTCTCAGGGTCAAGGGTACTGGTGTCGGACAGAAGGTCAAGGGCCATATCCATGAGAGGCACATGATCTCAAAGTATGCTTGGCCAAAGAACTATCGGCATGGGGAATTATTACTGACAATCAGCCAGGATGGAGAAGAAAAGAACAGCAATGCTGGAGATGCCACAGCTCATCAAATCTTTCAAGAAGGTACTGTACATGTATCTGCGAGTGTTAAATGTCAAGAGTGCTAACAGGCTTGTCTAGACTTCAAAGTACAAGTGGACGAAGTGGCCGAAATAAGCAATTTACGAAGGGTCTGCGCAATGTATATACAACTCTGTACCTCTATGTACCATCATAACTCTTCGATGTGTTCGGAAGCCGCATCTGTTGTGCCTGGTTTCCACGGGCTGTAGGAAAACGTATCATGTCACGTGACGCAAATTCTCAGCATCTTCCCTCTCATCCGCTAGCAACACTCAAGCTCGAGGGACCAAGAACACCCTACGTCCGAGAAGAGGCTGGTCCTCATTCGATGCTTAAAATATTCCAATGGCTTCAGCACAGTCTGTCACTCACTATCAAATACTGAAGCTTGACCCAGTGTTGATCGATGACCAGCAAGATCCAACAGCACTCGTCAAGAAAGCTTACCACCGTGCCCTCCTCCAGAATCACCCCGACAAAGCCGCAGCTTCCCAGAAAGCAATCTTCAGCGTCGATCAGATTACACAAGCGTATAATGTGATATCATCGCCAGTGCAACGCGCTTCGTACGATGCTTCGCTACGCCTTGAGCCCCAGACGAACAGCGGCTTCACAACAAAATTTCAGACTGGTGTGGAGAACGTCGACCTTGACGACTTGGCCTTTGATGAGACAGAGGATTGCTGGTATAGATCATGTCGTTGTGGCAATGATAGGGGCTATCGGTTCCGGGAGGACGACCTCATGGAAGCTGAGGAAGACGGAGAACTCATGGTGGGATGCCTGGATTGTAGCTTGTGGCTGAGAGTTCATTATGCGGTCCTAGAAACAGACGACTGTGAATCACCCACCAATCAGAAGCAGAATTGACGCACAAAGGCAGCATCACAGTGGTGCTCTCAACTGACAGTGCTTTGAAATCGCCTACCCCGTATGTTCAGTGTATTGAAAGCAATTTTAGTTATTTTGAATTGTCCAGACGGTTGCGTAGTCGAGTCTAAAAAACAGAGCCTAAGCTTTGCTTCATTTCAGCCTTCCGTGCCGAAACCATTGGCGAAACCCAAACCCTCTTGTGTGTTATGGTTTACCAAAAAAAAAAACATGCCGAAGCTCTTGATACGAACCGAAGTCTCCGTCCACTCCAAAGACACCGATCCGCCCCGACTCCAACGCGGACCGAAGCCCAAAAACACTCGCTGCTCAGAGTATTACGTTTACTCGGCAGCCTTGGGCTCCTCCGCAGCCGGCGCCTCAGCGGCAGCTGCGGGAGCCTCATCCTTAGAGGCGGCGCCCTCAGCCGGAGCGTTGGCATTATCAGCCTCGGAAGAGGTCCAGAGGGTCTACATGTTCGTTAACAAGATGCTACACGCGACAAGTGTTGGCAGGTACGCACCAGGTTATCGCGCAGCAACTGCATGATAAGGGTCGAGTCCTTGTAGCTCTCTTCGCTCAAAGTGTCAAGCTCGGCAATGGCGTCGTCGAAAGCTTGCTTAGCGAGGTGGCAGGCCTGGTCAGGAGCGTTGAGAATCTCGTAGTAGAAGACTGAGAAGTTCAGGGCCAGACCCAAACGGATAGGGTGGGTGGGAGGCAGCTCGGTCTGGGCGACCTCAGTAGCAGCCTTGTACGCCTCCAGGGACTTGTCGGCAGATCCCTTGCGAATGTCGCCGGTGGCGAACTCGGCAAGGTAACGGTGGTAGTCACCCTTCCTGGAGAGGCATTAGTGATTCGTTCGACTGTGGCTTGCGAGGTCGGTTACATCTTGTGGTAGAAGACCTTGGACTCGCCGGAGGTCGCAGAGGGAATCAGGTGCTTGTCGAGAACATCGAGGATATCCTCGCAGATACCAGCAAGCTCGTTCTCGATCTTCTGACGGTACTCCTTGATGAGGGTGACCTGGGAAGAGTTGCCCTTGGTCTCCTCCTTCTGCTCAATCGAAGTGACTATTCTCCAAGAGGCACGGCGAGCGCCAATGACGTTCTTGTAGGCAACAGAGAGAAGGTTGCGCTCTTCGACACTGAGGTCGCGGTCCTCGGAAGCGACAATCTTCATGTTCTCGACCATCTCTGAGGCAGATTAGCTTTGGATGCACGATTACGCTACAGGCGTGTCATATGTACGTACCCTCGTAGCGCTCAGCCTGCTCAGCGAGCTTGGCGAGATAGACAGCATCTTCTTGGCCCATTTTGACGGTTTTGGAGGTTAGAAACAACTAAAGCTAAGCGTTAGCAACTTTGACTTGCTAGGTAGAAGAAACAGCTCGCGAAGGATCGCAGGGTAACGGCAGATGTGGTGACGATATTGGTGTGCCAATTGCGCAACTGCTAGGCGCCAGGGATAGCGGGTCGATCATTGGGAGCCTCGATCGAAGTTCGTCGTCGGCTTCTGGAAGGAGTGATTGCGCGCGCCTGGTACGGCGAAGGGACGGTACTCGTTGGTGACGATGTTCCCCCGCTCTCCCTGAATCCATGGTGGGGTTGAACCGACAGCATTTAGGGGTCATCGTCTGTTGCGTGGCATGCTCCCTTCCAATGGCGTCGCCAGGAAAGGTCTGATTCATACTCGCCATGGAAGTGTTTTGCGAGACCTCGCTCATCCTAAGGTTGCAGCCGCGGCCAGGGAGTCGTCTGTGTGGCGGAGGGACAATGACGACAGGGCGAAGACGATAGATGGGAGGCAGGGAGGGAGATATTGGACTGCGCAATGGACAAGGGCATACGTACCGGTTTGGTGGTTTGATGAAAGAGAGAAAGTCCTTGGACGAAGAGACGATAGAGATTCCGGCGGGTGAAAGTCGGCGGTTGTGTTGATTTAGTGGTGGTCTTGGAGAATGGAAGTGCGAGGTGGGTTCCAGGTGCAGAATAATAAGAACTCAGGCAGGTAGACACGCAGGCCCGGCTGGGGGTGGGCGAGGAGAATGGCAGGCAAAGCAGACGATGGGTCGGATTGGACAGACGCGTCGCAAAGTGGAAATTCGAGCAATTGGTCGCCTTCCGGGGGCTTCAGTCAGTGCACGGGACCACCTGAAGCTGCACTAAGGATTGCTCACGCCCTCAACCAGTCATTCTCAGCCACGATGCCATTCGTCACTCGTCTACACAACACCGGCTTACGCCCAATCTTTCAAGCTGCACGGACTCTGCGTGGTAATTATAATCCTGCGCAGAGAGAAATAAATGCATTATTGCGGCGCGGACTCTTCGTGGTGGATAAAACCTCACTTGTCTCGATCAGTTCCAGATGGTGGCGGTGAATTAATGCGCTTTCAGTAATGTCAAAGCGCATGCTTTCGTGCGGACTCTTCATAAACCACATTTGCTTGGTAGTGCCCTACATACTACAGAATGCACCAACATCCATTGACAAGCTGCAGCTATGATTATTAGTACATATACAGCTATCAGTTGATGGATAAGGACGCTAAAGGAGGCGAACAAGCTTCGGCGCGCTGTGCACAGGGTAGGTATGAGGACACGCGGCCAGGTGGGTTGCCTAGAGACATGAGCACCATTCGTACGATATTCGAAACTTCTTTGCTGTGTACCTGGATGGCACGATTATTGGTTTTCACTGCCCTCAGGTTATCCCGGAGCGAAGCCTTAGCAAGGAGTGTCTGGCATGCTTTACTACGAGAACCTGCTTTCGAGTCGGAACTGGGAAGATCCAAAATCAGTTCATGCTCCCTCCACAACCCGGCCTGTCCCGTTTCGGCTGTTCCAGTACCTGGTAAGCCCCAATATTTGGCGGGCTGCCCAAGTAGAGGCACCTCGCTCGTGTGACGTACGAGCTTGATCGTAGCTCCACTCACCTGCCGCCGCACGCAGCAGTCAGCAGCCAGCCAACCTCCAAGCTCCCAGAGCTGCCGCCCGTTTCCTCGCACCCCTCTCCTACAACATCACGTCAACAAGCCAATACCGCTAGCTGACACGATCTTCATCATGCTTCGCACGACCGTCTCCAAGGCGGCCGCCTTCCGTCCCCTTCGCACGGCCACTTTCACCACGACCGCACGCACCATGGGCGAGGGCGACACTGGTGCCCCCCCCAAGATGGGCGGCCAAGGGTAAGAGAGGATATGGTTCTGGCACATGCAGACGCGCGCTGACAACTGCACGCAGCGATGCCTTCCAGCGCCGCGAGAAGGCAAATGAGGACTACACCATCCGCCAGCGCGAGAAGGAGAAGCTGTTGAGCCTCAAGAAGAAGCTCGCTGAGCAGCAGCAGCACCTAGACCGTCTCTCGGCACACATGTACGTCCAAAATGGAACTGACCGGGTAGATGTGAAACTGACCTTTGCTAGTGACGAGATCACAAAGGACCAGGGTGGTGAGAAGAACTAAGTAGTATCGACCGGATTCAGCTTCGGGCAGAGATCTACAACCGGCCACCCGTCAGGCATCACTTGTCGACGTGAATATTGTGGCTCAGAGGCTATGATCATTAGGTCTAGGCTGTTGTACATTTACATAGGGCTTGCCTTAATCGAGTGTATTACCAACACAACAGGCTCCTGATGCTAGTGCCATGGTCCAAGTAGCTCCCTTGCACAATGATTTGCAATCCATGAACTCCATAATCTCTACTACGCCATGTCCAGGGCAGGAATTCCTGCCTACCTTCGACCCATGTAGGACCGATAGAAGCTCTCGGCGGCGTCACTGTCCCCGACACCGTAGTGGTTTCCCATGTTGCTTGTCGATTTCTGGGCAGAAGCAACCTTGGACTGCAGGGAGGAAGCATTCTCGTCGATCCATTGCAACTGAGTCAAGTGCCCATTGAGGACACGCACGATCTGGCTCAACTAGATAAAGCGTCAGTCCAATGATGTGCTCTAGAACAACTGCAAAACATACCGGATCCTCGGGTTTGGAGCTCTTGTTGAGAGTTCCCGAGATGTCATTGATCTCCGTGACCATCTTGGTCAGATCTCTTGATTTTTCATCCAATTGCTGGGTGAGTTTCTCCGCCAACTTGTAGGTGCGCTCACGCTCCTGATCGGGTCCACCGAGCTGCTCTCCGGGACCAACCTGCTTTGAGAACATGTCTTGAACGTCACCTTCGTAATGGTCCAGCCACTTTTCGAGCTCGTCCTGCTGGCTCTCGACGGCAGCTAGTTGTCGTTCAATCTCGTGGCTTGCGCGCTCCGCCTCGTATGTGTCGAGATAGAGTTTTTGAATCTTCTCGCCATTATCAACCAATTGTCGGTCCCACGAGGATACTGTGGTCGCCTGCTCCTTGAATTCCTTCTTGTACTTGTTCAAATCATTGGCCCATCGCGTCACAATGTCCTCCATGGTCTTGTTCTTCAAGGTCGCAATCTGGGGCGGAGGACCAGCAGTTGATGCTCCAAGTGCAGTGGTTGAGGACTTGGAAGCGTCGGCACCTGCAGCATCTTTGCTCTTGTCGCCAGCGCTCTCAGCAGGCTTTGCAGCGCCGAACAAGTTCGAGGCCGGGTCCTTGCCCACCTCAGTGCCTGTGCTTGTCTCAGCCGGTTTGGCAGCCCCGAAGAGACTAGAGGTGCCAGAAGTTGCAGGCGCGGCAGTGCTAGTCGCAGCAGGCAGGCTTGTTGCGCTGGCCGAGGTACCGATTGCTGATGTGCCCGCCGCAGGTTTCGCTCCAAACAAGCTGGGGCCAGTGGCACCGGCGGTTGATGTTGTCGTTGACGAAGCAGACGTGGTGGCCGCAGGTTTCGCCCCGAAGAGACTTGGGGTTCCGGCTGACGATGTGGCCGGCGTCGCTGCCGCCGGCTTCGCACCGAAGAGACTCGGAGCAGAACTGGTCGTAGGAGGAGCCGCAGTGGACGGGGTAGAAGCTGCTCCAGCAGGTTTTGATGCTGCTGCGCCTCCGAACAGCGAGGGCGACCCGGAAGTCGCAGCGGGTGCTGCAGCAGTTGTAGACGAGCTTGCGGGAGTAGAGCCTGAGCCACCGCCGAACAATTGTCCGGATGGTTTCGCGCCGAACAGAGATGGGCCCGTAGTAGCAGCAGCCGCAGGCTGGGACGCGCCGGAGGTTGATGTGGTCTCAGACTTGTTTGCTCCGAAAAGATTAGAAGATGAGGGTTGGCCTCCAGCTGGCTTGTTGCTACCGAAGAGACTGGGCGCAGGAGCAGCGCCAGAATCCTTGCTCTGACCCATGGGAGGAAGCCCTGCAGGTGTTGTCGAGCCCCCTAAAGAAAACAGAGGCTTTGCAGGAGTGGTTGCGGCATCACCCGTATGGCCATCGTTGGACGTCTTGTTTCCTCCAAAAAGGTTCCCACTGCTTCCTGAAGTGGCGTTTCCAAAGCCGCCAAATTTGGGCGCAGCTGAAGCGGGCGTCGAGCTCGCAGGCGCGTTTGCGCCAGTGCTCCCCTGGGCATTGCCAAACAGGCCTCCAGAACTAGGTGTCGAAGAAGAGGCGCCGCCGCCGAAGAGGTTCGAGCTCGCCGGTTTGTTGCCTGCACTGGAAGAGTTTTCAAAGAGCCCGCCGCTCGCCGGTGCTGTGCTGCTAGTGTTACCAGTGCTACCACCGCCACCGAAAACCCCAGCACTTGGAGCAGAAGTTGTAGCAGTTGTATTGTTGCCAAAGAGCCCTCCCCCGGAACCTGTGGTAGTGCTGCTCGCACCGCCGAAGAGACCACCGCTGCTGGGCGCACTCGTACCCGGCGTTGAAGCAGGTTTCCCGAAGCTGAATGATGGCGTGCCACTTGTTGCTCCAAAGGGACTCGCCGCTGGGGCAGTGGAAGTGGTGTTGTTAGAGGAGGCTCCCGAAGTCTGTTGCCCGAACATTTTTGCTGTTATCTTGTCGAATCTGGGAGCGGAGGTATCAATTCGATTGTGCGCGACACAGGGAGCTTGAAGTCGTGGGCGAAGGTAAGGTCGTGCTTAGGCACAAGGCCGAAGCAATGGTTGGACGAGATACGGTTTCAATAGCCAGGAAAATCAGAATACAATGCCACCTGATTGATTTTCAAAGGTGTCTGAGGATCAGGTGGGCTTGTCAAACAATCTCCTTGGTAGTCTGGGACGTTTTGAATGTTTGTGATGATCGTTGGATCTTTGTTGGACGAGATCTCCACGCGCTCCCAAGAATTTGCGGTTACGGCGCGCCGCAGGCTGGAAGGTTGGAGCGTGCTTTGCAGCGCAGAGGTCAAGCCACACCAGCGGCTTTGCTACGCCACATCTGGCGGGTCACCTACCTGGCTGGTATCGCCTTCCCGACAACGGGCCTGGGGCGCGAGCTTCGAGGCCCACTGACCCCACGTGATGATGGACGGCATCAGGCAGGCAGGCGATCGCATGTTCTCGACCTAGATCGACCTTCCGACCAGCACTACCCTTGTATGACACTGCATTTTTTCCATCAAGTATCAAAACCTGTGCATAAGAACAACGGGAATCGCGCCGAGCGATATGCCATCTATCTAAGCCCTGGTGAACTCGCGTTCAAGCCCCCTTTTCGGACCGACCGATCTCGTTGAGCGCCTAATCATCCCACTGGGCAACCTGTGTCGCGAGGGCAAAGTCTCTCGAACAAGCAGCATGGCGAGTCCAGGACAGCTCGACCCACCAGAGGATACGCGCAAGCAAGAAGATACTGGAGCCCATCAGCTAGGTACGCCTAACCAGTCCCAAGTGAAGACCTACCCGGCTTATACCACTATAGCAGACCAATCCGACTCTGAGGACCACTTCACAGACGCCCAGTCAGCCGCCAGCGCCCATGGCGGCTCGCCTGTGCCCACCACGAGAGTCGAGAGAGTCGATGACGAGCCTGCACATGGCGAGGTGCCGGGTACCGAAGCCAATAAGATGAGAGAGGCCGACGCCCAGCCTGATGAGATTGCGGTGATACCCGAGGATGACACCGAATCACAAAGCACTGGGCACAATGAAAAATTGCCGGCGACAGTTGTCGAGGAGGCTCCTGGATCGATGGGCCCTCGATCGCAAGAGTTCGTGGGTAAGAGACAAGCGGACGCCCCTCCTGACGTCGTGGTGAGCCCGAGTGCCGAGGAGAAGGGCGAGGTTGATGGGCAAAGCAATCCTGGTATGGGTAAACGATGAGCTCATGAGTAACGCAAGATCATGTATTGACGATTCTTCCATAATTATAGACGAGCCTAATTCACCATCGTTACGGGCACCTGACTCTGAATCCACGCCCACATGCCCGCCGAGGAGGAAATCTTCAAGATCGATAAGGTCAACACTCGACGAAGCCAGTGATTTTAGCGACGATGCAGAAGATGCGTTTGGTGACGATTTCGATGACTTCGAGGAGGGCGCTGGGGACGATGACTTTGACGACTTTGACGACGATTTCCAACAACCAGACCCCCAGCCACACCCAGTACCTGCGGCGCCTCAAAACTCGCTACCATTTGTACGCACCCATACTGCGAGGGAACTTTGTTCTTTGCTGACCTGAAGCAGGCGATACCGGATTTCGAGGGCCTCAACGCCGACGATATAATGAGCTCTACCGAATCGTATCTGGCGTATCTCTTCCCCCCAGAGGAGCTCGACCTACCGGAATTCCCCCCCTTGCCCAAGGAGTCAACTTCATTCACCACACCCCGATCCGCCTCGTTATGGTCACAGCTCATCGCGCCGCCACCACTTGCACCACCTGACTGGATACGTTCCCGGACGCGTCGATTGTTCCTGGTCTCACTCGGAGTTCCGGTCGACCTCGACGAGATCCTTCCCGCCTCGAAGCAGAAGAAGCTTGTCTTGCCGTCATTGAGTGTGCCCTCAGGGGCTTCACCGCGCACGTCCAGTGACTCCCGGTCTGTATCACGCTTACGCCAAGGCGAAGGTAATGCCTCATCCACGTCTGTAGATACACAAGGGAAACCAAGGAGGCGGAAAGGCCCACCTCCACCGCCTGATTTTGACATGGTGTCCGCGCGGCATGTCTGTAAGACTACTGGCGAGGCCTTGGACGGAATGACGAACCAGGAACTTCAATCGCACGTCACGAAGCTGCGATCACTTGAAGCCACTGCAAAAGAAGTATTGGAGTACTGGACCAAGAGGACAGATGAAAGAATCGCAGAAAGAGAGACGTTTGAAGGCGTTATTGAAAACTTGGTGAAGCATGCAAGAAAGGTTCGCAAATAATTACTAGTACTTAAGACTCGGGTACACACCCATGTAGGAATTCAAATGGGACTACATGTTGGTCATCCGCACAACACTGAACATCTAGCCGCTAGCCTGTGCCTTCAGCCCAGAACTCCAGTCCGTGGAAAGAAAGAACCCAACCCTCCGCTCTATGCCAACAGAGGGCCATGCCTAGGCGTTGCCAGGCGCCAGGATGCAGAGACCTAACACAGGTGACATACCATTGTCTCAACCTCATCATGTAGAGCTAACAGCTGTCTGCGGCCGGTGTTTTGGTTCGTACGCACTCATCATCGTAATTGTGATATCCTCGTGTGGAAAGGAAATTCCGCTTCTGCGCCACGGGAAGCAAACCCCAACGCCAACCCCATCTAAGGGACGCGCCTAATCTTCAACATGCCTGGTTCTATGTGCCATATCCCGACAATTTTCTTCCGTGCAAAGACCATATCTTTCTTAGTTGCTGGGCTCCACGGTGACACCGCTACAAGGAAATTCAAGTTAGCACACATCACATACTGAATAAGGGGTTGAATGGTGCGACTTACGCTCGGATGAAGGCCCATCCAATGAGACGCCAATGCTTGTCGATACGGCGAGACAGCGAGATCTTCTCACCAATGCTTGTGCAGGCAGGGGTGGTCAAAACCAGCTTGGCGGCATCGTGCTTGATAGCAGAGACCTTGGCACCAGTTGACGAGGAGCCAATGTTGACCATGATGACTTCGTTCTTGACCAGCTTGGACACCTTAGCACCCTTGCCATCGGCAGTGCGCACACCCAGCAGACGACGCAGCAGGTTGAACTCAATTTCAAGTTCGCTGTAAATCTCGGGCAGTGTGCCCTTGAGGCCGAGAACGAAACCAACCAAACGATCGGCACGGCACAGAGTAGGGTCAATACGTGTACCCACACCAATCAGGCCACCGGGCACGGCGTACTTGAGGTCGTTTGTTTCGGAGTTGAGCGAGATGACGCGGCTGAAGATGGGTGTGCACTTGAGCGCACCGCTGTCATCGCGGGACACGATACCAGGACGAATCTCCACCTCGTCACCGAGCTTGAGGACACCGTGCAGAATGCAGCCACCAGCGACACCACCCTTGAGCTCGTCGATAGACACACCGGGCTTGTTGACGTCGAAGGACCGGATAATCATCATACGGGGGTCCATGGAGAAGTCACGAGGAGGTACCTCGATGGTGTTGACAATGGTGTCAAGCACGGCGTCAACGTTGAACTTGAGCTGCGCAGAGATGGGGATAACGGGTGCGTTGGCTGCGACGGTACCACGGATGAATTTGCGGATCGACTCGTAGTGCTGCTTGGCGTCCTCTTCCCTCACCAAGTCGACCTTGTTCTGTAGGATGATGATCTTGTCGAGCTTCATGATTTCAATGGCGGCCAAATGCTCAGCAGTCTGGGGCTGAGGGCAGGGCTCATTGGCTGCGATGAGAAGGAAGGCGGCATCCATGACGGCGGCACCTGACAACATAGTGCTCATCAGAATGTCGTGACCGGGGCAATCGACGAAACTGTACTTGTTAACGTCACGTCCTGTCTGCTTATTCCATGTTCTGACTCACGAGACGTGTCGGACCAGGCGGTATTTACCCTCACATCCGGAGCGCTCGCAAGGGGGGTCGACTTCCTTGTCGCTGCCAAAGCTCCTGTAGCAGCCTGGTCGGGGGCACGCAGAGTTGTCGCATTTGTAGATTTTGGCGTTGGCATATCCCAGCTTGATTGTGATGTTGCGCACCAGCTCGTTCTTGAAACGGACGGTCTGCACACCGGAGACGGCCTTGACGACCGTGGACTTTCCGTGAGCGACATGGCCGATAGTACCGATGTTGATCGTGGCTTGGCGCGCAATGATTTCGGGCGTAAGAGGCGAGAGCGTCTTGACGTCGAGGTCCTTGGGCTCTGTCTGGGGGGGCAGGTAAGGCTTCTCGTAGGCGGGGCCAGGAGCGAACGTCGACTTCTTGAGGGCCGACTTCAAGGGCTTCTCTTCGGTTAGGCCCGCATCGTCTTGGCCGTCGAAAGACTCGCCAGACTCGGACTCTGACATAGGGTCGTCGTACTTGTTATCTTCGGCAGACATCTTGGCGGCTGTTGTTGCTTGCGTGAGTGATGTACCTGGTGATGGCCTGTCGTACATCGTGTGAGCAAAAATTAGTGGTGGGGGTTATGACTCTTTGGAGGCCCCGCATTAACTAGAACAATGGAAGATTCTGATTGGGTCAGAGGCTAACCAAGGTTCGCTTCGTCTCGACTACGTAGTGCGAGCAGCGACGGTGGCCAGGCAAGCATTCGATCAAATTTGTGCATCAGTACTCTGAAATGAAACTCGAGGTCTAGTTGAGATGGGCGCAGCACGTTGGCATAGACGACTGGAACAGCCTTAATCATGTATCGAGGTTAACCTCTGCTGCTTTACGACAGTAACGTCCTACAGAAACCTACAATGCCTTTGTCGAACCCAAGAACGCACTGCTTTTCAAGGAACGCGTGCTACGTAACCCCAAACTTCGAATCGAGGGACAAGCGAGCTGAAATAGCGACTGGATATTGATTCCTTAAATAAGGCACATCGACTTCCACATAGGCTGCATGGTAGAGGTGTGTCCTGTGAAACAGAGCGCGGGGTAATCCTTATCGGCTTATCGGGCATGGCAAGCTCACGCTGAGTCTCGGTGTGACCTTGTAGCTCGTTGGAAACGACGCATCGAGGTTCTATCTATATCCCGAAGTTTGATTTTCTTTTACGCCGATTTCCACAGCTGGTGCGCTTTGTCGAGTCCTAGCGTACATTTCTTGTCCCTCACATGCTGAGCGTTGCCTGGTCTAGTATAATCGGCGCCAAGTGCATCACTGAGGCGGATCGCTTTTGTGTTGCAACCCTAGCTCAAGTACGTCCTGTCAATCAATGAACCGCCTGCTCTTTGAGAAGCTTACTACGGATTCTAGGCTATGCGATTAGGCTGAGGAGAGGTTGGTACAAAGACGGGTAAACCCTGGCCATCGATAGACATGATGCTATTTTCAGATCGCAGGTTAATTAATAACCTTGCAGCCCAGCTTCCAGTGGCATTTGGTCCTCCATGTCGGCAGCGACGGATCAAATAGAGAGAGCTTCCGTACCGCATGAAACATCTCGATAGCGAAGAGAGCGACGACGAATCCCGACATGTCGTTTACCGCCCAGGTCTGCATGTGGCTAGAGCTCTAGGTGCTCATCACGGCTGTGGCGCGTTTCATTGGCTGCCGACATGTGCAGACGTCGGCGGTTGTGCAGACTGTCCGCCAATGGGAAGGCATTGCCGGCCACCGGGCTAACCCCAGCGGCAGGCGGTTAATCGCCCACCCAGGCCCGCGCCAGGGTCCCTCCAGTCCAACGACCAATCAGCCTCCCATCGCCCGCCTTACTCTGCAGATTCAAGCAGGAAACACAGCAAAGACTTGGTTGTCTTGCTGTTTGCCATGTTTCTCCAGTCGCCGGCAAGGATGTGGCCGTGGAGGTGCTGCAACAGCCGTTCTTGGCTCGAGGTCTCGCCGCCAGATACTCCTCAGCTGGCCATCCTCACATCGAGTCAAGACTCGGCTCCTCCCCAGTCGCAACACTCCTCTTCTCGTTGAGAACGCCTTTACTAGCTGTGTTGCGAAAGCTCTACGTCGAAAAAATTTACGTTATTCCGTTTTCGCTCGCCAGACTACGCTCACTGAGTGACGCTATTTTGGAGTCGTTCCGGTACTCAAGCTTACACCAATCCGCTGGTTCACACGGCTAGCCGCCGTGTGGGAGCATCGTGGGCGTCTAACCATCCACATCGACTAGTCACTCGATCTTGATCAAGAGCCTGCCTATCAGGAGGCGTCTTCGCGGTCTGTCAAGCTTCTAGGTAAGCCCCATCTTCTCTCTTCCCGGTCATGGGCGCCTGTCTTTCGTCGAATGGGCTGCTCTCGTTGCCGCGCCACTCTGTCGCTTCAAAACCCAATGCATCCCTCTTCGTATGCCTTGATCCATTTTCTCTCTCCATTCTTGGATAGCTGGTCTCTCTGTCTTGTGTGTCATTCTCCTTCTCTTGCGCAAAAGCGTGCCCTAGACTGTGCCTGGGCATATTTCCTCATCAACTGCACCGATCTCTCCTCCAGTGACCGACTGCATCTTTCGAAACTCTTCATATTGGTTCTTAATACACATTCTCTACACAATGCCTGGACGAGGTCCGTCACATGGAACAAGAAACATTGAAAGTGCGAGACGGCTGACCAGTATTGCAGACGAGAAAAGGCGGCCTGCCGCTCTCAACCTCACACCAACACGCACCGGTACATCGGACTCTTCATCATCAGACAACTCGCTCAAGCCTCGGACGCCTCGCTTTGTGGAGGCCACAACTGTACACTCGCCTATTGAAGCAAAGTCTCCTTTTGCAGACCCCGAGAAGTCACACATGGCCCAAGCGCAACCGGGTGACATTGGGTTCGGATACCTCAACAACCGCGAGTCCGTAGCCGTGCCAATGACGCCCAAGACCCCCCTCAAGAGCGCCATGAAGGTGCCGGGGACGCCCGCGAGGAAGTTTGACAACCCCCTAAGCCCGACATTCCGTGAGGACATTCTTGAGAAGCAGGAGAGCGCCACAGACAAGGAGCAGGCTCGCGACGTCAAGATCAAGGCCCGCGTACGCCTCGCCAAAGTTGCTCTCCGTGGTGTCAACTTCAGTTGCGCCCTAATCATCCTTGCCATGCTGTCCTCCAGTTTCGCCATTTTCAACGCTACCAAGAGCCTGCCCAGCCAAAGTAAGATGCCCGCCTGGGCCGAGGATACTAAGATCTGGCCTCAGGTTCTGGTGCTGGTCATGGCCTGCCTGACGCTAGGCGCATGTATCGTTGTGTTCTGTGCCTACTTCCGTGGTGGTCACAAACGAGCTGAGAAGGTGGCCACCTACTATACTATGTTTGCACTTGGCTGGGTGCGTACATTCCTCCCCACTTCACGCTTCACCTTACTGACAGACACAGTTCATTATGAGCATGGTCTTGTGGGCAATCACTGCGGCCCTCTTCCAGAACTCGCGCAACAACTCCGGCAACAAGGACATGTGGGGTTGGTCCTGCGTCCAGAACACCCGTTCTGCTGTCTACGGTGACAAGGTCGACTATCAGCTCATCTGCCGCCTCCAGAACTGGACCTTGATCTGTATCATCATTGAGATTGTGATTGAGGTCATCTGCATCACGCTCTACAGCATCGTCTTCTACCGCTACTACACGAAGCGCCGTCTTGCCAAGTCCATGGATCTCCGTGACCGCGCCCGCTCCGATCTCTACCTCGCTCAGCTGCGCAGCCAGTCCGCCCCCAACACGCCCGGCTTTGGTCCCAAGTCTCCTGCTCTGAGCCAGTACGCCATGTCTCCCCGTCACCCCCCGGCTGCCTTCCGCAACCTCGCCGACATTGAGGAGAGCCCCTTTACCCCTGGTGGCCGTGTGGCCGAGCCAAGCTCGCAGTTCTCTCCATCACAACCCCAGTCCGGCTTCGTGCTCCAGGCTCCCCCAGTTAAAGCCCCCTCGGCGACCCCCAAGACCAAACAGGCTGCCTTCGCCGTCGAGGAGCCTGTCCGCCAACCCTCACCTCCTCAAATTCAAGTCCAGCCTCCTGCTGCTGTCGTAGACGACGAACCCGTCTATGATGCTGTGCCGATCCCCGGCGCCTACGCTGGCCAGGCCATCAAGAGCCCGCCACCCAACCAAGTTGCTTTTGGCCAGGCGAGCTAGGCGATCGATGGATGGATGGCTGCGTGCGTTGCATTTACTGACATGAATTGCTCTGGGCTGGCGAACTTTGGGCTTTGGCGGGGCATTATACCAGGGGCGTTACAGGATCATTCAAACAAACACGAGATGTGTGGAAAGAAGAGACATGGATTTTTCTCTTGGACACAAGCATCTCGAACTTTTCGTATGTATAATTTGGTGTGCGCTTGACAGGCGTGACGAAGTAGGATGAGCTACAGAAATGAGACGTTTACAAAAGATACCACGAGCAGTCTCCAGTGTTCGCTGACGACGATGATGATGATGATGATTCGACGTAGTTGCGACGAGGGAGATATTTGTGGACAGCAAGAACCGTCACAGCAGACGCGATGGAAGAATTTTTAATTTTTTGATTCATTTCGTGAGAAGGACCCCGCAAATACACAAACAGCCGCAGAACAGCATAAAGGTCATTGCATTACTTTTTGGCGGCCCTGATGCACCTTTTTTGTCGTTAAGGCGCCGAGGGCTTCCCGAGCCTTCATCACGCTGCCATTCTTCATTGCTTTCTCCCCGGGCAGAGACGTCCCCAGGCCACCTTCCTTTTGTGGCGGCCTGGGATAGCCCTCTAAAAAAACGGAATCGAAATTCTATCGTCACTGGACAGTAAAAATTCTGACAAATGAAAAGTTTGGTGCCTGAACAGTCCCTGTGTCGTCGAGTCGCTTCAAGGTGATAAGGCTTCGATGAGCGGGAGGGCCCAGGCGTATACGTCGTATTCAGACTCCACACTTAGATGAGGTCGGCCACGTTCATGGGCATTTCCTCAATCTGGGTGCTGTAGAACTGCTCGATCTCGCGCATCATGCGGACGTCGTCGGCGGTGACGAAGTTGATGGCGACACCCTTTCGGCCGAAACGGCCACCACGACCGATACGGTGGATGTAGTTCTCACGGTTGGCGGGGAGATCGTAGTTGATGACCAGGGAGACCTGCTGGACATCGATACCACGGGCCAGGAGGTCAGTGGCGATCAGGACACGGGAGGAGCCGGAGCGGAACTCCTTCATGATCAGGTCACGCTGAGCCATCTCCATATCACCGTGCATGGCCGAAACAGTGAAGTCGCGGGCAGTGAGCTTGTCGGTGAGCCAGTCGACCTTGCGGCGGGTGTTGCAGAAGATGACAGCCTGGGTGATGGTGACGGTCTCGTACAAGTCAGATAGAGTGTCGAGCTTCCACTCCTCCTTCTCGACGGCGATGTAGAACTGCTTGATACCCTCAAGGGTGAGCTCATCCTTCTTGACGAGAATGCGGACGGGGTCGCGCATGAACTTGGTGGTGACCTCAAGGACGTCCTGGGGCATGGTAGCGGACAGGAGCACGACCTGCGTGGACTGGGGAAGCAGCTGGAAGATGTCGTAGATCTGCTCGGTGAAACCACGCTGGAGAACATTGTCAGTACGGTGCATCGCAAGGAAGGCTGACTTCATCTTACAGAAAGCATCTCATCGGCCTCGTCAAGGACGAACATCTTCATGGAGTCGGTACGCAGGAAGCGGCGCTGGATCATGTCCTGGACACGACCGGGAGTACCGACAACGACCTGAGGACCGTCCTGGAGGGCCTTCATGTCATCACGAACGCTAGTACCACCAATGCAGGCGTGGCACTCAATGTTCATGAAGTCGCCGATGGCGACAACGACCTTCTGGATCTGCTGGGCTAGCTCACGGGTGGGAGCAAGGATCATGGCCTGGCAGGCCTTGACGCTGGGGTCGATCTTCTGGAGGACGGAGATGGAGAAGGTGGCGGTCTTGCCAGTACCGGACTGGGCCTGGGCAATGACGTCGTGGCCCTTGATGACGGGCATTATAGCGCGCTGCTGGATAGCAGAGGGACGCTCGAAACCGTAGGCGTACACTGCGCGAATTTGGTCAGACTTGTTTTGTTGATTTTGCCGAGGGCGCTGGACTTACCACCACGGAGGAGCTCCGACTTGAGGCTCATGTCATCAAAGGAGTCGACAGTCTCATCGTAGTTGGATTCGATCTGGCCTGGAAACAGAGTATCAGCATGACGCTCATGATAGATAATTGATGGTCATTCGCATCGCATCGCATCGCCGCTTGGACTATTTCCCCGTCGTCGCTTGGATGGCGGGGCTGACTGGGGTTTGAAGCAGTCGAGGGCAACAAGCCCACAACCCTTGGCGGCTTGCCCCTCAGTCACCCACGCGGGGAGCTTGTACCAAGCGACGAGAACGACAGGACGAGACCGATGATAACATGACCGATGATAACATGAGCGCAGGATCTTTACTCACCCTCAGCGACATCCTCGAGACCTTTGTCAGCCATGATTGCGGTTTGGTGGTTATAAAGGCTAGATCAAGCACAGCTCGACCTAGACTTGAGAGATCGTGGGGTTGGTGAAGAGGAAAAAAAAAGTCGCAGAATCCTCCAACGGGGGGTTGCGAACGGGTTGCGAGTAGAAAGTAAAGTCGACTAGATCCAAGGACACTCGAGTAATACGAGGGCCGGCTGAAATCTAGGAAGAGGTTCTTTGTTCTTGGGTGATCAGGATTTTCCCTTTGAAGGTTGAAGGAGAGAGAGAAAACTTGGGTCGAGGGGCGCTCTTGAGGTATGGGAATTTTTCGACGAGTGGCCTGCCCGCTCGAGTAGTGGAGCCAATCACGAGTCTCAGGAGGACTTCAAAGTGGGCTTCACCGCTGTTCGCGAATTTTTGGGTTTCTGACTTTTTTTTTTTACAGCACTTCCCTCAGTAGGGATTATACTGCCACTGGCGACGCCACCAATTGACCCTGTTCGATGCCCTGGCAGTCCAGCCCCGTCTTGTGACATAGACATGACCTGAGAAAGAACAGTCACCTTTGAGTCTCACACCCCTAGAGTTGCGACAGCGTATCATGAGTCGATTCGCCATCTGACTTGTTCTCGCCTTAGCTCGGCTCCCAGGACCACACTTCGACATTTATCTGTGACTCGGCTTCTGTGAGCATCGAAACTGAGTTTATCTCACTAGACCTCGCGCCTAGATGCCCGGTGATGCCTTCAGCCGTGCCTGTTGAAAATGGGCTTGACCAGGCATCTGACTCTATTCCGAGTCACCCCCTTGGAGTCAAGCCCCTGGGCAACCAATACTTCCATCGTGGTGAAGTCGCGAGAAGCGCCATTGGAACGTGGGCTTCGCTTCCCGAGGAGATGCTGACAGTCCTACTGGAGTATTTGGATGTACCTGGTCTTTTCAACCTTGGGCACACTTGCAAGTACTTTTACGCCATTTGTCATCTTGACGACTTTTGGAAAGCGCTTTTCCTGTAAGAGAACACCCAGGACGAGTAACCCACCTTATGAGTCGATTTTCACGTCACAAGTAGATCAACACTGGGATTCCGGCCGCTGACATGCCAACAGGTCACAACAAGCTGACAGTGTCAACCCAGTGCGCTGGGCCGGGACCTGGAGGTCAACTGTGCTAGGTCTCCAGGAGCAACCTAGCAGGCAGATCGACTGCAGCAACGTTTTTTCCGATGTGCTGCACCGACCCTTTGCTTGCAGCAACATCAATCTACAACACTACGTCACGGGGATCCCCAAAGCAAACCAGATTCGACGGTTTGATAACCTGAGCTACGAGGAATTTGCAAAGCACTGGACAAGCGAGCCGTTCGTCCTGTCGCAATGTATCCAAGATTGGCCGGTCACCTCTCAATGGACTATCGACAGTCTGCTGAAGGACCACGGCAACGTCACTTTTCGGGCGGAGGCAGTGGACTGGACGTTCAAGACTTACTGCCAGTACATGACGGACAACGCGGATGAAAGTCCTCTATACCTGTTCGATCGCGGATTTGCCGAGAAAATGGGCATCAAGGTCGGGCGAGATGCAGACGACGCAGCCTACTGGCGCCCGGACTGCTTTGGACCGGACTTTTTCGAGGTCCTGGGGGACGAGCGGCCAGCGCACCGATGGCTCATTGTCGGCCCCGAGCGAAGCGGTTCGACATTCCATAAAGACCCCAACGCCACGAGCGCTTGGAACGCTGTGATCCAGGGGTCCAAGTACTGGATCATGTTCCCTCCCACGGCACATGTGCCGGGCGTCTACGTCTCCAAGGACAGCAGTGAAGTCACGAGTCCGTTGAGCATTGCCGAGTGGCTCCTGACCTTCCACGAGGAAGCAAGGCAGCTCCCCGAGTGTGTGGAGGGAATCTGTGATGCAGGAGAGATCCTGCACGTACCAAGCGGCTGGTGGCACCTGGTGGTGAATCTGGAGGCAGGAATTGCCTTGACGCAGAACTTTGTGCCCAAGTCGCCGAGCCTGCACCACTTGTCCGAGGCCATCTCTTTCCTGCGTGACAAGGCTGATCAGGTGTCGGGTTTCCGCTCCGACATTGAGAACCCATACGAGCTCTTTGCGCAGAGGCTTGGGTCGAACTACCCCGAAGCGCTCGAGAAAGCAGTGGAGCTGGCGGGCCGTAAGAGTGGCAAGAAACGGAAATGGGATGCTGCTGTGGCTGTTGACGAGACGGAGTCAGGGGGTGGTGGATTCAGCTTTTGCTTTGGAGGCGATGACGAGGATATTGCGTGAAGAGGATCGGCATCTATCTACAGCGGAAGCGCAGAGCTGTTCGAAGCCAGCGCGACCTCGGATATATTTTATTTACAATGCCTTCTACTTCCCCCACGAGGGCGAGTTCGATTCATGCGTACTTGGTCAAGATAAGATGAAGGGTTGTGGCTGCAGCGGCCCTGATGAGCAGGGTCGCTAAGTTGGGTTGGCATGGAAGTACAAGGCAGCCCTTACCTTCTCATTTGTGCATGCGATGTGAGATAGCTGCTCAAGTCGTCATTGGATGTTGCGAAGATGAGATGACACAATTCAAAGCTCTTGGAGATCCTAGCTCTGCTCCCTCAGTCGATGCCCCGTCAGACGCTTGCACCTTATCCATTAGATACTGGACTCGCCGCCTGTGTAATTATGCTGATGAGCGCAGGACAACTACATGTACGTTTATAAATAGTACGTAGTACCTAAGACAGGTCAGATGCGTTGCCAGTGGACTGGACTTGGTGATCGTTCGCCCATTCTTACTGGAGCGCGGGCCAGGCCACGCCAGGTTAACAACCACTGGTCCTGGATGGCCCACCTAAGCTCCAGTCCCGCAGGCTCGATCGACCCTTGCACGAGCCTAGGCAGGAGCAGTTGGCAGCAGCCCCGGGCAGGAGCTAGAAGTCCAGCCCGTCGAGCAAACTCCCGTCACCGACAGACAACTTGAGCCAACCATCAACGCCCATGTACGATCATCGCGCGACGCACGCAATGTAAGCCGCTCGACGGCCACTTGGTTGCGCATTTCATCGCTATCGTTCCCGCGCCACTGCTCTACTTGTTTAGCTTTGTCCGTGCGCCTTCTTGTCTGCGACGTTTGCGTTTCATCAGCATCTCGTCTTTGTCCAAAGTAAGGGTCAGTGCCACAAGAACGCCCCCCTCAATCTTAACACAGCCGGACCTGTACCCATCATTCCTCGTACTCTACTAGGCGATGACTGACAACGGACCAACCATCCAGATCGTCCGCCGCATTATACGTTTCGTCCTTCCATTTCCTGTCCCCTCGAACGTCGATGATCCGAGACGCAACCTAGTTCCGCAATACCGCCACGTCCAAGACCGACTCTTGACGGACTAGACTGCGAAGCGCCTCTTCCGAGTCCGATACGACCGACGGAACGCCATCATGGTGTCCGACGAGCATTACGACATATGCTTGCCCGTTCTGCAAGACGTCAGCCTTGAAGATGAAGACAAGACCGATAAACTGGAGGAGGTCTTGAAAGCGCAGACAACCCTGAGCGGGCCCTCGCTGGACAACGCCGTGCTCGACGTTCTATGGCGGTACAGAGACGGCGGAGCTGTATCGGCGTCGCCTCCTCCCATCCGACACTCTATCCTCCGCCGAGCCTCACCGTTGTCGTTTCGATCCCCGACTCCCATGTCCGGCTCACCGAGACTGGGCGTGAGTCCGCTTGCGCCACCGGGCTTTGTGCCTTCCTCGTTCAACCGAACAGTGACGGCATCGCCTTTCTCTTCTCCCAGAGCGTCGCCCCGTCCCGTCTTCGCAACGCCCGTCGTCCCACCAGCCATACCCCACAGTCCGAGCCTTACAGCTTATGAATTCGCAAACGACTTGACGCCCGCTACAGAGATTCTGGGGGACTACCAGACAGAAAATGTGGAATGGCTCACGAATGATGATGTTGCCAGTGTCACCTCTTCTGTGGGCACACCTAGTGGTCTCAACGCGACGGCTCCGGAATTCTCCTTCTCCATGTCTTCGCAACAGATGGACATGTCTCCGTATGACATTTTGCGTTCCATCCTTGGCCACACACGCAGCGACGAAGACATCGAGACCGCTCTCGCGGCTCATGGCTACGACCTCTCGGCAACTATCACTTCCATCATGGAGAACCAGCCACTGGACGAGGGCGCACCGCTTCATGACGAACCCAAGAATATCCTGGTTGGCAAATCTCTAAACCCCGAGGCCCGCCCCAGCACGCCCGTTGGTCCAGGAAAGTCGGGCGTGATTTGCAAGTTCCACATGTCGACTGGTCAATGTCTCCGGGCCGATTGTCGCTTCAGTCACGACCTCAGCAATCATCTGTGCAAGTGAGTGCCGCACCTTTACCACGCATTTATGACACACACGCTAACCCTTCCCTCAGGTACTGGATGATGGGCAACTGCCTCGCTGGGGAAACATGCATTTTCTCCCACGATCCGGCCAAGCTAATGACAAAGCTCTCGCTCGACGGGTCGCAGACGCCACCTCTGAAGGGACAGAAAGACCTGCAACTGGGGGACTTTTCCTCTTTCCCTTCGTTGCACGTAACGAGCGACCAGTATGGCGAACGTTCCAGCAGCCCGGCCTTCGGCGCTGGGTTGACGCCACCGCCAGGCTTGCGACCCTTTTTCAGCGGTGATGGCCAGCGCCCAAGGTCTCGGCCGGGCAGCAGGCAGCAGCCCAGGGAGCCCGCGCCCACCGCGCCGGCGCTAGACGACACGGAGGCCTTTCCCTCGCTAGGGTCTGCGACACTGTCCAAACAGGTCAGGAAGCAGCCAGGTAAACGTACGAAAGAGAATGCCGCGCCAAGCTCCCTGGCGGACGTTGTGAAGATGAGCCCCTCTCCAGCCTCGTCGCCGCAGCTGGAGCCCAGGAACCTTGCACGAAACGGCAGCGCTACTGCCATCAAGAACGGCGAGAACAGTGCAGCTGCGCAGTCCATTCCCAGCCCGAAGCACATTCCGTGGCTAGAGACAGGCGAGCGGGCCAACAAGGCGTACCTCAAGGCACGCCAGGAAGCTATCAAGCACGGTGGTCTCCGCAACAAGTTTCTACAGAGGTGGGTGTTTGCTTGAGTGTGTAATGTGTTCTGTCTCTGACCTGGACAGTGCTGCGCAAGCCTGGAACCGCAACGACGCGCGAGCAGCCAAGGCGCTGAGTCTCCGTGGTCAAAGCGAAAACGACCTTATGCGCAAAGCACACCGCGAGGCCGCGCGCGAGCTATACGAGGAGCGGAACAAAAACCGCGTCGGGGGGACAGAGATGTACGTCGACCTGCACGGACTGCACCCTGAGGAGGCCGTCGAGTACCTGGAGAAAGTCCTCTTGGAGAGCAGCCAGGAAAGCAAGCCCATTTATGCAATCACCGGGTCCGGACATCACAGTAAGAATGGCAAAGACAAGGTCGGCAAGGCTATCAGAAACTTTCTGAACGAGTGGCGGTACGCTTATCGCGAGTTCTCGGTGCCTGGAGACCGCAACAACATGGGCGGTATACTGGGCATTGATCCCAGGAGCTGGAACAAGTCTTTGGCCAAGGAGGACGCGAATGAAGCTGCGGAGAAGACAGCACCAGTGGACATTCTCGATCAAGCTGTCGAGATTGGGGATGGCAAGGTCAGGCTGTTGGTGAGAGAACCGCCCAAAGGCCCCAGCAGGCGGTGACGACGCCGGCTTAAATCAGTAAAATAGAAAATCCACATCTGCAATTACAATTGCCACAAGTTCCAGTGCAGTGTCTACCTCGTAGCTCATATATCTGAGTGGTCCGTCACGATGCAACGCACGTGGGGAATCTTGGTCATTCACAAGGAGTGGGGGCGGCTGCTGCACGGCTGTGCCTGCCTTTTGCTCCGTGGCTGCCGGTCATCGTCGGCATCCGTCAGATCTGCCCGTTTGCCTGTCTGACTTCATCCAAGCAGCCACCGCTCGCTTCATCATCACGATAACGACCTGCGTCCGTGTCTGGCTGACTGGCATTCCTCACCTGGCCCATTGCCCCGTCCTGGGATCTTCCGATACACACTCTCATCACGACATTCGTTCGTCTGTCCATCTCCCTCCACCCGACTGCGACTGCGACGCATGCACCAAGGCACACTTGACACATCGTACTGAAGACTCCCATCATGCCGGCCGACTACTCCACGGCGGCGCAGAACCTCGCCGTCTCCCCTTCCAACTCACCATCGTCCTCGCCGCCGCTGTGGGCACGCCATGGCTCCTCGAACAACGTCCGCCGCCTCTCGTCCGCGCGCTTCCGCAACTCGCCACGGCTGCGCCAGGCGTGGACGACCCTCGACGCCTGGAACAAGTACACCATTGAGACGTACAGCCGCATGAGCGTGCTGCAGCGCATCGTCGCCGGCGTGGGCATCATTGCCGTTTACGTCCTCATCATCCTGGGGTGGGTCTACTCGCACCGGCTGTTCGACTGGCTCGCCGGCGTGTCGCAGTCCTGGCGCGAGCTGCCCGGCGGCTGGCTCATCATCTTCGCCCTCGTCTTCGCCGCGGCCTTTCCGCCCATCATTGGCTACTCGACGTTTACGACCATCAGCGGCTTCGTGTACGGATTCCCTTGGGGATGGCCCGTGCCCGCCCTGGCCTGCACGATCGGCAGCCTGTGCGCCTTCATCGCGGCCAGGACGGTCCTGAGCAAGGCGGTCGATCGCATGGTGGGCAAGGACGCGCGGTTCGTGGCCCTCGGCCAGGTGCTGCGGCGGGACGGGATCTGGTACCTGACGGGCATCCGCTTCTGTCCGCTGCCGTTCAGCATGAGCAACGGGTTCCTTGCCACCATTCCTAGCATCACGCCTACGGCGTTTGCGCTGTCCACGGCATTGTCGAGGTATGTTCACCTCTAGTGCACGTTGCACACACTCCACTACCTTCAGTAGGGACGGCTACTGACCCCCTCTCTCTAGCCCCAAGCTGCTCGTCCACGTTTTCATCGGGAGCCGTCTCGCCATCCTCGCCGAGTCGGACGACAAGATGTCCTGGGGCGACAAGATGGTCAACTACCTCAGCATGGCCGTCGGCGCCGGCGTCGGCATCACCGTGGGGTACATCATCTACAAGCGCACCATGGCCCGCGCGGCCGAGATTGCACGCAGCCAGGCCAGGGAGGACGAGGAGGCAGAGGAGGGCCGCGCGCACGATGCCTACCTCGACCGCGAGGATACGCTCATAGACCCGGAGGATGCGGCCAACCTGATGACAGACGATGACCTGTCGCTGTGGGAGACGCAGGTCGTCGACGAGGACGCTGACTACACGAGTGACGGTCCCAAATCGACGAGCAAGGCGTCGAGCCCTAATGAGGCTGGCAGACGTTCGCCTTGGTGAGCATGCATATACGAATGACATGATTGCGATTCGCATATTGGATAGATATTCTAGGTTTTCTATCTGAGACGGGACGGGCAAATGACTAGGAGGCGAGGCGTTCCGGTATCAAAGACCATAGATGGAGGGCGTTTCTTGTTTTGGACATAGCACACACACAAAGGAGATTCTGATGGGTGCAAAGCAGAGAAAGACCTTGTCATTGATATTAAAGCAATTTCTGTCTGTCATGATTTCGAGCTGAATAATCACATGCTATGCTAATTAATACCCAACGCCTTCGCTTGTGTAACGAATCGCTATTACAATCTGCAATTTCTAAAAAAGTCGGATCGAGAAATTCATGGTTGGCTAGGCCTGTATTGACTCATGATCTGCATGGCCTGCTCGACAGGGTAGCCGATGAAGACGGGACCGTTGAAGACCATTTGCGGCGCCCCAGGCGTCGCCTTGACCGAGTCGGGGCTGATAAAGGCGGGTTGCGCCAGTGGTGTCGGCTGAGGGACAGACTCTTTGGCGGGACTCGGTGTGTGCGGCGCGGGCGGGTGAGGCGTCCGCGTCGTGGGAGACGTGGATCGCTGGTGACTTGCCATGCCCGCCGTCATGGCCTGCATCTTGGTGTGGTCAAAGGGACACTTCTTGGCCGGTGTCTTGGAACTCCGCGAAGGGCTAGGCATGCGGACGGGCGCGGGTGGCGGGGAGAAGGGGACCTGATCGTCGTCGTGTGAGTCGAAAACGGGGACACTGATGCCCCAAGGACGACTCGGCGACTCGCCGACTCGAACTTCCTTCATCGGGCGGTCGAATCGACTCTCGCGGTCGCTCTCGGCGTCCTCTTCAATGACCTCGTCCGCGGCCGAGCCGGTCGTTTCGGTGATGGCGTGGGCCCAGTCTTTGACGCGCTCGTTGGAGGCCTTGTCTACCTCGCTGGGACGGCGGGGTTGACCTTGTTGCGATTCTGGCAGCATGGATTGATGCAGTTGGCCGAGATCCTCAATCATGTTGATCATGCTACCGTACTTGTTGTCGAGCTTCCGGATCTGGTCTTCGTTGTGCTGATACCGGCGGAGGCAGACCTCGTGGCTGCGAGGCAGCTCATGCTTGTGCGTCTCCACATAGTGAGCAATCTCCTCGGCCGAGTGCTGGTCGAGGAAGCGGATGGGACATTTGCTACCGTTCGCGTCTTGTGCGCCGGTTGTTTGCGACGTCGCTTCCTCGTACATGGCCGCGCAGATGGGGTCGGCGGAGTGATGTGGTGTTGTATCAGGTGGCATGTTCTTCTCATGGCGGTCCGCCTCGTGGCTCTCGCCAGAGGCCACGGGCGGCGGCTGGAAGGGACAGTCGAGGTTGCCCCTCTTGCCCTGGACGGTAAAGTCCTGCTCCAGGGCCGTGGACATGGAGCTCTTCTCTTCCCCAGAGGTGTGCGAATAGGCGTCTCGGGTGGAGGCGGTGGTCTTGCTAGCCTCGCCCAACGACGCAAGCTGCGACGCAACACGCCGTCCGTCGCGGATGACTACTGCGACCTGATGCTGAGACTTGGGTGAGCCCCTTCGTGGCAGGGGCACGGATGAGTTCTCGTCGATGGAGGCGTTGTGTGGAGGCAGTTGGAGATGGGCGAGTGCCTCCGTTATCTCTTGCGTTGCGGGAGCATATTTATCGGCCAAGTACTGCAGCTTTAGGAGACGAGGGGTCGTTAGCAATGTCGACATGTGGAAAGTGCGAGGTGTGTTTGATGAGAAGTGTTCCAAGGAAAAGGAAATGTCAGAGGTTTGAAAATGTTTTCACTCTTGGCAGACGATGCTGCTCGTGATCTAGAGCTAAAGATTGTTCATCATGTTGGAACGGGTGGTGGAATGACGCGGGAGGCTGCTTGTATAAATGTACGGGGGCACAGGCGACTGGTTCACCCAACTGCTGCAAGGACATCATCCCCTCCAAGGAACCCCAACCGAACGATGTGCCTGATGTAAGCATCCCGAGCGGTCTCGGCGTCGGACTGAATGTGGTGCCTGCGGAGGGACCCAAGCCGAGGTCGCAGCAGCAGAGAGGGTGAGCACAGTACTGCACTCCGTACCTGCAGGTACAAACACGCCTGAGGGAAACATGAGAGACGGAGATGGCTGGCTTACCTGCTCGTGTGCAAACCGAAGCTTGTGCTCGAGGACGATGCGACGGTCATTCAAGCCTTGGGCCTCGTCGGCCAGCTCATTGAAGGCATCGGCAAGGCTTTGGGTGAGCTCGAGATGCGAGGCGCCCATGCCGAAGGATGCCGGAGGGATAGTGTTGCGGCAGAGGCATCGCGCTGAACGGTGGATGAAGGGAGAAGGGCGGAAGGTTTTTTTGGGCAGGCGGCGGATTTTGGTGCTGGAATGGAATGAATAGCCCAGCCAGAGTTGCTTCGGTCGGCCACAAGCCACATCCGCACGGTGCAGGCACAAGCCACACCAGCCACAATGACAGACCCAGGCCAGCCGGCGGAGGGAAGACCAAACACCATGGAGAAAGATATCCAAGTCACACAAAAAGAACGTCTGGAAATAGTTGTTCGTAGCTAGGTATAGTATTAATGCCTCAATTCTAACACATTTGCCTTGCTTTCCATCAAGACTTTTTGCGCCAAAGGCTTTCAAAGGACTCCTGTCGCCTGGACGTTCGCTTCCAAAAGCACGCCTCGTTCTTATACATGTATACAGGTACACATCCTCCATGTATTTCTTTTGTTGTAAATGCCCAACCAAAAACGCCTTTGCACACCTTGCGCAACCATGCAATATCAAGATATCCAAGTTTAGGTGCCACATTCAACGAGGAGGCCAAACATACGCTGCGTCCGTCCGCTTCTTCAAGACAGAAGGTTACGCAACGAGGGGTTGGCACTTGCACCACTAGTAGGCCTTCCGTCGCTTTCGTGGCGAGAGCCGTTCGATCCACTTGACGCTGTGTGGCCGTGGCGTGCTGGCCCTGCCATTGTCCTCACAGGACTACCCATGGGCGCGGGATACGGTCCTTGACAAGGCGACATGCTCGACGTATACGGGCCATTCCGAGGTGGCGGTATGCCGTTGGTCAACGTGTGGTGTGGCCCCATGGGGGGGATGGCACCGGGTGGCGGCCCGTGTGAGGAGCTCACAGCGAATGTCCCAGCAAAAGGCGAGGGCGGCGCTGCCCCTGATCCGCGGCGTGGAGACGCAGGGATTCCGTTGGCGAAAGGCAGTGAGCTGTGCGCAGGGCCGTGATGATGGCCCATCGGCAGTGGGCCTGGGGGTGAAGGACCTCCCAGGCTTGGCGGTCGAAGTGCAGACATGTTCCCAGCGGGAGGTGCACCAACCGCTGGGGCACTCAGATGCCTCGGTGGAGAGCCATGTTGGCTTGGTGGGCGCGGTGGCCAGTCATGGTACGAAGGCGCTTGGGGGGCTTGGAGGGGCTGCGATGGCACGCCGCCTGGAGGTGGCCCGTGGGCTGAGATTGGGGAGTACCCAGGATGTGCGTGAGCCGGCCGTTGAGGCCCGTTCGAGTGTGTCTGCACAGGAGCATGTGCCGCCTGTGCGGGCTGCAGAACTGACGATAAAGACGCGGGCGGCAGCCACCCTTGGAGAAGCGAACGGGCTTCTCTGCTCTCGACATTGTGTGCCCGTCTCTCAGGACTGCGGAGTGCAGCAGCTGATGCAGCAACAATGCCCGCCTCAGGGAGGTCAGCTCTCGATCTCGGACGCGGTGGCTGCGACAAGAGGGCAACAGGCGACTTGGGCCGCATTGGAATCTTGGCGGCGTGGCATTTGTGACACTGCACTGTCCGTTGGGAAGCATATTTCTCTGCCTCCTCGCCCAAGTGCACACCGTTCAACATGGTATGGAAGGGACCTCTGCCTCCAGCTCTGGTCGCAGCGTCGATAGGCCACCATCGGGGGCTTGTGTCGACTCCGCAACTGATGCACACCTTCTCGCCAGCCTTCTTGTCGGTCGAAGTCTCGGGGGCGACTCCGTTGCGCTGGCCAGTCGCGCCGTTGCTCACAGTCGTGGTCGTGGTCGAAAGCCGTCGCAGTCCTGGCTGAAGAGCCGTGGCGGATATCTTGGCCGCCATGGTCACAGTGTTGGCTTTGCGCACAGTCCCCGTCAAGGCCAAGTCTGCTTGCTTGTATGTCTGGACATAGAGTTGTATCACGCTCAGCGCAGGATTATCGGTCCGGCCGTGCATTTGATGCGTGAGCGCGTTCGTCTTGGCCGGGGGGTGATCCTTGCAGCAGAGGCCGGGCGACAGCACTCCAGCTACGCCGTCGATAGTAACGAGAAGTGACTGGTCTCTGCGTGAGCCTTTCACGGGCAGCAGCTCGAAGCCAAGCTGGTGGCCTTGCTTGTGCGCACATTCAACGTGATCTGCAACATGTCAGTTATGCACCGCGCCTTCAGAGGCAGGAAGACAACTCACATGAAGCCTTGCAAACCATGCAGCCCACGCAAGCACCAGACGGGATGTTGCAGGCGCTGCACGTCTCTTCGTACCTGGTGCGTGCAATGGAAGGGATCCCTTCCGAGGGCTCCATGGCCTTGGCATTCCCAAATTTGACCTCGGGTGTGAACACTGCGCACGATACATGCACCCAGTTGTTGTCGGCAGTCCGCTTGAGAGGTTCCCGTGGCCCAAGAGGGCGGTTGAGCTCTTCCTGCTGCTTGCGGTACAGTTCCAGCGCTTTGCGTGCTTGCTGCACCTCGAGTTTCTCCCTTTCTCGGTCCTTGTCTGACATCTTCTTTTTGTGGTGTGTCAGCTTCGGTTGCTCGATCAGCTCATGTTCGGTATGCTCCACTGGACAGAGCACGCATCTGTAGGACGTCGACACTTGCGGGTTTCTGTCGTTGACGCACATGTCGCAGGTCCATTTGCCGGCGTTCCGACCGTCCACGACGCCGTAGCACTGGCGATGAACGGAGAGCCGACACTCACGACACGCAACGTGGTCGGAAAGAGGCTCCAGCTGATCGCAGATAGCGCACGGCAGTGTGCGAGGTTGAGGCATTGGAGGAATGACAGGCTCCTCGGGGACGACCTTTTCCTTCTTCTTGGTGAGGCTTGTGCCACTGCCACCATCCGATTCCGGGTCCTTGTCATTGCTCTTGAGCTTCTTCCTAGGCGGCTCAGAGCCGTTGACGGCATTTTGGACAGGGCTTTCCGGGCGATCAGGCGTGGAAATGCCCCGAGAGCTCGCAGCTTCAAGTTCCTTGACGAATTCTTCATCGAGCTTGCGCTTCCAAGCCTTGTTCCCTGTCGCGCCGGCCTTCTTGGCGAGCTCCTCATAATCTTCCCACCTGATCGCATAACGCCTCCACAATTCAGCGCAACGAGTGCAGAGCGCCTGAAGATACTGCGTGCCTTTGTCTTTGCTCGTCGCCTTGACGCCATTCTCGTTGACGAGACCAGCCGCAGCGTTGGGCGCGCGACGCCAGCGCCGGGAGGACGTAGAGTGGCAGAATTGACACATGAAGTTCTTCTTCATCTCGGACGCTTTACCGGAATCGAAGGCAGAGTCATCCTCTGCGTCGGCAACATCGTCGGCTAGCTTGTGGGCTGCGACAGCAGCTTGCTTGGCTTCCTTCTTGGCCTTTCGTCCTGTGACGTTGCTCCAGATGGCCTGGCCTCGGTCGGTCTTCTTCCACGTGTAGTAGTACCGAGTGATGTGGCCGGGTTTCATGGTCTTAACATGCCTTTTCACAGACCAAAGCTCCGAACCGTACTTGCCAATGGCCTCGTCGAACTTCTTCTGCTCAGTCGCTGTGGGTAACGGCTCGTTGAAGTCGGCCTTTGGTGTGGCAGCAAGGGCTTTCTTCGCTTTTTCTGGCGAGTAGTCTTTTCGGTATAGATGCTCCAAGGCCACGTCCTGGACGTTGGTCGACCTCTCTGGTAACCCGAGGCTTTTGGCCATGCTTCTGGCCTCCTCGACAAATTTCTTGATTTTGCCGTCGACATCGCCCTCTGGTGGCGGTCTCCAAATGAGCTTTGCAGATGCATTCGGGTCGTTTGGATCGACTGAATCTTCACCTCGCGTGATGTACCCCGGTGGCATGTCCTGTACCCATACTGGCCGTTGTCCGTTGGGGTACTGCTCAGCGGCAGGAATGATCGCGGCGGCAGCGGCTTTCTTGCCTTTCTTCTTCTCGGGCGGTTTCACGTACTGAACTGGCCTCCCGGGCCAAGGCAGAACCACTGCCTGATGGCGAGGTCCAATTCTGGTGCCGGCGCGAGGATGGATACGGTCATCGTAGTCCAGCACATCCTCGACCTTGCAATGTATGCCGAGGTACCGCCATGGCCATAACTTGGCATTGTGGACTTGCTCCGCGGTAGCCTCGTGGGGTGCATCTTCATTTGCGTCCACAGAGATCGAGCGATCCGTAGCAGCCGCTTGGATCTCCTCTTCTTCCTCTTCCAAGTGCTCTTCTTCCTCGGCGTCGCCGTACAAATTTGGCGTGTGTCGAGCCTCGAGTGCAATTTCCTGCTTACGACTGCACGCGGCACATGACCAGCCAAACCCACGGGACGGCTTCTTGAGCAAGGGTGGCCGGACGCACTCCATGTGGTACGTTTTATGACACACGGCGCAATCCACCGAGTTATTGCTACGCACAGGAATGTCAGCGCCGTTAACCCTGAATGTCTGGATAGAATTCCACCTGCGACTGCTTGTGCCCAACCGCACCGTACCATACTTCGACAAGGATGTTGTCGTGGCGCCCACGCCCAGCATAGAGTGGGGCGGTACAAGTCGTGCAGCAGGACCCCAATAACGGAGGTCGGGACAGGGAACAAACAGGTAGGGGGGATACGTACCTGGCGCAATAGTTGGAGCAACGCTTGCATGTCTTGACGGCGCTAGTGAGCTCCTTGCCACGCCCCTGCTCGACTAGCACAAACCGCCAGCGCTCATCTAGCACCTTCTTGACCTTTTCGGGCACGTTGACAATTTGAGACGTCGGGATCAGGTCGTAGTTCTTCTGGATGTATCTGTCATACAGCTTTTCATACCAGAAGCAGTCGGGCGTGCGTCGATAGTCGTCCAGGTTGCTGATTTCGGCACGATGAAGAATCCGACATTTGCCGCGGAGCGAGGTCAAGGACTGGATATCGGAGTGCATCGTCGCAAAAACCAGCCGCATATCGTCATATCGACGGCCAATATCTTTGGGCCGGTAGAACCAATTGACGCGGATAGAATGCACCGGGTTGGTCTTCTTGCCGCCGACGTGGAGGAACTCCATGATGCGAGCAAGGTAGTATGGCTCGCCAGCTGGCTCGCACACCAAGTAGACCTGATCTGTGAATGCATGTTAGCGAGTCTCGTCCATGAGAGTCTTCAATTCTGCGCGACAGTCAAAGCGCGGTGGTGCAATGCGTGTGTCGCTGCTGGGCTGGGCCGCGCTGCGCTGGGTTTCTCAGATTGCGTCTCACGCGCCGACCGGCGGATCGTGTGATGATCGCCAAGTGGCTGCCTGCCACATCCACAGCCAGCCACCACCACGACGGCTGCTGCCAGCCAGTACGTACCATTTGCCTCCAAAGTTGTCCCATCGTCGGCGACCAGTCGGTCGCCTTGCTGCAGGCGTGCCTCGGTGTCTGAAAATGATAGCACATTCGTTTCGGGCCACGGAAACGTTGACGATGAATTCTGTGCGGACGAGGCTGCTCGCTTGGACGCGGTGGCGCCAGCTGGCGTGCTACCACCGGTGCTGGATGCCTGTTGCGCCGCAGTCGCAGCCTTGCGCTTCCTTGACGGCTGGGTCGAGACCGTCGTCTGTTCTTTTGATTGCGACGCGTTTTGTCGGCTGGGAGTCTGCTCTTTGGACCCGTTTTGGGATGCGGCTGGTTTCGCATCCTCACCTGACGCCTTGCGCGAAGTCGCGTTACCACGATCGCACTGGGAAGCAGCCTGCGTCTGGCGCGCCGACTTTTTGGCGTCCGCGTGATCATAATCATACATTTCGGCGTCATAGTCACGGTCCTCGGCGTAATTAATCCGTGAATTGCCATTCCGATTGCGAGAGCGGGTGCCATAGCCGGCAGCCAGCTCCAGGCTGAGCTCCTTGTCGGAAGCCTCAGTCGATGCCATGGCGTTGGGCTCAACAGAACCGGGATTGCTGTCCGGATCGGCGCCCTTGGCCTCCTGCTGTGTGAGATTAGCAGCTGATTGACGGTGGCGGGCTGAGTACGTGTTTGGAAAGCATGAGAGAAGCAGGATGCAGATCGAGCTGGAAATTTACGTGGGCCACCCAGCAAACGCTTAATATGGAGGGAGAGCAGAATTTGAACCTAGACTTACACTTTGCTGGGCCATGACTACAACAGTGGTGCGTGAGATTCACTGGGGTGAGATGTGAATCACAGAGTCAAGAGGCATGCTATGCCTGAGGCGCGGTGAAATGGCACCGTCGCGTGCAGGATCCCGTTGATTATGAGGTCGGTCGAGCCAATGTGACTGTGGGGTGGCAAGGGATGGGATGAATGTATCGTAGCTGGAGAGGGCAGAATGGTCAGGGTGGGAAGGATACGCCTGAATCGGGTCAGTGTGAGAAAGCAAAGTCGGCAGGGTAAGGTATGGGAGGAAGATGGTGACGGGTGGAATGTCTAGCAGAGGCAGGAAGTGTAGGAGGAGGAAGAAGGCGGATGGGCAGGTGTGGATGCAGATGTGATGAGTGCCAGTGAGGATGGGAGTGGATGTGTGGCCTCGGGACCTACTAATAAGGTAAGGTACTTCTTGGGTCTTGAGACGGGGGACGCGGACGGGACTGGACTCCAGCCGGTTCGCTTCGTTGGTACCTACCGTACGAACGGACGATGGCGCGCGCGTGGGCTGGCGAGGTAGCAAGGCAGAGAGAGCAGGAAGATAGATTGGGCAAGGTTTGGTACGGTATGGTATGGTATAGCATAGACGGGACAGCATGGGCACCGTACGTACCACGTCTGGTCGTGTTGGACTTTGATCTGTAGAAGTTACTGAACTGTTGCTCCAGAGAGGGCATCGACGGTCACAATTACACACTCTCTAGCCGAGTGCAAGTGACGGTGGTGTGTGGAGGACAGAGAGTGCAGTGCGTCAAGTGACAAGTCGACAGGAAAAAGGCAGATGCTAAACAATTAGGCACGGCCCATCTTGAGGATTTGAATGCGCATTGGAGGGACTGGAATCAGACAGACGGACGGAGGCAGAGCGCAGAGCGGAAAGTCCCAAGGGCTCTTCCCGTCGTGCATTCTCTGGTGCGCCGTTCCAGTCGCTCTGTCCTGGTAGGTACGTATTCATTCTGGCGTGCCTTTGATGAGTGGTCGCCCACTGCCCAGCCTGGGGCTTTTTTCTTGGAGCACCCGGGTGTGGGCTCTGTGTCAGGTCGTGCTGCATGCTGCACTAACAGCATAAGGTGTCACGCAACGCCGATTCCAGATACCACACATTTTATATCTACTTCCCCTCGTCCCCTGCCGCTGTCCCCACGCGGGCATCCTGGCTTTGCACCAGCACCTCAAAAGCTTGCAACAACCGCAACGCACACCGTCTGGCAGATTCCCGCCCGCAGCCCAGTGGCCTTCCCTCCAATGCTTTTCCCTCCTTTGATGGACTAGAGGGCATCTCGACCCAGCCCGGAGGAACAAATGCTCCCCGTACACGTTAATCTTGCTTCCCGTCCCAAGGAGATCCGAATTCGTTCTTGAGACGATCGAGCCGATTGTATTCATAAGTCAGTCAATGATGCTCGACTGCACCTACGCTCGCCACCAACAAATGCCGGTATCAGTCTGCTTTGCTCCGACCTCGCCTTTGCTTGCCCTGTAGCAATAGTAAATTAAAAGCTGTCCTCGGGCTTGGTTGGAGTCAGTTTTGTCAGTCCAGCCAAGAGACTGTAGTGCGATCGGGCAGTGAGTGAGTGGGATAGCCTGGCTTGCAAGTTGGTGCGTGTCTCGCGCGATATCGACAGTGACACACCATCGCAGGGACCCGCTAATAAGCATTGGCCAGCGCGTTCTCAGCCACCCAGTGACACCAGACTCGGGGCAGAGATTACAATCAAGAGATGTTCAGACCGTTAGTGGGAACTGTCTGTCTGGATTCCTGTCCCATGTTCAGGAGGTCCTTACTATCGCGTGTCAAGTTCGTGGAAAATTACAAGGCGGCGCTAGTACCCGTCTGCCAGTGGGCTGGGTGCGGTGTGGCAATCCTGCCGCTTCCAGTCCTTCAAGGCATGCAATCAATTGCCCGCGGCAAGGTGATGATGACAGTGAGCGTGACAGAGGTGCCAAAGGCGCACAGATAATAGGCCTGGCGGTCATGCCCACCAGCCAGGAAGGAGACTTTACAAAATGAGATACCAGTGCATCCGCATTTTCCGCCACCCTCTCCCGGGCCCCGGCTGCCGGCGGTGCTTCTGGCTGGCTTGTTAATTACCTTGGCGTCAATCGCAGCATGATTGATGACGGGAAGGGGAGGGGAGCCTTGTCTGCTCGTCCATCATTACCGATCACCAAGGGCGCCCGCCCCGAAGCAGGATCTGATATATTAGGTCGAGGATCCGAGATCAGAGGCTGGACGCTGGGGCAGTGGCTTGCACAGTTAAGAAAGCATCACACTCAACCGCAATGATGGCTTGAGTAAGCTCCCGCTAGTCATGCTGGTCCAGAAGACGGACCTGGAGTTTCGGGAATCCACTAGGTGCCCTGCATCGTTGGTGTGTGGCCACGTTAGTGCCAAAAACGACGACAAGACTTTGTCGGGGATCGTCCAACCTTCCATGCGTACCAGCTGGCAGGCAGCCAACCGTGAGCGTGAGGAATATCAGTGTGCTGCCAGAACCAGACACACGCACGGAACGGCCGCTCCATGAACGCCCTGGTCCATGCCGACGGCGAACCCAATTTCACGACGTCAAATGCTCATGGGACGACGGATCCTGTGGTGCTGCGCAGCTCAAATGATGTCCGCGGTGATGACACCGTTGGTGTGGTCGCGGATAATCCTCCGGATGGCGCCACGGAAGGTGACAGAAGGCTCGTGCCCAGCGTCTTAACATGTATGCGCAGCACAGATATATTCATTTTCAATTCATTTCCCGCAAGCGGGGTGTTAGTTGGTGCAAAAATCTGGTGCGCGATGATGCCTCTGTGCCTACCCTGCACAGCATATGCAAAGGGTGCTGGCTACATCGCTGGCAGCTTCATAGCATTGCGCAAATGCTCCGAGTGGATGCTCTACCACTGCGCAGATTATTATCGCGTTCTCTTGTGCTATAACTGACTGATTTTATGTTTTGCGTGATTGTCTGTTTTGTCTTGCGCGCGTACGTACATTGAGCTGCACAAGGAGCGAATGAGCCGCAGTCAGAGTCCACAAACACTAGAATAAGTCTTTAACTAAACTCAAATAAACTTCGACGAGGCAAGCCAATCTTGAAATAAGCGTCGATGTTATGACTATGATGCGAGTCGACTGTCTCAGAATCGTCGTGCTGCTTTTTTGATGGACGTCGTTCGAATACAACCCCGACAAAACGGCACCGTGGGGCCGCACCCGCCGCTTGAGCACGCCGGCAATGTGACGCCACCCTGGTTTCGACAGCACAGGCAGTCAGCTGCGGCGAGCCGAACCAACACTCACCACGAAACTGCCAAGTTTGCCTGACGTGCGACACTGAAATTGATCAGACGAAGAACATGGCAAATTTCTCTCAGCGGGCGAGCTCTCATTTCACAGCGCTCATTGACAGCGCTGCTTGCTCAAATCTCAACTGTCGCGTATTCCCGGTGGTCTGGTTGGCGCAGGGTTTCTGCGGCCGGCCAATGGCGGGCCGTGGGGCTGGCCGCTGGCCTTGATCAGGCCCTGCAAATCGGCTGCGGTCTTTCAGGTCCCGCCAGCCAACCAGCAGCCGCCAGTCGCCCCTGCCTGTGTCAGGAACGCCCCGCGTCAGTGTGGCCCCGAGCATGTGGGCATGTACCAATCAGCGCTCGTCATTTCCACGCACTCGCCCCTAACCTGACGTCGCACCTGTCTTGGGCTTGATCATTGTCCGGTTACGCTGTCATTTTGGTACGAAGGGCGAGTGTTCGTCATTTATCAATACCAGAAGGATTACAAAAGATTTTACCACTCTAGATGCACGTAGATGCGCGCGTAGCAGCCAAAGGGAATGGGAGCGAAGCCCCGTGTCGCCCAGAGCCTGGGAAGGAAGGCTCGAACGATCTAATTATACCAAATACTAGAATCCGCCCACATTGCTCAGATGATAGCAAAAGCGAGACCGACGCGCATTCGCCTGAACTTTCCCAGCCCAGCCATTCAAAGAGCGTGCTTTGTGGTATCATCGTATCGCTCCAGGCCTATCCGTCGAAGCCTTGCAACTGTTCATGCACCTGGACGGTCACGTGGCCGCGCGCTTGCGCGCTTCCACGGTGGGCAACCCAACGCGGTCACGTCAACATCGATCCATACTTTCCAGGACCCGATTCGGTCCTCGCAGGCGAGATCGATAGCACCGTCCCAGCTCGCGTGCACGGCAAAATGACAATTCATAATCTGGAATAGACCGACAAGCTGCGCTCCCACAATACTTGGCCCATTTGTTGTCCAAATGGGGCTTTCTTGCGCCGCTCACTTCGCTCAACATGAAGAGCATGCAGGGCATCCTGCACCAGACAAGTGTGCAAAATGCCCAAGCTCAGTCAACTACCTTCACCTCAGCGACTGTCGTGGCCGGCCAGAAGAGAAGCTGGTCGGCTGCAGATGCTGGGCCACAGCAGTCAGGCTCGAAGCCCAGCGGATCTAATGGACCATTCCATAGATCGCTGAGCCTTCCCAACGGCCCAAGCAGACTGAAACCAGGCCGCATCGTCACCCTGAATCGATCCCAAGGTCCAACCGAGTATTCGCAACGTCAAGTGATGGCGGCGACTCCGACGGCCTCTACTGATCCTGAGCTGAGCCTCGGGCACCCAACATATGACCTACCCCCTCAACTGGTCAAGAACTTTGCATCCTTGGGGATCAACCAGATCTACCCGTGGCAGAAATCATGCTTAAAAGGACCTGGCTTGCTGGACGGAACAAAAAATCTTGTCTACTGTGCTCCAACAGGAGGTGGTAAATCCCTGGTTGCTGATTGTACGATTCGCCGCCCACAGCTTGTTACGCACTGGCTGACCACATATAGTGCTCATGTTGAAGCGTGTCATGGAGGAGAGGGGCTCAAAAGCCTTGCTTGTGCTTCCCTATGTTGCTCTTGTACAAGAAAAAGTGCGCTGGCTTCGTAATGTAATCAGTGGCGTGCGTCTCCCGAAACTACCCGAACAAGACGATGCAAATCGGATATGGCGGAGGAGAGCCGACGAGGACTCCATCCGAGTAGTAGGATTCTTTGGCGGAGGCAAAGTACGAGCAACGTGGGCTGACTTCGATATCGGAGTTTGCACCATGGAGAAGGTAAGCAAGCAGGTCTCTTCTCTGTCGCATGGGCTCAATTGTTCACCAAACAGGCGAATGCTCTCGTGAATGCGGCTATTGACGATTGTTCAATCTCGTCCCTGCGAGCCGTGGTACTGGACGAGCTACACATGATTGACGACGAACACCGAGGGTACCTCCTGGAGTTGATGACCACCAAGTTGCTCAGCCTTGAGCAGCCTATGCAAATTATTGCTATGAGTGCAACCTTGCCGGTATTTGCTTGCTGGTTGCCCCGCTGTGAATAGGTTGCATTATGCTGACAGTTGCAGAACATGAGCTTGATGGCCGAGTGGATCGACGGTCACTCGTACGAGACTCGCTATCGCCCAGTACCGATATATGAGCACCTCGTGTACGAGGGCAAGGTGTATCCGGCAGCCTCGACGGGAAGTCTTATCAGAACCGCTACACATCTGAGCACGCACACGCAAAGACCGAGTCAGGAACATATATCGCCACTGAAGGAAATTGAGAGGTCAGAGCATAAAGAGTTCCGCGACCCTGTTCTCAACGCGATCGTTGCTCTGACCGTGGAAACGGCGATGACCGGCTTTGGCGTGCTTGTCTTCGCCGGCAGTCGAGGCATGTGCGAGTCTGACGCGCGCCTCATCAGCCGCGCGATGCCCCAACTTCAAGAGATCAACCCGGCTATGCTGGACAAGAGATTGGATTTGTTGTCAGATCTGCGAAGTCTGAGCACCGGAGCTGACCCAGTGTTGGCTGAGACTGTCCTGTTCGGCGTTGCTTTTCATCGTATGTGTTGCAACTGAGAGATCCCTGGACGTGTACTGACGAAAGGCAGATGTGTGTCTGCGAGCTCCCGCCGTGGCTTTTTTGCTAATATCGGCACAGGCAGGCTTGACCACAGAGGAACGTGACCTCATCGCCGGTGCCTACGACGCCGGCACGCTGCTCGTTTGCGTGGCCACTTGCAGTCTGGCTGCCGGAATCAACCTGTAATCCACTCAGCCCCTGCGTGCTCAAGACGCTGTTACTGATGATCTCCAGTCCCGCGAGGAGAGTCATTCTCCATGGAGCACGAATGGGCCGTGACTTCGTAGGGCCAGCTCTTCTCAGACAAATGCGAGGTCGTGCGGGAAGACAAGGAAAGGTCCCCGTTGGGGAAACTCACCTTTGCTGTCGTGGTAGCGATCTGGAGCAGGTCGTCCAGCTTATGCACGCTGACCTTCCCGAGGTGTCCAGTTGCCTCGACACCGAAAACCGACGTTTGCAACGGTGCCTCCGCTCCATGGGCCACGTGAAGTTGAAAACACTAACCTCTATAGTGCCCTCCTTGAAGTTATTTGCACCCGTCTGGCCAATAGCTACGAGTCTGTGCGTGACCATTTTAGACGCTCGCTTCTTCGACATACCCACGGTATAGAGCACGTGGACACATTGCTGGAGGCTAGTGTTACCGAGATTGAACAACTGGAGTTCATCACGAGAGACGAGCATGGGAATTATGTTGCTACTCAGTTGGGCAGGGCCATTGTTGCTTCGGCAATAGATCCGGACGATGGCGTCTTCATCTACAAAGAGTTGAGCCGCGCTCTTGCAGCATTTGTCATGGATGGAGATATGCACATCTTGTACACCTTTACACCAGTGCAGGACTCTGGTGTTCCTGTCAACTGGCAAATCTTCAGAAACGAAATGGAAGGCTTGGACGAGAGCGGCATGAGGGTGTTGAACTTCCTCGGGATAAAACCGACAGTTGTGTTGAGGCTGTAAGTCCACTGGCTGCAGTGAATGTGATCCTTACTGACATATCATGTAGCGCGCAGGGCGCAGTGCTCAAAGAGACGACCAAGGAGGAACGGGAGCTTGCAAGGGTATACCGTCGCTTCTACTTGGCCTTGCAGCTCCGGGACCTCTGCAACGAGATGCCTATCCATATTGTCGCGCGAAAGTACGACATGCCTCGCGGATCAGTGCAGAACCTTTCACAGACCTGCCAGGGCTTCGCAGCGGGAATGATTAAGTTTTGCGATGCTATGGGATGGGGGTAAGTGCCACTGGGAAGAGCTCTCTTATGCGTCCGTGTTGACCAAGATGTAGGGTCTTTGCAGCAGCACTGGACCACTTTTCCGATCGATTGATGGCTGGCGCACGGACAGACCTTCTTGAGCTAGCCAAGATCCCCTTTATCAAGAGCAGGACAGCGTAAGCGGCAACACTCGTTCACGATCTGAAGATGGTACTGACGCACCCTAGCCGAGTCTTTTGGGAGAGTGGGTTCAAGAGCATTGCCTCCATCGCAAACGCAGATCCGAGGGAATTGTTGCCCGTACTGATACAGGCGCAACCCAACAAGATCCGACTGAAGGGGCAGGCCGAAGAGAAGTACGAGGAGAAGCTCATGGCCAAGGCGAACGTCATCTCCAACGGAGCTAATAGGCTCTGGCGTAGGTTTCCCCCCTCTTGCTGTGAGTACCTTGCTAATGTGTTGCAGAAATCCAAATGCAAGCCGAGATGGATTTGGAATAGCATTTACATAGGATCATGATTGTACGAACGTAGGACCAAGCTTAAGGAGTGGCGTTGGTAGCGGTCTGGTAGTGTACGTGAGACAACGTGCCCCACTATTGCAGTGTCGGTGACGGTGATCCGTCTGTCTGTCCCTCTCCTCGATCTGGCTGCTCGTCGAATCGCCTCTGCGTCAACTCAAAAGACCATCGACTGATTGCCATGACGCTGGTCGTCGTTCCACACTTGGAAACCTCAAAAAAGGCCGCCACTTCAATCAGTTCCGCGCCAACGCCAAACGCGGGCGTGCCGAAGGAGACAATGCCTCTTCCCAAGCAGCACCCTATTCTCTCCGCGACACTCCTCTCCTCGACATCTCACCCTGTTCCCGGACAACTGCTCATTACTGAGCTGACATTCCGCGTACCCCTTGACTACGCCCAGCCAGACGGCCAGCAGATCACCCTTTTCGCCCGGCGCGCGCAGAAATACACTCGTCCTCTCACCAAAGGCAACAGCGATGGTAGCGATGAGGAAAACTCTAACCCTTACATTGTCTATCTCGAAGGCGGACCCGGGTTTGGCAACCGGGCCCCCCAGGATCATCCGCTCACCCGCCCAGCTCTCACCCGGGGCTACCAAGTCCTCATGTTAGACCACCGCGGGACGGGCATGAGCACACCGGTTGGTGCGGAAATGCTGGCGCACAAGTCCACTGATGAGCAAGTTGAGTACCTCAAGCTCATGCGTCAAGACAATACAGTTCGCGATTGCGAGGCCGTGAGGAAATGCCTACTAGACTGTCAGAAGGGCGACGAGGCCAAATGGTCGATTTTCGGGCAGAGTTACGGGGGCTTCGTGGCGATGAGCTACCTGTCCATGCACCCCGAAGGCCTCAAAGAAGTCTATCTCACAGGAGGTTTGGCGCCTGTCAAGAGGAATGCTGACGAGGTATACACAGCTGTGCTGCCAAGGGTGGCCAAGCGCAGCGAGGAATACTATGCAAAGTTTCCCGAGGACGTTAAGAATATTTGGGACATCGCGGACTACATTACCGAAAAGAAGGGCGGCAAGGTTGCTCTGCCCTCTGGCGGTGTACTGACCGTTGCTCGACTGTTAACCATTGGCATCGCTTTCGGTGGCCATGGTGGCTTTGATGGCGTCCACAGCACAATCTTGCAGCTCAAGAACTCACTCGACTTATTCGGGTTCCTGACGCGCGCGTCTCTGGCGCCTCTCGAGTCGTACACGCCGTTCGACACGAACATTATCTACGCCATCCTCCACGAGGCCATTTACTGCAATGGTCCTGGATATGCGTCGAACTGGGCCTCTCAACGCGTCGGCGAGCAACACCCCTCGTATTCGTGGCTCAAAGGGATCAAGCTATCGCCAAGAGACAAGCCACTCTACTTCTCGGGGGAGAACATCTTCCCCTTTGATTTTGAGACCTATCCTGAGCTGAGCGAGTTGCGCGCGGCTGCGCACAAGCTGGCCAAGTTCGACCAGTGGGAGTATCTGTACGATCTGGAGCAGTTGAGCAGGAACGAGGTGCCCGTGTATGCAGCGTCCTATGTCGACGACATGTATGTCGACAGCGACTTTGCGCGCGAGACGGCGCGGTTGGTCCAGGGGACAAAGGTGTTTGAGACAAACGTCTTGTATCACAATGCGCTGCGGGCCAAGGCGGACGAGGTGCTGCAGCAGTTGTTCAACTTGCGGGATGATGTGATGGACTAGAGTCACACTGCTACTAAGATAGATTCAAAAAGACCGATTGCTCAATCTCGGACGCAATCGAGTCAATCGACGGACTGGCTGGGACAATTGACTGAAGGAAGGAAGCCAGAGGTTGGTGACGATGGTTCTGAGCCTGGCCCCTAAAATAGATTGTGGCGGTGGTGGCTTGAGCAGGATGCACTACGTAGTACCCGTACAAGGCAGAAGTAGTCACACAAGGCCCCGCCTTTACCCACTTTTAACCCTGCAGCACCGTGCCACGCTAAGTATAAAATCAGAGGTCTCGCGGCCTTTATCCAATTTTTCTTCTTTACCCTTACAATGGACTCAAGCTATCTCTCATTGGGCGATAGAAATGGAACCCTCCCACCTGAAGACGAATCAGAGCCAGCCGATACTGAGTTAGCCCCACCACAGCACTCTTATCTTTCACGTGATCAGTCAATTCAGGCTGCCACCCTCTATCAGCACACTCAATCAAGCCTGCGAGAAACAGCCGACCGGCTAGGCTTTACGCTACAACAGGTCCGGACTGCTGTGAAGAGCCCCAACGCCCCGGAAGCGGAAGGGCCGGCCACCCGCTCCAACGCCTGAGCAAGTAGAGCAACTGATTGAGTTCGTGTGCGCCTCTTCGGCCAATAGGAGAATATCATACAAACTTTTAGCGGAGCGCTGCGGTCTCGGCGTATCAGAATGGACAATCCGAACTGCGCTGTGGAACAACGGGTTCCACAGGCGTATTGCGTGGCGCAAGCCTCGGATCGCTGAGGCGACCAGAGTCAAGCGGCTTGCATTTGCAGAGTCCCACCTTAAGTGGACTCTTGACCAATGGAATGAGATCCTTCGTACTGCTGAGTCTTGGGTTTGTGGGGGCCGCCATACCCGAACATGGGTTACTCGCCGAGAAGGGGAAGAGCTGGACCCGACCTGCGTTATTGAGCGTGTTCAGCGCAAGAAGGGATGGATGTTCTGGGGCTCTTTCAAGGGTCACCAGAAGGGCCCTTATCTCTTTTGGGAAAAGGAGTGGGACACAATCACTGCTGAACGTTATTCTGAGCGAATCGTTCCATTGATTTGTGCGTTCAATCGCCAGGAGCGGCAGCACGGGCGGACGCTATACCTAATGCCAGGACAATACGTCTGATGCACTAAAGGCAGATCAAACAGGTGGAAAAGGATGATCAATTCAAACGTCCTTGGGCAGCCAGTCGGCCAGCCTAAATAGGCATGGCGCGGCTGCTCCTCGGATCGTGTGCGCGCAGCCTGATTGGCTGCGGCGTTATCAATGCTATCTTATCGCTATCGTATCTGTGCGTGTACGTCACCAGCACGTGACACCCACACACAGCGCAGATGCATCTTGGTTGAAGGGCCACACAACCTCCAAAGTGTATCAACGTCGTCGCACTCCGCTGCAAGACCCTTGAAGAGCTTGAAGCTCGCGGGATATCATTTATCGGATTGCCGCCAAATTCGCCTAATTTAAACCCAATTAAGTGGGTATAGGATTAGATAAAGAACTAGATTCAAAAGCATCATCCAATCGAATTGCTCGAATACGATCAATTACGGGACTTTGTGAGAGAAAGCACAGGAGGCTATTCCAGAGGATTACCTAGCTGAGTTAATTCTATCAATGCGGCAGCGGTGCGAGGCTGTCATTGCAGCCAATGGGATGCATACTAGATATTAAAAAATGGGTATTAATTACATAAGCAGATAGTGACATTGTGATACACTAGCATACAAGGGCGACGATATCATCGTTAGCCGCTCCAGCGAGACATCCAATCTCTACAGCGAAGAAGAGAGCAGCATGGACACTCTTGAAATGGATTGGAATGTCGAAGACATAACTAGGTTTATGCTATCCGCATCGCCAAGTATGGCGAGCGCAAGATCAGAGATGGCGAGCCCCCTTCCAAGCGCAAGTAGACAAAGTTGGGATGCTAGTCTTCCAGCGCTGCAGAAGCTTTTGGCAGAATCGTCCGTGAGCTTGTTCTACCAGACTGGTAAGTCATAGATCGTTACGCAAAAGCTGCGCACATGCTGCGCGGAAAGAGAGAACTTACGGCGGCGGCGGCAATGGGGGCGTCGCCCTCAGCCTCTGCCTGGTGTTCAAGCTGCGGTACAATCGGTTTAACCGCGAAGTCGCTGCGCAGGCGCACCGCGACAGAGGGAATAAACTTACAGCAGCGCGCACAACGGCGAGAGCGATAGGCGCGGGGGAGTGAGACGCAGACATCTACACCAACATCAGCGAATTAACCTGCCGGGCGGTTAGCACATAACAACGGATGGGCTAAAGAGAAGTCATTACAAAATGAGCTCTCGATATTACAGGGTCGTTACCTAGGGGTTGGTGACGATGTTGGCCCCTGGGTAGCGTATCCTCACCGACTTCTCGACAAAGCCGCTAGCGCTAATGCGCAGAATCTACGCTCCATATAGTTAAGCGGTATGTATTAATAGCTACCTATATAAAGTGCGACTTTTCTTACAGCCTTATGCAGCGCTCAGGCTTATAATCCTTCTAGCTAATAATCTGTGTTCAGATTGACACCATGCCTGACAACTTTGATTGTGGCGGTGGTGGCTTGAGCCAAGATGGACTAACCCGAAAGCGGACTAGCAGCAGTGCCCACCCATCCAGTCTGACATGCGCCGCGCGCAGCACCGCGAGTCGTCAGCTCTGTCTGTAACTTATCAAGTTGTCAGTCGACATTTACTTCTTTGATGGTCAGGTGGTATAACCGTTGTTGCTCCTGATCCTGTCAATTATTATCTTCCCAAGCGTTTCAGTTGAGCCTCTCACGACCGGCAGTGGCATCCGAAGCCAACAGAAACGAAACATCACGGCAGCGCCAGCTTCAAGCGCAACGACGACAGACAACCAACTTGGTCGGGCCTGTGCGACAGCTTGAGCTTCTGCTCTGATACAACCTCCCAGCTCGATCTACCCGGACTAGCGTCCCACTCTAGATAATGGCGCAACTAGTCCTCGACCTCTTCTACTCGTTAGGCAACTGCCTCAACTGCTTCCCTGGCTCGCCGACCCTCAAGATCAACCAGCGCAGCTTCAAGATCCTCCGCCTGCTCGGCGAGGTTCGTATCCCCTCCCCTCTTCCCCTCCGCTACTGCCAGGTAGCAGCTATCAAGCGGTGACTTACACGGTGGTGAAAACAGGGCGGCTTCTCCTACGTCTACCTCGTCGAGGACACAAACTCCCACCAGCTCCTCGCCCTCAAAAAGATCCGCTGCCCCTTTGGCGCCGAATCCGTCCAGCAGGCCATGCGCGAGGTCGACGCCTACGCCCTCTTCGAACACATACCCACCATCATCTCGGCCGTCGACCACTCGGTCGCCACAGACCGCGGTTCCGGCACGGGCGACGATGCCGCCAAGACAGTCTACGTCCTGCTGCCCTACTACAGGCGAGGGAATCTGCAGGACATGATCAACGCCAACCTCGTGAACCACGCGCATTTTCCAGAGAGGAAGCTCATGGTCCTGTTCCTCGGCGTGTGCAAGGCGCTGCGGTCGATGCACAACTACAAGCCCGCCGTGCAGAGAATGGAAATGGGCACAGAGGAGCAGGGAAGCAGCAACCAGACGAGGGGGAAGAGGACGGAGGAAGAGGAGCAGGGCGAACAGGAGAGACCACTTATGGAGGACGAGAATCACATCACGCAGGGCCGAAAGGTGCAAGCGTACGCTCATCGTGATATCAAGCCTGGTGCATCCCGCCCCGTCCATCTTGCAATAACCTGCAGTCACTAACAAAAGCAAAAGGCAATATCATGATCGACGACTCCGGCTCAACGCCTATCCTCATGGACCTCGGCTCCGTCGCGCCGTCCCCGATCCCAGTCACATCCCAGTCTCTCGCACTTCAGATCCAAGATACCGCCGCCGAGCACTCGACCATGCCGTACCGCGCCCCGGAGCTTTTCGACGTGCGCAACGGCTCCGTCATCGACACAAAGACCGACATCTGGTCCATGGGCTGCACTCTATACGCCTGTCTCGTCGGCAAGTCGCCCTTTGAGATGCGCTCGGACGAGACGGGTGGCACCCTCAGTCTTTGCGTACTCGGCGGCGATTGGAGGTTCCCCGACGAGGGCCCCCAGGGCGTCAAGAGGACAAACAGCATGAGGCACCAGGGTCAGTCGCCAAACGGTGCTGGCACGCAGAACGTCGAGATCAGCGAACCAATCCGCGAGGTTGTGCGGAAATGTCTCAAAGTTGAGCCCGCAGAGAGGCCCGATATTGACGAGTTGATCAACCTGGTGGAACAGGTCATTGAGGGCCTACCGGAGGATGCAGAGTGAAATGTTGATGTCTGCCACAGCGTCCTGACTCTACACAGCTGTACACTTCTTTGCAGCCGTTCGCGGCTGGGTATATCTTCTGATTTTATGGGCATTGGCGTTTAGGAGACGGCAACCCGATTTTCCATAAGGTACTGCTAATAAATGTACTTGGTGTCAACTGCGTTCATTTGCCACTTTGTTGATCTAGCCCACCTGCCGCCCTATCCCACTCGCTCATGTGTATCGCCTGAAGCGAATTCCAGCCTCCCCAGGCTCGTCCTGTCCCTAAAGCTCGAGCTTGAAGGTGGCCACTTCGAACGGTCTCAATTTGATCGGGATCGTGCCATCCCTTATGGAGACCTCACACAGCTCGTCTTCCAAGATATTGACCTGGGTCGCGCGCTTCACGTGGAATTTTGTGTGGAAAGTACCCTTGCTGTGGCCACCGAGGGATTCGTATACGCGCAGAATGATGCTTTGGCCCTTGTTCACCCTCAGACCCTCGTGGCGAGTCACGTCATCATCATCGTGTCCACGCTTGATTGTGTCGAGCACAAGCGAAGCCGACTCGTCTTCATTGACCAGTTTGATGGGGCACCCAGCCGACTTGGTCAGGGCTGCCTCGCCCCCGGAGCAAAGCTTGAGCGGGTTGTTGAAGGCATACGCTGCCCTGACTGTCGAAGAGCCCAAGGAACCATTGTGCGGGAAGATGGCCCAGCGGATGTTGTGGCGACCCATGTCTGCGTGGGCGTCAGGAGCCTTGGGCGAGCGTAATAGTGAAAGCCGCATCACCTTGCCCGCTGTGGCGAAGCCATATTTACTATCATTCAGAATAGAAACGCCATAGTTATGCTCTGAGAGATCAGCGAATTTGTGGCAACATACTTCGAACTTGGCCATGTCCCAACTGGTGTTGTAGTGCGTTGGGCGCTTGGTAATGCCGTATGCTGTCTCGTAAGATGCTTCCGTGTTGACAACATCCACCGGAAATTCAACCTTGAGGAATTTGGAATTCTCGTGCCACTCGACTTCAGCTGCACAGTCGACCTCCGACGGCTGCCCCTTGAGCGATGCCGACAGAGTAATGTAAGACTTGAGTGAGCTGTTCTCGCTGATCGTGACATCGGTGACCAGGGTGACCTTGTGTGCCTTCTTCTCATGAATCTTGGTTGATCCGTACTGGAGCGAGCGTTTGGTACCCAGGTGGTATACTTCCACGTCCCATGCCTGCCAGTACAGCGGGACGTCGTCAAAGATCACAAACTTGTTGGCCTCGCCACCCTTGTCGATAACTTCGCGCTCGTTGATGCGGTCGTAGAGTGAGACAATGACACCGTTCGTAACGACCACGCGCAACTGGTCGTTCTCGACAACAAAGGAATTGGTGCCTGTCTCGTGGACAGTGACAGCAGGCTGTTCCTCCTGTACGTGGAAGGTCCTCACTGCCAATGTCTGGCCGTCACCACAGGCAACGCCAACCTCAGTCTCGGAAATCTCGACGAGCTCTTTGCGATGCCAAGGCAAGGTGTTAATGGCAAGTGCCTCGCCCAAAGTGGCAGGCCTAGCATCAGAAATGCCCGATAGCTCATACAATTCCTTCAGAAGCTTGTTGCCAGTCTTGAGCACTTCAGCGTACAAGCTGTCAGAGTCGTCGTAGCACATTTCAATGCAGCTGCCGGGCAGACAGTCGTGAAATTGACACAGGAGCACATTCTCCCACATATCATCAATGTCCTTGGTCGGATACTGATATTTCTTGGTGCTGAGAGACGCAAAGGTGGCCAACTGCTCAATGTCCCGCAGCATGACTTCTGTCTTGCGGTTATAGTACTTGTTGTTGGCCTGCGTGGTGTACGTGCCACGATGAAGCTCAAAGTATAGTTCGCCGTACCATGTGGGAAACTCCGAGGCCTTGGACGACAAGCGGTCAAAGAAGTCATCGACAGTGTTGCCGAGCTTCACCTTTGGAATACCGCCAATCGTGTTGCTGATTCCCGCGCACCGACGCAGCTTCTCGAGCTGCTCCCAAGTAGGGCCGCCACCACCGTCGCCTTTGCCGAAGAGGAGTAGGGAGGTGCTGTCGACAGCCATGGTTTTGTGCTGGGTGATGCTGCGCTTGACGTCGCCAAAGTTGGCCTCTGCTGTGTATGTCTCCGATGGTGGCATGTGGCAGATGACCTGGCTCCCGTCTGGACTCACCCACATGAATGTTGTGTGGGGGAAGTTGTTGATATTGTTCCAGCTCAATTTCTGGGTCACGAAGCGGTCCATGCCGGCGAGGCGGCACAATTGGGGGATTTGGCTGGAGTAGCCAAAAGTATCTGGCAGCCAGAATGTCCTGCATCTCGCCCCGAATTCTCGCTCGAAAAGGCGCTGGCCGTAGAAGAACTGTCGGACCAGGGACTCTCCGCTGGGCATGTTTGTGTCATGCTCAACCCAGCTACCACCAATGGGCATGAACTGACCAGTCTTCACCTTCTTTTGTACCCTTTCGTAGGCTGCGGGATAAAATTGCTTCAGCCACTTGAATTGCTGTGCTTGAGAGGCGGCGAAGGTGGCCTCGGGGTAACGGTCAAGGAGGTCACATTGATTTGACCAGGATCGAGCTACCTTGCGCTTTGTCTCGGCCCAGGGCCACAGCCAGCACGTATCAATGTGGCAGTTGCCGATGCCGAAAACCACCGGCTCTGCACCCGTCTCATACACACGATGAGAGTCAACATTGGGTCCAAGAATCTCCTGGGCCAGCTTGCGGCACTTGAGTATCGACTCCTGGTTATCAACCTGGAAGGTGTCCATGATTTTCATTGCAACGCTCAACGCTTTGTTCTGCTCGGCTGAATTTTCGGGCAGCTCTTTGGCGGCATCGCCAATCTCGTGCATGTCCACTTGCAACATACGCGCTTGCCAGTTCACAGAGACGATGTCTGCCTTTGCGAGTTGAAAGCGGCGATTGGAGTCTGGGGGCGCAATGCTCGTTTTACCGTCTGGAGCGTTCCCGAACATACCGTTGCAAGCCATTTCAACGTAGATGGTATGTTCTTTCCCATTGCAGAAGGATTTGGGGAGAACCCATTCAATACGTTCGCCGCCTCCTGTTAGACCTTGCAATGGTGTCCCATCTTCCGACCAGATCAGGCCTTCATTGTTCGCGTCCCAGTGCAGCTCAAGATGCTCGTCCTCGGCGATGTCGGTGGGAACAGTCAAGATGACTCTGAACCAATGAGTTGACCATGATGGACCAAATGACTCGCCAATGCGCGTCTCGCGAAACTCATGAGATGTCGCTTCCTTGAACGTGGGGCGCTCCTGGCCCGGCGCATCCCACACAGACAACTGAACATGTGGACAGCCTGAATACCTGGCTTTGTTGAGGTTTCTGTGGCGCTGTTAGCTCAGACAACTTGATCAAGCATTAGGGACAAACGCTAGCAAGTTAATTTTCTCGTACTGTCCGTGGTTATAGAACAGGCCGATGCGCTCCTTGAGAATGCTGGTCTTGGGAACGCCTACAGGTCTCGATACCATCCGAGGGTAGGAGTAATCACTCCGAGACTCGTTGCCGCCACCCATTTCGTAGTCGTCTGGGAGATGACCCGGTGCAGCTGGTGCCGAGAGATTTGACTGTCGACGCAGCTTGCCTGGCAGTTTTTGGTGTTGGCCGGCAGCGGCGGCGAGCTTGGAATAGACAGCCGAGAAGGGAAGTAGGTGTTGAACGGGGTAGTGGACCTCCGGGATGCTGTCTGTGTCGCTTGAGCAAAGGGTCAGCTAAAGTGATGGGTTTGAAATAGTTCCCCAAGCCATGTAATGATTGTATTGATCCGAGAGCTGAGTGCGCGCTGTGAAACTTAACGACAAGAGTTTGAAATGGAGCTCTACGCTTTGGGAACGATCTGGTGATGATGATGCGTGTGGGTGGTGGTAAGGGACTGGACTCGGGAGTGGCTGCCACTTGACCTCCCGGTCAGCTGCTTTGCGGGGGAGTGTGTGCCAAGAATCGACTGCTGCAGCAGGGGACCAGACTTTGCTAAAAGGTGTGGAGGATTCTTTCGCGATTCGGGCAATTGGCCCAGCAACTGACTTCAGATTGCGGGAAACACTCGGCACGCGGCCTGAAAGATGCCCAAGACTGACCTCATTTTTGCCTGCCCTTGGACGACTGGAGCTGCAATACCCTGGGGCGCGGCGAATATGTATACTGAGGCATGCACGTCGAGGGAAATGGTGAATCAATGTCATGAAGATAGCATGTGAAGCACCAAGAAAGCGGCGAGTCGGTATTACCCAAGACTAAGGTAAGATACCTTAGCCATTGGGGACTGGAACCTTCATCCAACGAAGGCAAGCACATTGTGATAGGTAGTGCTTGCCATCCCCTTTCACGCAGCGTGCCTTCCCACTGACAATGGAGTCGCTCGACAAAGGTACAAGTTGGAAATTCATCTCAGTTGCTGACACACTGTGCGGAGAACTCCCGTGAACGCCACAGGACATACTGTTCAAATTAATCTTCGACACTGTGGCTAGGATTACAGAATTTGGTACTTTCTCAATCCTGTACCTTCAACACCCATCTTAACCCTACGTCGTTGATGACTGGTGAACGAACGCTGCTGGCCCATTTGGAGCACCTGACGCAGGAGACACCCACCTATCCTGCAGCACTTTCCATCTGTAGCCTTCAGCCCTCATGCTACGCTCCTATGGTCCCGTCAGGCTTCGTGCTCGCATTCCGAAAAACACCCTTCTGACCGCCAAGGGTGTCCACTATAGCTCACGACTATGTGGCATCGGACCCGCTACCCGCTGTCCGGCCCAGACACACCAACTCAGAAGCAAGAAGACCAAAACCACAGTCAGTCTCGCAGACTTGCCCCAAGGGCTCGTGCATCAGCCCCAAGAACACGCTCTCCAGCAAGAGACCGCCCAAGATGAGCCGCCCTACCCAACAGTGGTGCTACAGGCACGGCGAAACATGGACAAATTCGACAACTGCGTCCTATTGACTCGCGTGGGCGGGTTCTATGAATTGTACTTTGAGCATGCCGAGGAATACGGACCTTTGCTCAATATCAAAGTGGCATCCAAGAAAACCAATGCGGGCCCTGTACCTATGGTGAGTACGTACAGAGCACACGGGAAAGATTTTGCTGACCACAGTAGGCTGGATTTCCCTTCTTCCAGCTAGACCGCTTTCTCAAAATCTTGGTGCAAGATCTCAGTCGCTATGTTGCCATTGCCGAGGAATTTCCAAACGATGCTCCTGAAAAGGTTAAGTCTGGAGGTCTGATGCACGATCGCAGAGTCTCTCGGATTATCACTCCGGGGACACTGATCGACGAGAATTTCATGGACCCTTATTCCAACAACTATGTCATGGCAATCCACATAGGTGAACCTGAGAGCCCAGACGCGGCCGATCACCCGGTGCTCCCGCTGGGACTGGCATGGCTAGACTTGTCTACTGGCCACTTCTTCACCCAAAGCACAGATGTTGCATCCCTGCCATCCATCCTATCGAGGATCGGACCGAGAGAAATCGTGCTCGACCAAAGTTTGGAGCCGCAAGTGGATCATCATGTCTTCACCATAATGGCAGAGGACCGGCATCTGATTACGTATGCGCCTGGCGGAGGCTTGGCCAACATGGCAGACTGGACGCCGTACTTGGAGTCGGACATTCCTCCGAGCATCCAGACAAGCTTCACGCAGGATGAGGTACTTGCCGGGGGTCTTGTTCTGAATTACGTCAAGGACCGACTTCAGGGACTTACTATGAAGCTCCAGCCGCCTCTTCGACACGAGAACATGGAGATTATGAGTATCGACAAGAATAGTCTCCGAGCACTTGAGATCAAGCATACGATACGCGACGGCGCGTTCCGAGGCAGCTTGCTGCATGCCATCCGCCGAACCGTCACCAAGAGTGGCGCTCGCCTACTTAATGAGTGGCTGAGTGCCCCGTCGACATCACTTGAGGTTATCAAGCGCCGCCAGGACCTGGTTGCGCAATTTACCCAAGACGTCGATCTACGCGACTCGGTAATCATGCTCCTCCGGAGAAGCTCTGACTCCCAGCGCTTGGTGCAAAAATTTGCCTTGGGACGAGGTGATCCCGACGACTTGCTCGGGCTGGCAGCCACGATCCGCGCAACTGAAGACATTGTCACTTTACTCAAGCACGCCAGTGCATCGGCCAATCCCGGTGCAGATGATTGTCTCACTTTCCTCACTTCACGTATCAGCCTCGAGGAACCCCTGAAACTCGCCCAGCGGATTAAGGAAGCCATCGATGAAGAAGGTGTGGTTCACCAGCATGAGATTGAGGACTCAACGACGGGAAAGGTCCTTGCCTTGGCCGAGGACGTGGTCTCATCTGAAGGCGAAGAAGCAGACATGAACTTGCTTCCTAAGGGCAAGCGCAAAAGACCCACGTCACTCAAGGAGCATTACTCGGAGGAAAGTGAAGCCTGGGTCATGAAGCCAGGGGCGAGCTCTGGACTTCAGAAGCTCCATGCTCAACTAGCCCAATTGCAGCAGGAGAGGATGAAACTTGCCGAGACCCTTCGCAACAAACTGGGCGCCTCTTCGTTGACCTTGCGCTGGACACCAGGCCTGGGACACATTGCTCACATCAAGGGGAAAGACCTCAAGCATGTGCCGGTCGTGCGAACCTTGTCGTCGAGCCGTTCCACACGCTCATTCCAGATTCCGGAGTGGACCGCACTGGGGCAGCGTTTGGACCAGACTCGCTTCCACATTCGTGCTGAAGAGCAGCGAGTGTTCCACTCGTTGCGAGAGCATGTTGTGACCAACCTGGTCAAGCTCCGTCGCAGTGCCGCAGTATTGGACGAGCTGGACATTGCGACATCCTTTGCAAAGCTAGCCGAGGAGCAGAATCTCGCCCGACCGCAGCTGACCCACTCCACCTCACACACGATCATAGGTGGCCGTCATCCGACTGTCGAAGGCGGCCTGTACGAGCAAGGTCGCAGCTTTGTACGCAATGACTGCCTCGTCGGTTCGCCCTCAGCAGGCAGACTGTGGCTGATCACCGGACCCAACATGGCTGGCAAAAGCACGTTTCTGCGCCAGAATGCTCTCATCACCATTATGGCTCAGATCGGTTGCTATGTTCCTGCCTCTTTCGCGGAAATCGGCATTGTCGATGCCATCTTCAGCCGCGTGGGATCGGCCGATAATCTGTATCGCGATCAAAGCACCTTTATGGTGGAGATGTTAGAGACAGCCCAGATCTTGAAGCAGGCCACGCCTCGCTCTTTTGTCATCATGGACGAGATCGGCCGGGGCACGACCCCCGAGGACGGCACAGCTGTGTCATACGCGTGCCTACATCACTTGGTCACGGTCAACCAATGCCGCACACTCTTTGCCACGCATTTCCACGGCGTGGCTGATCTTGCAGCAGAGGAAGGCCTGGGGATCGGGGGTAACGGTGTGGTGAAAACATATTGCACAGATGTAGAGGAAGATGGGCAGAAAGGCTTTGTCTACATTCACAAGCTACGAGAGGGCATTAATCGACAGAGTCATGCCCTCAAAGTGGCGCGCCTGGCCGGTATGCCTGACCTAGCAATGGCAACGGCCAAGCGTGTGCTGGAGAGAGACCCCGCGAACGGAGCCTCCTAAGGACTACAGAAAGACAATCGGGAGTTTCGGTTCCTTTGTACTGTTAGCCACGATACCCTTGGAAATAGGCTTGAGGAATTTTGGTGTAGTAGACTGTGTCATAAGGTGTTGTTGATATAATGCGTGTCATCAGGAGATCAGGGTTAAAAAGCTCATGATTATTTCTTAATCATTCAGGTAAGAGGTGAAAGTGGCTGAAATTTGACTAACCTTTTCAAAGTACGACACAGATTGTGCAGTCACACATCACCATCGCTGTCATGTCGTGCGTGTTCATTGGATATCGTGTCTCATTGTCCCGTTGCGATGGGTTCAGCCGACCGACCGGCGATCTATGTAGCTCTCGACTGAAGATCATATCTCGTGATCCGAAGTCATGACTGCGAATCCCGCACATCGTGACTGTGAAACGTGTGGCTTTCCGTTTAATCGCTGCGAGACGTGTTAGTGGGGAGAAATGCAGGGGTGGGCGAGATGGTACATACAAAAGACCACCGAAGCCAGACTCGTCAGAGTCCTCAGCCTCCGACTCCTCCTTCTTGGCGTCACCAGCAGCCTCAGTGGTAGCGGCAGCACCACCAGCAGCGGGGGCGGCAGCGGCGTAGGCGTCGGGGTTGGCGATGCGGTCCTTGAGCTCCTCAATCTCGGGCCAGCTGAACTCGGTTTCGATGGCGACAGCCAGGATGTTCTTGTAGCCGTTGATGACGGAGTGCATGACCGAGGGCAGGGTGGGGAAGCCAATGGCCAGCGAGACGGAGGCGATGGTGGTGATGGCTGTGGCGAAGGTCTTGAGGAGCTCCTCCTCACCAATGTCGAGGACGGAGGCGGGGAAGGTCTGACCCTCGTCGTAGACCTGAGCAATGCCCAGACCGTAGGTGAAGGGAGAGATGTTGAGCATGTTGAGCAGGGTGGCCTCGGAGGGGCCGACCTTGCTGCCGGCCTCGACGAGCTTCAGATCAGTGGTAATCTCAATGGTACCACGGGCAATCTTGGTGGGGACACCGAGGGCCTGGAAGAAGGAGGTCTTTCCGGGCTCCATGCCGGTGTTGCCAGCGGGGATCCACACGTCTGCGGGCGCGAGGGCACCAGCACGGGCAGGGGCGGCGACACGGTTCTCGAGGATCTTGTCACGGATCTCCTTAAGGTCGCCGTTGGTGAAGACGAAGCCAACGTTGCCCTTGACGTGGGGCAGGAAGCGCTCATACTCAGGGTGGTCGGGGATGAAGGTCTTGAGGGCACGGCGAACCTGTCATTGGGGTCAGCATTTTCCAGTCTGCTGTCGCGAAGTTCGAGAGTCGGTACCATGGTGTTCTTGCCCATCAGGACGACAGCCTGCTTGCGGAGAGCATGGCGAATCTCGTGCATCTGCTGGGACGAGACATTGTCGATCTCGACAATGAAGACGGACTTGTACTCCTCGAGCAAGCCCTGGAGCTTGTCGAAGTAGCCGCTCTTGTTGATGTTCTTGCCCCCCATATCTTCTTATTTTATGAAGGCAGGTTGTTTAAGGGCAAGGGGTATCTCTTTGATGGTCTGTGGGAGATAGCAAGGTGTTTGGGTGGTTGACGGAACCAGAGTCGCGAGGCTTTCTGAAATTTCGCTACTATTTTCCGTGCGGGCACGTCCAGCCAGTTAGGGCTCGCTGCGCGCTAGTCTGCAACAGGCAAGGTGAGTGATCCAGGTGCCAAGAGTTGAGCTAACCGGAAAAAGATACGTACCTTTTTTTTTTCATGATGTCTGATGAAAGCTTCACAGGCCCTTCGCAGCCTTGTTTGAGAGACTTGGCTTACTGGGCCCAAATTTCATCAATACTTACAGATTGAAGCTGCAGCCACTCTCTGGCTGGTTGCGCAAACATGTATGCGAACGTCCAGATCCCCTATAGCCAGGTCCATGCCCTCGGCAACATCCTCCTCGCTGCACGATCAGGCCAACTGCACACCTACAGCCTCACCGATGGCAAGCTCATCTCGACATGGAAGCACCCCGACGTGGAAAAGGTCGCCGAGGCTGTGAATCGAGTTGCGGAGGAGAGAGAGGTGGCATTGGCGACTGGAGCTGGTGAGGACGCCTACATGGCAGACGACGACAAGGACGAGCCACCAGCAAAGCGCCAAAAGATGCTCAGCGAGGAAGAGTCCAGTGTATTCATTACAACAGATATGCCACCAGCGGATGCAGTCGACGGAGAGTCATCCAGCAAAGGCCAGAAAGGCAAGGGGAAGGATAAGGCAAGCCGGAGCCGCGTGCGGGTGGAGGGACGCGCAAAAGTGCCGGATCGGCCATCGATTACGCACCTCACGAGCACGCCTGACAATAAGCATGTCATTGCCGTCACTGGTCATGATAAGGCTCTTTGGGTGTTTGAGCATGACGGCCAAGGCAACCTCAAGGAGCTCAGCTCAAGGTTGGTTTTTTGGCGCAATCCCGACAAAGCAATCAATCCCAACTAATGTGTCGCAGGGTCATGCCCAAACGGCCAAGCTCCATTGTCGTCGGACCTGACTCCGCGATTATCTGCGCCGACAAGTTTGGCGATGTGTATTCTCTGCCTCTTGCCCCTGACCCCAACTGGAAGGCGCCAGTCGTCGCAAAGACGGTCACGGAGACCCCTATTGAAGCCAACGAGTTCACTGTGCATTCGAGGAGGAACCGAAGAGCTTTGGAATCTCAGCAACTACAAGCAAAGAAGAAACCAAACAATGAGCAGGACAAGGCCACAGACGCTCCCGCATTCGAGCTCACGTTGCTGCTTGGCCATGTCTCGCTACTGACGGCCCTTCTCGTAGCTGAGCGCGAGGGCAGAAAGTACATAATCACAGCAGACAGGGACGAGCACATTCGCGTATCGCGGTACATCCCCCAAGCTCATATCATTGAAGGGTTTTGCTTGGGACACAAGGATTTCATTGGCGATTTGGTCATTCCTGAACAGCGGAGTGACATCCTTATTTCAGGCGGCGGAGAGAACGAGCTGTTTGTCTGGGACTGGCTGGCAGGGAATCTGGCCTCCACAGCAAGCGTCCTGAATTTGGCCCAACAGATTGACTCGACAATCACCGAGGTTGCTGTCAGCGGTCTGCATTCGCTGGTCTATCCGTCCGAGTCAGGAAAATTGACCTACGTTCTGGCGATCTGCGAAGGGTATGTTGTTCGAATTTCGTGGGCTTCGACTGATTTTGCTGACACCTCCTACAGGATCAAAGCAATCTTCTCCTGGCTTTTGACAGACGACAACAGGCTCAACCACCCTGGGGTTATCCAGCTACCCGGTAACCCTCTCGACCTCGAGATCTCTCCTGTGGAGGGTGATCCGCCAAAGATTGTCGCCGCAATGGACCCAGGAGCGGCAAACCCTGCAAACTCAATCAACATCTTTACACTCAACATGAACGAGGAGCGGCTATCGGTGGATGACATCATGACGGTTGAAGAAAACAGCGTGAAGACGTCAGATATTGAGGCGACCGAGGATGTTGTGCGTGGTCTATTATACAACGTGGAATATCTACGCAAGAAACGAGGCGGCGGCGAGGATGGGGAAGGCGGTGATGCTCCTGCGACTGAGGTTGAAGCGTCTGAAGAAGCTCAATCTTGATCAAATGGGAGCTGGCAGTTTCTATCTCAATGCTTCTAGCCGAACAAAACAAAATAAGGCAAACCTCCAAGGGTCGAACAAGGGCAGTACGCGAGTGATTGGCCTACGATGTGTGGAGGGTGATCTTGCTTTCCCTTGACTTCGCCAAAGTCAACGAACGAGTCCCGCACAACTGCTCTTGTCTCTCATCTCACCACCCACTCACAGTGAGCTTGACCGTAAACGCCACCTCTTTTCACAACGTTTCAACCCCCTCTTTACCTTCTCGTTTCTCTATTTTTGATTGTGCACCTTGCTCATGGCACTGGACATCTTTGCTGCTTGAAGAACCGGAACCCATCCGCGCTTTCACACTGCTTATCCCTCAAAAACCACGAAGACAGACATAATGAGTTTCGTGGCCATGTCTCGGTCTCTAGAGATCGACGGAAACGAGTTGGCCGTTATCAGACCCAGCATCTCGCCTCCTAGCTCGCCCCTTACACCCCTGTCAACGATATTTGGCAGATGGTCGGAGACGTCCCAAACACCGACAGGGGACAGTCAATAGTTCTTTGGTAGCTCTCAAAACGACGAGATACTATACGTTCAGAGCGACGTCACGGCACTGTCTGATGAGGCAAACGAATCTCAATACGACAGCCAAGAAGAAACAGAGGCCGACGATAAGGAAGAGGGAGACATGCTTGACGAGCGCCGTCATGACCGAGAACTATCGAGCAAGATTGACGATCCAGAATTTCCGGCCTACAGCGGTAGAACTCAAGAAGACTACGTGACATACGCGTGCCTGGAAGCGATGTGGGAGAATGTGCGTGACTACCTGGGCCGCGAGGAACGCGACACCTTCTTCGCACTTGTTCCCATGAGCAACAAGTGCAAGACGAAGAGTGTGCTATACGCTCACCGAATCCACCGAGCCATCGTGATGGACCCCAGCACATTCAACTGCGCACACTACCTCGTGCTCAAGGTCATGTTTGGCCTGGAGGCTTGCATGCGGCAGTCCTGGTGGTCCATATTCAAGAAGAAGCATCCCCAACAAGCAGCGGAAGACGAAGAAGCGGCGGCCGAAAAGAAGGAGGCGGAGAGGATGGCCTCTCGGACGCGCAGCTCAGCTGCCAGGGCAGCATCTACCCTCAGGACACCAAGGTCCATGTCGAAACAACACCTCACGAGCAAGATTATTCAAGGCACTGGAAGCCCAATCCAACGCTCCAGTCAGTCTCGGCCCATCAGTCGGGGACTTTCGCTCGACGTCTTCGCGGCCAACCGCTACACCTCACTCACGCCCTCTTTCTCCGCGCGCAGGGGTAGCCACGCGCCTGCTAGGGTCAACCGTCTCCTCAACTTTCGACAGCAGGAGACAAAACCGCCAACACAGACAAACACGACTGACGTGGCCGAGTTGCAGGCTCGGGTCTCGCAGCTGGAGCTGGAGAATGCGCAGAGCGTCGCTAGAGTGCGCGAATTGGAAGAGGCCCTGGATTCTTTTAGGTTGTTTGCCGCTGAGCTCAGCACACTCTTGGACACAACTCCAGAGCAGCAAGACTGATGATGCAGTCCTAGAGAGTAGTAGCATGGCGATTCTGCATTCCTGTGCTTGGGGAGAGTCTATGCTGGAAACGGCGGTACGGCGGAGCGCACAAGGTGGTTGAATAGCTAAATGTCAAATGCTACCTATAAGTCTGGTCATTGAGCAGCAGAGCTTCGAGGCAGCCATCGGATATTCGAAAGGTGGGCAAGTATTGGTACTAGTTAGACTAGCAAAAGGCATCGCCAGCAGGTCGACATGGTCATCAAGTGTCATAGGACAGTACAAAGTGGCTTTCGCAGTTTATTTCAATTACAAAGGCGCGGTCTACGTCGGCGAACAACTCAGACCCTCATCGTCAAACGTCTATGTCCTCTAAACGCCAATTCTGCAAAAAATATGAAAGAAACCAGCCTCGGCGGCACGCAGCCAACTGCTCTCCCACCCAACTCCTCGCCTCATCTGCCACACCTTGCTTCTCCCCTCCCCATGCTGGCAATGCTTCATGGCGAAGAAACGTAACATTCATGTTCGTTCATGCACTGGTATCATTAAAGGCTTTTCCCATAGTCCACGCCTACGCGAAGCTTGCATGATGCGGCTACCTGCCCCCTGAAGATACAGGAGCGAGCCGATCAGTCATGTCGCGGTAGTTAGATGTCGTGCTTTATTGCGAGGCGCACTGCACACGCTCGCCGCCGGGCTGGCCATCCTCGTCGTCCTCATCCATGCCGCCGTTGTTGAAGACACGGCTCTGCGAGGAACCGTCCATATCCTCGAGATCGGCGGGCTCAGTCATGGCCTCGGCGGGTGGCACGTTCTGCAGAGCGGGCGAGGGAAGGATCTTGCGGAGCTGCTCGAAGGCTTCCTCGTTGTCGGTCCAGCCCTTCTCGGGAAACTTGACGCTGAAGCGAATGTACATGTTGCCAAAGTCGTGATGCCTAGGCGACGGCATACCTTGTCCACGGATCATCTTGACGGCGTCTGCTGTTGTCAGTGGATTTGCTCTAAGAAAAGGGACCTTGAGGACTTACCGTTGGCAATTGCTTCTCCAGGCATAATATCGATGCTGAGCCACCTGTCGTCGAGGTGCTCGATGTAGATGGTACCTCCAGCCAGGGCAGTCACGAGCTCAATCTCGCAGTTGTAGAGCAAGTCATCCTCCTTACGGGTGAAACGTGCGTGGGGCTTCTCCTCAATTTCAAACACAACGTCGCCGGCCTGGATTCCAGGAGACTGGTCGCCTTCACCCTTAAACTCGACGCGAGTCCCACTGCGGACACCCTTGTCAACGTGGACGTGGAGGACCTTGCGATCGACCACGGTCTTCTTTCCTGCGCACTGCTTGCAGCGATCCTTGTCCTTGATGATCTCTCCCTCTCCGTTACAGTCGGGGCAGACGGTCTGGAAGCGCTGGATCATGGGGCCCATCTGGCGCATCATGGTCTTCATACCGTGGCCATCGCAGCCTGTGCACTTCTTGACGGCACCCTCCTTGCCACCGACACCAGTGCACTTGGGACAGATGATGGAGCGCTGCAGGGCCAGCTTAGAGATCTTGCCGCGGTAAATGTCCTCGAGCGCAACCCTGTGAGTGTGGTGGATCGTGCGGGCCTTGGGAGGTCCGCGCTGGCCGCCGCCCATGCCGCCAAACATACCTCCCATGCCACCGAAACCGCCGCCGCCACCACCGAAGAATTGCGCAAACAGATCCTCGGCGGCCATGCCACCACCGCCGCCGGCGCCGCCCTCGAGACCGGCCTCACCATATTGGTCGTAGATGGTGCGCTTCTGTGAGTCGGAGAGGATTTCGTAGGCGTGCGAGACCTCCTTGAACTTGCTCTCGGCGTCGGGGTTGTTGGCATTCTTGTCAGGGTGGTACTTCAAGGCATTGACCTTGTAAGCCTTTTTCAGCTCAGCATCGGTGGCTGTGGGTGAGACCTGGGCATTGGGTTAGTATGTCGCGTTGTCGGATCGTGTTGTCGAAATACTCACCCCGAGGGTGTCGTAGTACTTTGTCTCCTTGACCATGGTTGCAGATGTACAGCGTGTCGCGTGTAGATTGAGAGTCTAGTTGCGCGCGTCGACAAAGATGATTGAAGCGAATGAAGATCTCTTCTATCGTGGGATTAGTAAGACTGATGGAAATCCGGGCGAATCTGCTAGAACCACCGCCATTGCGGAATTTCCGCAAAGTCCAGTCGTTTCATCGCGCACGCACAATCGCAGACGAGGAATCGCACGTACCTTGGCACCAGAAGCGGGTTGATCTCGCTCGACGCTTGGTTGTTGGGAGATACGACGAGCAAAGATTAGATTTCGCGGGGCAGGGAGAAGTCTCGATATGAGTGGAGCGCGGGATAAGCAATCGACAGGGGGTCGGATAGGCCCTGAGTGCTGGGATGAGATGCGGCGTATGGAGGAGAGGTGAAGTCGTTGTTGCTGATGAGGAGGAAAAAAGAAGAGGGAAAGCGGGAACGAGGCAAGACAGAGGCAGGTGTTGAACTGACTACGACTTTTTCTCAAGAGGCGTCCGTCTGTCTGATGCACGTCCGGTTGGTGTCCGTCAGGCTCCAGTCGGTAGGGAAAAAGCGTCAAAGGCACAAATGGTGTGAGATGGTTGGCTGGCTGCTGCAGGGTCGCTCCAACCGTGCGCCGCCTCATGGAAGGGCATCGAAGAATGTCGATGCGATGGGTGGTACATGGCGTCAGCGCTTGAGTGCGATGACTAGAAGGTACCTCTTATCTACGCCTAGTGCCCAAGTAGTGGTCCCCACCAAAGCCAGATTTGAATACTTGGTGATAATAATAATTGATTAGGCGAATTCCTGGTCGAGTGAGATGCTAGTGAATACTATTCCATCCTATTACTGTAAGCACGCATCCTCGTCTCGATTGTTGTAATCATGTAGCACTTGTACGGAGTACCGCAGTACTTAGCAGGGGTTGCGCTTCATCCAGCAGCCTTCATGTTGTTAGCCAATACTTGTGCCCCTACCACGTCCTCAGTGGTGACTCCGGCGCTAAGCAAGTACCGACTAGCAGATCTGCTCACATGATTAATAAGAGCTGCCCATCCAGACAGTGTCAATTCATCCATGTCAGCTTCAACCTGGAGCGCGCTTACTCTTGACTGACCCGTTCAACCACATCAAGCTTGCTAGCAGCATCGCCATGAATGCACAGGCTACGCAACCTGCCAAGATCGCCAAACCTCCACCGCAGCGTCGTAATCCAGACGCACGTCGGGAGCAGAACCGCAACGCATCGCGCAACTATCGTAACACAATCTCCAGTCCCGTGACATGTAATTACATCCTCGCTGACCCAAGTAATCGCTTCGTACAGGCCAGAAGAGGAAAGAGAAGCTCGCTCTGCTGGACCAACTCACCTCACAGTCCACGGTGTCCGTAGACCAACCCCGACAATCCAACAGTCATGCCGGCAACAGTCAAAGAAGCAGGGAGCAATGTCACTCGGCAGACCCTGTGCCTGACCCAGAGATCGAACTCATAGATCTAGCAGTCGATCAGGCGGCCGTCCATGCCCCCGCCGCCCAGAAAAACCACGTCCTAACAGGGCGTCTGACAGATCACGGCTTCAACGCATGGTCTGGGACCAGGTCTCTCCAAGCCCATCCATCCACTGCCCTCTCGACGAATGAGTCGTGGCAGCTGTCCAACTCGTCATCATCTACCTCATCACCTCCCACGAGCCTTGAAGACGACGAAGCAGTTCTCACCGCGCTGCAGCACATCCAGACGCTGAGTGTCTCACAGAAACGCGCCTTGCTCCGCCATCTCAAGGAGCAGACGCCCGCTCTCGAACCAGCACCAGCCATCATACCAGGCGCAACTTGGGCGTCGAGCCATAATACGCCACCCGGGCCCCCGAGGAGTCGTCTGCAAGAGGAGGCCCGCCGCTTCGCAACGTTCATCGACCGGCACATGACCGGCACACTGTCCCCGATGCAGCTGTCGCGCATCTACGTCGTGGAGGCGGGTCTCTTTGGTGCTCTGTTCGCCAACTGCTACGCACTCGGGATGAGCGACATTGGGCCCATGATAGTGGAGAACGGATGCAGCCCCTTTTCCATCGGGCCGGAGACGGGATATCACGAGTCGCAGCTGGTGTCGATAAAGCCCAGATTCCGAAGCATCACGCCCGATCTGCAGCCCAAGGATATACAGCTCACCTTTGGCCATCATCCTTACATCGTACGTGCTGGCCCCTCCACGTCCTGGTGTTGAGGAGCTGGAGGCTAACTTGTCGCAGGACGTGATTCCATTTGGGGACTTCCGCCAGAGAACACTGCAGGCTCTGAGCGCTGAAGACGTTACCCTGGACGAGGACCAGCTGTGCCTTGACTTGGGAGGTGGGGGCCTGGTTTGCTGGGGCAGTCAGCAAAGCTCCCTCGGCATGGAGGCTGGTGTGCCGTGGGATGCACGCTCGTGGGAACCCCAGATGTGGTTCATGAAGAAGTATTGGGACCTCGTGGGAGGGTTCGAGGGCGAGATGTACAAAAGTCTCGAGTGGTGGCACCAAACGCGAGGGCAGCAGGTCTCGTGGTAGTGATAAGTGACCAAACACAGCATCTCTCATGGTATAGGGAATGAGATGGTACGCGCTATGACTACAGAATCTACCTCATGTGCTGATCTCGCGAGACCAAGCCTGAAAGAGAAAAGACACGAAGGGGGGGGTCCATGGTATCATAATGCCCAACCAAGCCATGCAAAGCAAAAAGCATTGAACGCAACCAAGTGAGTACCAGGCGATATCATCACGCCTCACACTTGCCAATTGCCAAAAGGTCTCTCTCCCCTTCAAGGATATCTGTACGCTTTCGCTTCTCAACGTGTTCTTTAAAGGACTTCTGTCGCCGAAGATAATTTAGAACGCATCCTCGAATGGGCAATCCACACTATCGTGTCCGTCACGCTCACACATGGCGCACCACTTCTCGGGGTCCATGATGCCGCTCTCCTTTCCAGCAACAGGGCCAGACTCCATTGGGTCGGGCATAGGCCTCCTGGCAGCCGGGGGAGCAGGGCTCCTCGACCTGACCGATGCAAGTGGCGCAGGCCTTGCGTCGTCGTCGTCGTCGCCTCCCTGAGGTCGTAGGGCATTGTCGTTGGCCAACTTGGGCGTCGACTGCTTGCGGCCATCATCCGTCGCCGTCGGCTTTCCACCATCAGGCCCAAACATGTTGGTGCAGGTCAGAATGTCGTGGCCACTGGTCTCGCAGATCTCGCACCAGAGAGTGCTATGCTCGGTGGCGTTGGACTGGTTGTCGCTTTCGCCGACATTGTTTGCACGGCCAGAGAATCGGTTCTCGTTGGCGGCGGCCAGGACAACCGTGTCGCGAGAGTCCCTGAGCGACGACCTCTGTTGGTGGGTATTGTTAACATTGTTTCTGTTGCTGTTGCTGCTGTCGACGCGAATCTTCTCGAGCTCCTGCATCAACTCCTGCTCGCGGCTGCTCTTCTGGGACAAAATGGACTGCAACTCGGCCACTTGTCGCTCAAGGTTATCACGGGCAATCTTCTGCTCAATGACGTCGTTTGCAATGAGCGAGCCCGGTCGTTGGGGAGGTGACCGCGGCTCACTGGCCGAGTCACGGCTGAGCGAGTGAATGATGGCCTTGAGGCCCCTGATCTCGTCGTCCTTGGCCTCCAGCTCCTTCATCGACCCCTTTTCCATGATCGGACTCTGCACCTGCCCGCCCTTCTCTCGTTCCCGTCGCAGCTCGGTGCGCGTCCTTTCCACCTCACCACGCAAGAACTCTACTTCGCCTCGCGCCTCGGCCTCTCCTCTGCGGGCGTCCTCTAGTCCCTCTTCAAGCTCCAGCACCAGTTCCTCGAGCTGCCTGAGTTGTGTCGCGACCGATTCGACGTCCACGTTGCGAGACTCGAGTTCCCTGATATCTGCCATGAGCTCTTCCATGCGCTTCTCGTAGACCCTCTCGGTTTCCGTGCTGGCCATCTCGAGGGCGTCAATCGTGCTGCGAAAGTCGGCGCGGTGCGCATCAAATTCAGACGTGAGCATGGAAATCTTCTCATTCTTCTCACGGAGCAGATTGCGCAGTTGGGAGGTGTCCTTGTCAGCAAACTCGCTGGAACCATCCCTCAGATCTCCAGCGTTCTCCATAAGGCCCTGGAGCTCCGTGAGACTGCTCTCCATCTCGTTCAGCGTGGCAGATTGCTCTTTCAGCTGCTTCTCCTTGTCCTCGAGCTGCGCCTTGAGGCGCTCTATCTCTTCGCCGTTGCGCACGTTGGCCCGTGAAGCAGAACGCGTGGGAGAGCGCGGTGCTGTGACGAATGGAGTGGCCGCGCCGACATTGCCATTTGTCTTGGATCGCGGCAGGCCCATTCCCGAGAGGTCATCATCGAAGGAACCTAGCGCAGAGGCACTGCGAAGGGGCATGCTAGGTTTGCGATCCACGGCAGGCAGCCTCTTGCTGGGATCACCAGCGGTGCCTCGCACACTCTGAGCGAATCGGTTTGTCGGGCTCCCGTAGCGTGAAGGCGTCTTTGCCGGTCCTGCGATCGACGGCCGAGGGCCAGGAGTCATCTGCGTTCGGCGGACGGGTGAGTCGGGTCGAGCAAGTGAACTTCGTGGTGCTGACCGCTTCCCCTGAGGGCTCGGAGCTCTTGCGCCAGGCCCCACGGACATGCTGAATTTGGGCAGCCCAGGCGTCGGAGGGGTGTAGTTGGTCGAGTTCTGCGATCCGCTCTTGAGCCCAGAGCTGGGTGTCGCGGGGAACGACATGCCCGAGTCCAGTCTCATAGCTTTGGCGACAGGCAAGAAAATACCGGCGCCAGGTATCGATGTGGCAAAGTAGGAGATACTATGTCCTGCGTCAGCGAATCTCTCGTTGCAAAGCAGAAAGTGGACTCAATATACCCGTCGACGTCGCCGTTGTTCTTTCCGCGCGCCGCATACTGGGCGTCGAGCTCGACACCAGCAAATATGCCCTTCTTGCCCTGGACGGGTCCGACGAAGCGCACGATACCTTGCATGTTGCCGGGCACATCGACAGCGTCGCCCACGTCTACATCTTCAGGCATGGTCCTTCCAGGCGTTGCGGGCGCCATTGTGAATCGCGACCCCGGGCGGTCAATCAGATTCTCGTCGTGGTAGATGTCTGCTGCGTCGTGTTTATCATTGGGGATGCTGGGCAGAAGAGAGCTCTGCGTCAGGGTCGCCAGTGAGGTCCTGCGCGAGAGTGGAGCCCGGGACGCCCGTCGCGAGTGCGAAGCGTATGCCGACTTGAGGTTTGGCGTGGATGCAGTGTTGCTTGGTCTGCGCAGGGCTCGACGTGTGGGAGGAGTCTGGGGGATAGGAGGAGGAGGATGGTGAAAGGTGGCCGCCGTGATGGCTGTCGCAGTGGGTATCGACATCACGTCCAATTTCTTGGCGGCAGCTCCCGTCTCGCTCGCTCAGGTGTCAATCAGTCAATCAAAATTCGCGGGTGCTCGCTGGGCCTGGGCTGGCGCGGATCCTGTCCCTCCACCGTTTACCCAGTAACCGTCGAGCCGTGAACCGTTTGGCTGCCCCACGCGACGGCAAGCCTAAAGATAGCGTGTCGAGCACAGGGGAAATCTCGTAAAGGGTGGGTTCCCTCAGAGATCTCTCCGAACGCCCTTTGATCTTCTTGATTCGGCGTCAATGATCGCAGCACTTGCGTTCGGTCGTGGTGAGAAGCCAGAGCTTGATTCTACCTCGCACCACTTCTGAGGACTGCGTAACCGGTACTTGGTGCAAGAGGAGCGGTAGTCGTTCAGTTGATAGAACCGTGGGGCCGTTGCGGACTACCGGGTATCCGATGCTGAACTTGGCGAGGGAAACGAACGTGGTGATGATGCGATTGCAGCTACCTTACAATACCTTGCCTAGGTACTGAGTGAATGACGATGGGGAACACCTCTGGTAAACAAAGAGAACGAAGATGAAGGGGATAAAAATGCCATGCACAATGAGAAGCGAGCGAAAGTTGAGCTAGAAAGATCAGATGGGCGACTACTGTACATGTACTGGTCTTGTTGATGTTTTGTTTTTCGCTGCATCAACAAGCTGCAGCGTCATCATCCGTCCCACTGCAATTGGAGGCTTTAGGCGCTGCGCCAGCCGCTGACCGCCAGTCCGACAAAAGAGCAAGCAGTCATTCCACAGGGCAGCGAGATGCTCCCATCATTGTGCCAATTTCTCGCAGGCCTCGTGTGCCAACAATTGGCAACATGAAGGCAGTATGGTCGCTACCCATCAGAAGACCTGCCCATGTCAAGCGTCACCAGCAGGACACCAGGGGATCAAGCCTTTTCATCACATCCTCCGAGCTACAGCTTGCTGGCCACAGGAGAAGAAGCTCGCAATATTCACGCTGTTTTGTCGCCATCAAGGGGTACATTCGCTATGACATGAGTTACCCCTTGCGCTTCTGCAGCTTCTGTTGACCGCACCTATCAGGGGCTCGCCACATGCTTCAAGTGCCCCAGCGACTGCATGCGCTGCTGCACGTATGAACACAGACCAACCCTAGCTATGGTTCCCCTGCAGGTGTCCTTACACTAATGCAATCCCTTTCAGTACATGTACGATGTCCGGGCAATGGAATGGCACGGAGAGCAGCAAACAAGACATCACATGCTGTGCGCCATCCTTGATGTATCTGTATACACGGTTCTAATAGGCATACCTCAGTGACAAACGATATGGCAGGCGACGCGCTTATCTGTTCTTTGCTCGCTTCCTCGCGCTCCTCTCCCTCTCGTACTCGTTGGCTTCTCGCCCCTCCTCGCTCTGAATCTCCGATATCAACCTCTTCATCTTCTTCTCGTGCGCCTCGTCCTTGGCCTTCTTGACCTTGAGCTTCTCCCTCGCCATGAAGTTGGCATCCTTGCGGAGCTCCCTCATGGCTCCCTTGCGCTCCTTCTTGTGCTCGGCCTTGAGCTTGGCCATCTCAGCCCTCTCGCGGTCCGGGTCGTAGTGCTTGTTGGGATCGAAAGAATCCTCAAACTTGGGTATATATGTCTTGATAGCAAGAGGGCGGTGATGGTGCAGCTCGAGCGGCCTTCGTGCCAGCTTCGCCAGCCGCATCATCCGCTCAAGCTTCGTCTGCAGCTTCTCGAGGCGGCTGATCAGCTGGGCAGGTAAGTGTGCGCTGTTCTTTTGAATCAAGACGCGCTTGACCACATTCTGAACTTGATCAAAGGTTTCGATAAAAGCGTCTTTGCCAGTCCACGTGTCGGCAGCGGCATCGCAGACTTGCAGGGCGGTGTCCATGAGAGAGACCTTGGTTTCCGTAGCCAGCTCCGCTTCGACCTCGATGGCGCAGTCGCTGCACCTCAGCTTCCTCGGCGTGACTTTTTGCGCGCCAGATATGCGCAGCGCTTGGTCGGAAGCATGGAGAGGGAAACGACCGAGACTAGCCTTGGGTGCAACAGGTGACAATGCGCATATTGTGTTCAGCAGGAAATTGATGACTTCGGGGACGAACCGCTTCACTGGCTGCTGGAACTGAAGCATCAAGATCGATAGATAAACACCAGTCGCGTGCTCTCCCAGGGTGCGTGGGACCTTGATGCCGAGATATCGGGTAGCTGTCAGGATACCCGGCGTCACCACCGAGTTGAAGTGATCTGAAGGTGGGAAGACTGTGCCCACGGCTGTCAACATGACGATATCTCCGACTTCCAGTGCCAAGGGTCTCTCCTCCTTGATTTGAATCATCATTTGTCGGAAATGATTGCCAATCTCGACAGGGAACATCTTGGACAGAGAGTGGACGTGACGAACAAGGCTCTCCAGCACAGCAAACGACGGCCATACTGCTGGGTCAAAGGCGACGCCGAAGGGTTGGGAGATGAACTCGACCAAAACCGTAGCAAAAGTGCCCAGACGTTCCTTGTTCTTACTGTCCAGTTTCGGGTGATAGAGCGCACGGATCCTCTGTACGATGGTTGGCAGATGGACCAAAGGATGGGCCCGCGCGATGGACTCAAATTCTTCTTTGGTCTGAGGGCATGGAAATGTGAAGGGAAGCCCCTTGTCGTCGCCCTTTTCCAACGCAGTGGTGTTTTCTGAGGATTCAGCCTTGAACATTGGGTTGCGAGCCTCCTCTTCGTTCAAAAGTCCTTTGGTGAACTCGTCCTCATCGTCACTCTCGCTCTCGGCACCATCGGCTGCCTCTGTTTCTTCCAGATCGAGTTCGTCTCCGCTGTCGAATGGATTGATGTCGGAACCGCTGGCAACAAGATCGTCGTCAATGACAAAGTCGTCTTCGTCGTCGAATCCGAGCTCGGCAGCCGTCGGCTTCTTCTTCGTAGGTGCGTCACGGTCGTTGTCCTCGTCGCTCTCTTCCTCGTCAGACTCGTCTTCCTCAGATTCCTCATCTGCCTCATCCTCTGGAGCCTTCGATGCGAGGCCACCACCAAGACCGAAATCGTCGTCATGGTCCATATCTTCGTCCGAGTTGTGGTTCTTGGCTTTATCGTCCTCACTGGCATCACTGTCGGATACAGATTCGCCTCTCATGCGTTTTTGCCTCTTCTCCTCGAGCTTCTTGAGGAACTTGGCTTCATCTTCAGCCTTCTCCTCGTCTGTCTTCGTTCGGTCAGCTGGCTGGGCTCTGCGATCTTGCGCCAGCTTCTTGACCTCAAGGTCAAAGGTCTTGTTAAACGCTTCACGATCCAGCCCGCCCATAGTGGGGATTTCCGTCTGCACAGGCTCCGGGCGCTTGCTTCCTGAAGCGTACAGAGCGGCGCGAATCTCCGCCATATCCTTGTCGATCTGGGCGCGGAGATCATCGTCCTCGTCCTTTGCTTGCTGCCGCTCATACTTGTGCATCTTCGATTTGGCGATGACTTCTTCCATAATCTCCTTCTTTGTCCTCTTGCGCTGCGGCTCTGCCTCTTCTTGATCTTCGGCCGCCATCGCACGAACCCTTTTGCGGCGCTGTTGCTCTCGGTCGGAAATGTCACTGGCGGCGTCGTCCAGGTCTTCGTCGAAGTCGTCCACGGCCTCCTCCTCGTTGAATACCAAAGCCTTACCGCCGTGCGTCAGGCCACCCATACCCATGTCGTCCATGTCTTCTTCCAGATCGAAAGCGTTCTTCTTGTGGCTGCGGATCTTCTCGCGCGCGAAACGCTCCAGCATCTTCTCCTCTGGCGTCATTGTAGGATCATTCTCGCCAAAACGCTGATCCAATATTCCACCAACTTTGTTACGATGCTGCATGTCGAGAAGCAAGGTTTGACGTCGCTGCCATCATTAGCATGGGTCGGATCCAAGTACATGAACACCGCACCTTCTCTTCTGCAGCAGCCTTGGCCTCACCAGGTCTGCCCCTGATGCTACCAGCCTTGGGGTCCGGACGATTACTCGTCACCTCGAACTTTGGAGCCTTGGCATGCTTGAGGTCGAATGGATTGAACTGTTCGCGGATGCCACCCAACACTGCCCCTCGTTGAAGACGCTTGTCGTTGCGTGCCTGCTCATCCTGAGCGGCGCGGCGCTTCTGCTTTTTTGACTGCTGGGGCCCTGTGATGCCTTGATCTCGCAAGGATGCCTTGAGGCGCTTCAGCTGGGAGCCGCCGCCAGCCATGGTTGCTGTATCGAGTGCCGTTATGGTTGCAAGTCTGTCGCGGCTGCCAATGTTCACGAAATTTTAGGTCAGGGTAGCGCTATCGATAAGACGACAGGTACGTGGGGCCACTTGTGCCGTGCAACTCACAGAGTACGGAGTACCACAACTGAACAAATGACCGCGATTGCAATCGGTGTTAAGGAAGATGACAAACTACAGGACATAAGAATATATTTGAATGCCGCATGCTATCATCCGTCTTCTATCCATGTGGGCAACCCATCTCCCGAAGTACCGAGTTGTGCGTGTTTCTGCGACAGAGCACGCTAGTCCATGTTAGGTTCTAGATTTTGGCGGTCACTGCAGGCAGAAATAGATCATCTCAAGATCCCGTCATAGCTACCCCTTGATATCACCAACATCCTCATCCGTCAAGTTACATTACGATGGGGTGGCTTACCTCGCTCCAAGCCTTTGGTCGTGATGAGAGGGTCATTCTCGTCACGATCGGGATGGCTGCTGCCTGCGTGGTGTCCTCCATGTTCTCGGCATTGGTCATTATGCGCGACGACACGGCGCTTCCTCCAGTCCAGCCCAAGTCGCGATACATCACGCAAGACACCGAAGACTCGCTCGAGATCGATACCCTAGAGAAGCTCCTAAGTCACCCAAACTATTCTATAGGCGATATTGCAACCAAAATCCTGTGCGACCGCGCCGTCAACAACCCTGATGTTATCAACACACTGCTCTTCGGCATCACCCAACCTGATTACGATGAACGTTTGCGATCCTTGCGCGCGCTTGCCCTGTTGACTGGTTTGCCTGCCCCATTCACGTTGAAACATCTCCAGAAGCTAACATTGCAGGCTACGATGGACTGCCGACTCTGCATCGACCCGCAACATATTTCGCATTGGTTAAATCGCTGCAGCACTGTCTGAACGACGTCGAACCTCCGAAACTTGACGATTCCCGCTGGGACGAATACTTGCTGCGCGACATAGCTGAGAGGTTTTGCCTCATGCTGATCCTGGAGTTGGTCAACGACAATGGGGCTGGCACACTGATCAAGGCCAAGTTTGTCGAAAAATGGCTATCGAAGCAGGACTGGGGCGAGAGCCCTAGCGAGCGACGACAGAACTTTGCCGCCTACATGGACTTCAAAAGCAATAGGATTGTCACAATCGTCGGTCACATTCAGCGCTCGAAGAAAGGGCTGAAAGCTCTCGAAAAGGCAGGCCTCATCGAAGAGGTCGCGGCGAAGCGGCAGATCCAGGAGCTTCCCGATGCTGTGATGGAGACTCTGCCTATTATTGATCTCCGCGAGTCCATTGAGCCCCCAGACCCGCAAGTTCCTCGGCCCATGGAGCAGTCTATAGAGGAGCAAAGGATTCGTCGTCAACACCGCGAAGCCATGGTCATCAACGACGGTTCCAGACCACTGGGGCGGGGCGACATATTCGAGCGAGACCATGCAACTCCAGACTAGTAATTCCGCTGCTGTCTTTCTCATCGAACGATTCCATGATTACGATATATATGGTGCAAGTTGCCTTCAGACAACGCCCGGACGCAACGACACGGCCACTATATGACTGCTCCTTGCCGCACGCACGCGCGCGCGTTGCTCTTCGAGGGCAGATCGCGAGCATGGTGTAGTGGAGATCATACCAGATCTATCCTCTGGATCCGGTATAGGGCAAGCATCGCGCAAGGCAAGCAAAAGGTGTGTCAAGTGCCGGGCCCGAGAAACTAGAAGCGAAACTTGTTGAAGCTGAGCATTGCTGACTAGAGGTTCTGCGATTCGCGTTGAGTTGGGGTGACTAGTTACCGTGACTATCTGGCTACCGGATGCATTAGCATCGGGACGTCATGACGCCTCCATCCTATTACCAACCCTACAAATCAAGTCTCACATCGTTGTATCAAATGATAGGACCCTAGTTTTTCATATCAATGTATATCAACGTATATTTCAAAGTGACTGGCAATGCTACACAGATTGGTTCAATGATAGTGTCGAGCGCCTTAATGACCGTCAGGTGTGGAGCAGCAGGCTCAAACTAAATATCAGTGATCGGACCATCCATGGCGACGCCATCTTTCACACGTGCATTCACGTTACTCTATCGCGCACGAAAAAGTCGAGCACCACTGTCAAGCTAATCTCACTCAAATCTGCGTAAGCTTCATTCGCACACTTTGCATCATGAGCGCAAGCTACGGTAACGGCGCAAATGCGCCTGAAGAAGAAGAGGATGACGACTACATGAACATGACCTTTGACGATCCAACACCCAAGCAAGAGACCTCTCTCCAGCGCACGCAACGTCTCAAGGCCGAATCGCGCGCGCGGGGTGTCATCAAATCCAAGGCTGAACGCGCTGAGGAGGAGGCGGCTGCGCGGGAAAAGGCCCTGTCGACGTCACTGCTGGAAGACCCCAAGGCCAAGAAGAGCAAAGGTCTCGCGATGATGGCCAAGATGGGCTTTGCAGGGGGTGGTCTGGGGCGGAAAGGCGAGGATGGCACTACGATAGGCAGAGCCGAGCCTATCAAGGTGGACGTCAAGGAGGACCGGGGCGGCATTGGTATGGACAATGAGAGGAAGAGGAAGCTGCAAGAGGCTGTGGCAGAGCGGGATATCAAGACTGTCAAGATGGATCCGGATGAGTATCGAGACCGAGTCCGGAAAGAAAGGGAAGACGCAAGGCTGGAGAAGCAGCTGCACGCAGCGCAGCGCATGACAGAGCTTTTGGACGAGGAGAAGAGCGCAGCGCCAAACGACGAGGACGACACAAAACCAAAAGTCACGCCCATGTCGGCGCGACCACTCAAGTCAATCTCAGTGTTGTATCGTGGTCTCACGCGCCATCGCTTGGAGCAGGAGCGGGATCGTCGGATGCGCCATGATCTGGAGCTGTCGCTGTCACGACTACCCACGTACGAAGACGAGGATGAAGATGAGGACGACAAAAAGGCTCTAGGAAAGAAACAAACGACATATACGGAGATTGAAGACCTTGATGAAGAGGATACCGAACTGGAAGACTTCAATTCTCTAGACGTCGGTGAGCGCCTGCGTCAGCTGCTCGAGTACCTGCGCTCCCAGCATCTCTACTGCTTCTGGTGCAAGACTGCCTACCCGGACTCTGAGATGGACGGCTGTCCAGGACTGACAGAGGAGGACCACGACTGATCGACGCGACAACAAGATTCCAACTAGCCAAGTACTGCCCATGCTAGCAATCTCTGCACCCGCATGAAACTCCAACCCATCGCAGATGTTCAGCAATATCAAGCGATCATGACCCGAGCCTTACAGACAACCATGACTTGTGCAAAGTCTTCCTCCAGACCATCCGCACCGCCGCACTTTACCAAGTACGGACTTTGGACAAACCACAGACCGCGCTCCTCTGGTGGCCTGAACAGCAAAGTGGATATAGTTTCCATCGTGTTCTGGTCCGCGTCCTGGCGCTGCTTGCGAGGTTGAAAACGATCAGAGCAGACACAGAAGATGGCTCGCGATTTCCGCAAAACAGTCCATAGCTCCATCGTCAAGCGAGTCATGTCGAGCATGCCTTTGCGTAGGCCTTGTACATGGTCGGGCTCGCAGAATATCGAGAGGTCACTCGCCAAGCCGTCTGCAAATTCTGTGATGGCTTCGGGCGACGGCGGGCACAGGCGATCCATCTCGTGCGCTAGCCATGACTTCATTTTGCTGTATTGCTTGCGGTTTGAAGCATTTTCGAACGCCTCCACTTGATTCTTGTCAGCTCAGATCCATGTCGACATGATGGGGGTCAGAGAAGTACTGGAAAGAGAATGATTGAAGGAAGCATAGTGCTGGGCCATTCTGTCGCACCAAATCTCCTGTTCGGGGCCGAAGATTCCTTGCGCAAGACGGTCCCAAACGAAGCGCCGAATCATCCCGCGTTTCTTGGTGATCTTCTTGCTTTCCAAGGAGCAATAGTGGGTGATATGAGCCATGGCTTCTGCATGGACAGTGTGCGCCGCGAGTGTCTCCTGAAAGCCCAGATCATCGCGCATCCAGGCGGTCACGTCATGAATACCAGACGCGAGCCTTGCCCATCGGCCCATAATCCAGTCGTCGGTGACCTTCTCATACTGCTGGGCGTCATCCTGAACTTGCTGCCGCAAATCGCTGTACTCATCAAAAAGCTTGTCCTTTGACTCGGCGATGTTTCGATTTTGCTCGGTTGCCTGAGATACTTTCTCTTCCAATCTCTTTACCTTCTCTTCCAATTTGTTTATCTTCTCATCTTTTTCTCCTGTCTCCCTGCGAAGCGTCGTCTGTGCAGATATAAGATCTAAGAGACATGCTGAGAGCTGATCATCCCATGAGGGTGATTGGGGCGGTGACGATACGGCTGGTGCTATTGTCGCCGAGTGGTCGCTCAATGATACGCTTGAGCGACGCCTCTTGCTAGGACTAGGGATCGTTTCCAAGCTCTCGGGTGAACGTCGTTTCTTGAATGGGCTGCGCAGCGTGATCCTGGCCCGCCTGGCGGGCGCATCAGATTCAGACCCAGTTGAGCTCTCGATACACTCGCGGGTAAGAGGCTTTGATGGTCGACGCTTCGTCACAGTCGCCTTTCGCTGAGTTGCTTGCTTTGCATTTTCCCTCTTCTGCTTGGGACAATAATCGGCCTTCGCAGACCTCGTGTTGTCGTCCGATTCCGTGTCAATGTCGGAAGATTCAGTTCCTCGAAACTCTTCATCAGGATGGCCACCCATCGTGAACAGATTTGGGTCCGCATTATATTGGCTGAGGGGCTCGGGATCCGAGAGCTCGGAGCTCATTGACTCGGATTGCGCGTACTGCTGGGGCGAGGGAGCCGCGCTTTCGGGGATATATGTCACGTTCTCGACGATTGCCAAACCTGCTTGCTTTTCTTCTTCTTCTTCTGCTTTCGCCGATACAGAGGCCGTGGACATCTTGAGGGATAGGGTGGCGCGCGTTGATTCTTCTCGATGGCACCGGTGGATAGTCTGTGGGTATATGTATGTAAAGTGAAAAAGAAAAGGTCGCCCAAAGAGCAGTGAGAAGGCGTGTTGGATTCAGACGAAGGTCGCGGGTAGTGCGTGGAAACAAGAAGGGATGGCTTCCACTCAATGCGATGTCACTTTCACGACAGCCCTCATCAGCTGAAGTAAGTGGGTGGGCTGAAAATTTCAGGCTGCTGCAGACCTCTCACTACGGTGAGTCCTTATATGCCTTGCTGGCACCGAGGAGTTTGCTTTCTTTGTCTGGGGACTTTCTTTGTTGATAGCTAATAAGAGTCGCACAAACAACGTTCTTGTGAAGGGCACCGCACCCTCGCGAGGACTGCACATCTTAGCTATACCTTATGTAGGGGTGAATTCTTCTACTTATTAATGAAACCTCCTTGAGAGAGTATCTCGCCTCCTCATTCTAGTGATGCCTGGAGTATGTGGTCCGGCGGCAGTCGTTCTATATGTTGTTCTCATGCCGTTCACTTATTGCTTAGTATCCGCGAAATTAACAGACCGCCGAAATGGCCCGGGGCTGTCAAGAGATGGTCGGTCAGAAAGTTCAGCACAGCAATTGCTTATAAGTTCAATTGCGTGTTGACTCGAAAGAAAATAGCTTCCTTGTCGGCAATCGAGGTTAGCTCGTAATCCAAAAGCGACGAGTATAAGGCTGCAACACTCTTGCAATTGCGCCGGAAAACAAGTGTTAAGAAATTAATTAGGATCTTTAAAGAAAACAATCCTTCTACGTGAGGTAAAAAGACACTCACTCTAATGGAGAAAGATGCAAAAAAAGATAGCAATTCTACGTTTCGATCGTAGGACTGAATTGTTAGTTGATGATTCGAACTGAGAGGCACTTGGTGTGCTTACCCTCCGGGTTATGAGCCCGGCTGGGATGAATTAGCGTAAGTTGACGAAATTAGATTGGATAATCACATACCGCGCTTCCACTGCGCCAAATTGCTTTTGACTCGTTGAAGACATATCTGATATTTGAGATATATATTGTATTGCGCTCGGCGTTACGTGCCATTTGACGTCTGACCGCGCCGCAGAAGATCCAGTCCTGCGGCGCTACATCTACCACTTTTCTGCACAGTGACGAAAGTGTATAATACAACGGAGTTTCAAATCTGCGCCTTCCACCCATTGCCTGTGAGTAGTCTCGCAAAGGAGCTAGGTACGGGTTCGTGCTACGCAACCGACGAGGCACCTTGCTCCTCGCTGGACGCCGTCAGAGTCGCGACAGTGTGAGTCGCAAGTGTGAGTCGTAAGTAGAAGTCGCAAGTATGTTCAAAAGCTTGTGCTGGACCAGGCCATTGACTTATTAAGATGGTCGCTGATGCCATACGGCTCAGGGCACCCGGGGTTTCGACAGAAACGACACAGAATATCTCTATACTCGTTTTTACGAGGTCTCGTATTACCGCAGCTCGCGGCTTATCAAGGGAAGTTCCTCCTCGATCCCAGTCCCTGTCATAGTATCCGGATTAACTCTAAAGCCATTTCGATCGCCAGTCCAGTCAGTATAGACAACTCCAACTAACTCCCCCGACTTTGTACCGCTGATCATCCTCCACAGATCGACCAAGCGCTTTTCCTTGAGTTTCGGAGAGCTGTCGTAGTGAGTCGCAGCAGTTGCGATTGCGCCCAGGCCGAAAACTCCATATCTAATGCCATTTGCGAAGACGGGATAATCAGACATGGATTCGGGGAACTCCCGCGGAACCACGCAGATAAGCCTGCCAGCGATATTCGGATACTTTGCCTTAGGTATGCTATGATTTCTGGGTGCGTCGTCAAGCCGTTTATTCCAATAGACAAGATCTTAACTCGAGTGCCAGGTCAACGGTTCGCGGCCTCTAGTAACCGCAAAATCTCTTGCAAATAAGCTTCTTTGCTGCTCAAGTCCACACAGCTTGATGTTTTGACTCTTGGATGAACAATCGTCAGGGCTGGGTCGTCTAGAGACAGCCGGATCCAGGCATTGGTGGCCGCTTTCCCTCGCTGTAGCATTCCCTCGCGACCATAAGTCGGACTCACTCCTGACGAACGCACAACGGAAATCACCATTCGATTCCATTGAGGCGGAATTTCGACGGGGTTACATTGGAAAATCTTTCCGTATAATATACACCATTTCAAACCGACTTTATTTGGCATCGTTCGATCGTTCGTGGGCTTTTTCGACGTCTTCAGATGCGCCCAGCCGGCCTTCCAGTGTCCATTGGGCGTCCATACTTCGGGATGTAACTTATTCATCGCTTTGGTAGATAGCTGTTTCCAGAGATTCATAAGAACGTCGTCCGTGGGCAGGCCAGTGGTAGGTAGTTCGGGCGTTCGAGGATTCAACTCGACGACAACTAAACGCTGCGTTCCACCGAGGTTCGGACTGCCGTACTGGTTCAATGCTGTTTCGACAGTTCTCATGGGAATTCTCGTCTCACTCCCTTTCTACTATCGACGGGTTCATATATTCACGAGCCTTTTGTCCTTCATCGGTGTCGTGGGTTTCGAATAACGTTCGTTTCCTCGGTATAACTAGAGACATTATCGAACGGGTTACGTTCAGTTTCGAGTATTCGGTTGAATTCGAAATTACTCGACTGTGACTGAACTTGAAACCGCAGCTGCTGGCGGTCCGAAATTGGTATGCTTGTGAGATCAATCGATAGATTCAGGGTGTCCTTGTCAAACAAGCTTTCCACGGAAGACAATTCCACGAGTTGTCGCAGAAGCTCAGGCAGTGATAGTTTCGCCATGTCAATCGTACATTCGCAAATGGTGTGCGATTGTAAGGACAGCTGACAGTCAGAGCACAACGATTCAACAGCTTGACGGCAAGAAAAGAAAGATTGCGGTTCCGCCACTAACAAAGCAGCGGAATCGTTGTCTTCTTAATTTTGCCATCATTCAGGGTGGTGCGTGCCTGGCCTGGAGGGAGGAAAGAACGGCCTCCATATCGGTGGAAGGTACGCCTGATGCAGAGGCGCTTCCATGCAGCCACCAGACATTCGCAAAACAACGATCCTCTGGACGTTCGCTACCTAAGACCGAGCCCCAAAGACAAAGATATGCACCGAAAATTTATATCCTTGGCACCTCATACCTCATCTGCCCTCGTCTGCCCTGAGGGTGTTGCAGGCGCCGGGGGAAGCTTCCGAAGCCGCCATCCTCCGCCCCAACCAACCCATCGAGTTTCTCTGGGACCGCGCGCGAGCGCAAAGAAGATCGCAAGGCAGGTAAATCCGACTGCAGACACGTCAGCACTCTCGTTCATCAGCACTGGATCATTGGTACCTTACTGCTGCAGCCGCCGCTGTACCGCCAGCCCCCCGCAGCGTAGAGGCGATTGCCGACGGCTGTGCCCGTCAGCTGGCCCGCAAACGCGCACGCCATGTAGGCCGTGTTGACGCGGTTCCTAGCCTTGGGGTTGATGGAGAAGATGGACGAGCGATTGGCGACTTGGGCGATCTGGACCCCGACGTCGATGCCGATGGCCTGCAGGATGGGCCCTGCGACGGTAAAGGTGCCGGTGAAGGTGCCAAAAATGATGCCGCCCAGCATGACCATCTGGCCCAAGAGGATGGAGAACAGCGGGACGAAGCGATCAATGATGCGGCCGTACAGGGGGACAGACACCAATGCGACAATGTTGAGCAGCGAGAACAGGCCCACCACGAGAGACGGGTACTCGTACGGTGGCGAGACGAGCAGGAAGGTGACCGTCGTCCAGAACGAGGTGAAGCAGCTGCTCATGGTGAAGGCCATGGCGCACGCCTGGATGAGCACGGGTTCCGTGAACATCATCTTGGGGATCGACCACAGTGCCCTGAGGTAGTGGAGGGTGTCTGGGTTGGTGGCAGGGTAGTCTGGCATGAAGAGGTAGAGCATCAGGCCGAGCACGTACTGCGCTCCGCAGGCGAGCCAGTAAATGTTCCTCCATGCTGTGTAGTTGGCCACGACGCCGGAGAGCAGCCGGGCGACCAGCATGCCCAGGAGCAGCCCGGACGTGACGATGGACAGGTTGGCGCCTTTTCGTTCAGGAGGCGCAAAGTCACCAACAAGAGGAATCATGAGCTGAGGGGTCACTGTCGTCGCACCGCAGATGAAGGAGATGATACGGAAGGTTGTGAAGGATGTGGTAACGCATAGGGAAATCCACTGGGGTTCGGTCAGCATCACGTTCCTGATGCTGCGTTGGGAGATAGTACCAATGTGGCTGTCAGCAGGACGAGGGCAAGGATGAAGGCCCGTCGCTCGACCATGTCACCGAGGGGCAGAATGAAGATCAAGCCAGCAGCGTACCCAGCCTGAAGCAGAGTAGGCACTTGAGAGGACTGCTCATAGGTGACGTCAAATGTGACGGCGATTTTGTCCAGGATTGGCTGGTTGTAGTACAAGTTCGCAACGGTAAAGGTGGCAGACTGCGTCTGTGTAAGCCCGTTGCTTGTCTCAGGGGTAAAGGGGCATTCACCAATGCGTACAAGACACACAGGCCGGTGGTGAAGGCGGGCGGTGAGATCTTGTTCCATCGGCAGTCGGGCGGCGTCAAGAGTCGACGCCATATCGTGTCGTACCTGCCAAGGCCATTGTCGGTAGGAATCTCCTCTTGCATCTGAATGCGGTCGCCGGACAGTGGCTTCTTCTCGCTCGCGTCGCCAGGGCAGTCGACAGACGCGCCTGGCACGACGTCGCCCGCAGACGCCTCTCGGCTGGCTGCAGTATCGCGCTCACCCATGCCTCTGGCGCATGTCATGGGGTCCCAGGCGATGCTGGCGCGGATCCAAATTGACAGACATGGCGGGAGCCAGCGGAGTGTTGATGTCGACGAGTAGCGAGATCGGTGATGGATGACCCCGGGATTTTGCTCGCGAGGCGGCGAGGCCCGCGCGCGAGTGCCTGCGCGGGTTCCGTCTTAGGGTCCGATTGGATAGTCGGACAATTCGTTGATTCCAGTCATTGCCATTGGCTGGGATTTTGTCCGGAATTAACCAGTACCTACTATGTATTCGGCAGTCGGTGATACCTACATGTGCCTCGGGCTTGTTCATAATAATTAGAGAACAACAGTCCAGCACTGACTCGACGACCTCGCGAATCATAGGTCATTTTCACGTTTGGTCGGTACCAGGTGTTCCTCGGTCTCTTATGATGAGAATCACAGCTTTCAGAGCACGAGGTCTTGTTGGTTCTGTTATGTTAGTGGTTGTGTTGGCAAACTAAGATTAACTAATGTCCCTAACCACAGCACAGACGAAGCGGATTAAGCCCCCTGGTACCAAATTAGTGTTTAGAAAGAATCGTTTAACAAAAGCCGTCCACACTGACTCAATTTCTCAGTTTTCGAGTCTTATCTCAAGCGTGATCTGCGAACATCGTCCTTTGTGCGACGATGTATAGGGTAGGAGGCGTTACGAAAGAGCGGTCATGAATTTCATCGAAACACCAAATCTCCGATAATTGCGTTGTCTAGATCTTGGCATTTAGGCTGGCCCGCGAGCGTTGCCCGCGAGCAAATGGCGCTAAACTGCTTCTGAATCCAATGACCATCAGCCGCCTGGCGCTGCGTCTTGGCAAGCGACATCCTTGTCTGCCTGGGCGTAGGGCGGCGCAGCTGTGACAGGAGCTGAAAAATCACAGTCACCTAGCACTTTTGCGGCTGACCAGCGATCATGCGTGTGTCTTTGGAGATCTGCAACTGATTCTGCCTTGCGGCTCCTCACGGTCTTTACAGTCTTGTCTCTCCTTTTCCAAAGTGTCGATCCTGCGCTGGCTCTTCAAGCCAACAACTCTTGCGCGTCGAGCATTGCCCTGATACCATCGCGCACCGCGTTTTCCTTGGTGCCCCCTTTTGCTCGTTCACGATGGATCCGACACAGCAGCCTCAACAGGCGCAGTTCTCGCAGTATCAGCAGCAGCAGCAACAGTACCAACACCAACCAGCCACGAACGCCGTCAAACCACCGCCGCCCCATGTCTCGCCCCGGAACATGTGGCTCTCCAAGGTCATCTTCCGCATACTGTCCGCCATCTTCTCGATTGTCATCATCGGCCTCTCAGCCTACGTTGGCACCAAGTGGTCTGACGGCTATGGTGGTTACTACGGCGGAAGCCCACTTGTCATCATGCTGCCCCCAGTACGTTCTGCGTTGCCTGTCGAGTCCGGTCGAGCTACCTAGGTGCTAACTGCGTGGAACATCAGGCTTGTGTTGGCCTCATCTGGGATTTGGGTGAGATGGTCGCTGTCCTCGTGCGCGGTGGCCACCGTGGTACGCACCCCGGCGCTGTTGTCGCCCTGGACCTGGTCCTCTGGCTCGGGTTCATCGTGGCCGTCGTCTTCTACGCGCTGTACTACATGGGCGACATCTACTACTACGGCAGCTACTGGTACGAGTACGAGTCCCTCAGCGAGATTGGCGAAACCATCATCATGAGCCGTGTCATCCTCGCCCTGGGCAGCATCGAAGTGTGAGTGACTTTATTGGTGGATAGAACCATGCGCGCAGCGACTGACATTAGCATCCAGTGCCATCCACCTCCTCCTCTTCATCTTTGGCTGCTACGAGACCAGCATCCGCAACCGCAGGACGCCGCCTGTCGTGTACATCCCAGGTCCCATGGGCTACGGTATGCCACCGACGAGCCAGCAACCTCAGCACTTCAGCCAGTACGGCGCCCACGCACCGGGGCAGCCCATCATGCTGCCTGTCGGCCAAGCGCCTCCCGCTGGCTACGTGGCATACTCATACGCACCTCAGGATGGCCGTGCCAGCAAGCAGTACGACGCGTCGACTGTCTCTCCTCTACCGCAGGAGCCCTCGCCGATTCACACGACCTCCACGCCGGCACATGGCGGCTGGAGGGACTCGTACCAACCGGCCCAGACGTCAGGTCAGCCCAACGTCAGCGCATAATCACTCGAAGATCGGTTCGCCGTAGACTTACAATAAAATCGCCACGTATTTGCTAGCTTCTCTATGATATCGTGTTTCAAAGAGTGCTGAGAGTGAGGAAGAAAGCAGGCGTGTGTGTGTGTGTGTGTGTTTGCCCTTCCTGCTCTGCTTGGACACAAGGGGGATGTAATACTCAGTCACCGAATCTCACGTTGGCCTCGCGGAATAGAATTCATCTGTTCTCGTCATGCTTCATCTCTCACTTTGGCCTTTGATGAACGAACAATGGTCACCTTGCATAGCTTCGCGCCTCATGACTCTTCTTCTCACCTTGTCTTGTCCTCCTCGCCTCTCTCTTCTCCTCGCCTCTCTCTTCTCCTCGCCTCTCTCTTCTCCTCGCCTCTCTCTTCTCCTCGCC